GGAACTCCCCGTTGGGTTCTAAAGGGACACCCAAAAGAAAAACAACCAGCTTAAAGCTGCGCAACTCCTTTGAGCATTGACATCATCCTTGGCAAATCGTGTCTCGGCAAAACTCGCTTCCCTCCCAAAAAATCGAGTTGGTGTCTTAGTTCCAACAGGGGGTGAAGATTACGAAACTCGAGGCTTGGGAGAATTTGGATCCATTTTTTTGCGTTCAAAACCAGCTGCCAGAAGAACCGGATGCTGAATGAGAGGTCCCCAGCCAAGAAGAGCACGGGTCTCGCAGCTGCAAGACTCCGTCACTTACGTCGCCTCCTTTTAAACCCGTCACGTGTCCCCTTTTGGCGCAGGGGGGCTGTGGAGCGGGGCTCCTTGTGCAATAGAATCCGGCACTCTTGTCATCTCCTTTTAGCGCGCGGAGGGATTAAGCTGGAGGGGGGGCCCTCGTTTCCAAGAATCCGTCACTTTTCACTGCTAATCTGATAGCAAACACCTTGGTCCAAGACATGAACAGAACCGAAACAGCGAAATCTAAACAACAAATGCCCAAACGCCGGATAACCTTGTGCGAACGTGGAACGCAAATAAGGGGAACGCCTTTGAGGAAATGGACCCCTTCTTGGGTTCCTGGATCATTCGCAGAGGAAAACTTGGGCCAACCCACATGGCTCACCTCTTTACACACCTAGCAGAAAGCACCCAGACGGATCCATTTCCCCCGACAAATGTGAGGTGCCATGTTGGTGGGTACCTCCCCAACGAATCAAGCCTGGGCCAGACTTGCCCTGCTTTAAGACTTGCCCTGCGGTGAAAGCGTAACATGTAGGAGCGGGACAAAATGTTAAGTCTGGCAATAGACCATGGGACCTGACTAAGTCGAGGGATCATGCTTCCCTTTCAATCCCTTCTGGCTCCATGTGTTGGAAGGGTCTATCACATCAATCCCATTGATAGCCGGTCTGCCATTTGGCACCTCTCTCTCTCTTTCTTGCTCATTGGCCAAAGAAGTCCACCAAAAGAGAAACCCATTGGGCAACCTTTGGTCTCGACTCTGTATAGCTGTTGCTGCAGTGGGCAGGGATTGAGGCGGCTTCTTCTCAGGCTAAACTCAGTGCGCGTCTGACAACAGTCAAGACTGTCCGACTTGCAGTCTCCTTCAGACTTTACAGACTCCCGGACTACTGCAAGTCAAGCATTCAAGAATAATTTGCGAATCAACTGAGGGATCCCCAAACGACTTTCATCACGGGTGAGCTTATTTCATACCCTAACCAGATTGCCACACTGCAGAAGCACACGATGCCCTTGTTCTTGCTCTCTACTCTGCTGCAGATTAACATGACACCCGAACAACCGTCGTTTGACAGGAATCTCCTCTGGGTGTGCTAATTTAAGGAAAATACTTGAAACATGAGCACTGCCAGTGAGCTGCTACGATGATCGTGCCGCTTCCGGCTAGGCGCCCGTGCTTTGCCATTCACAAACCTGCAAACGCAGCCAAACACCGCAACGGCATTCCTGCATCCAAAACAATTTGTGGGTGTTTGTCAAAATGACTCCTAAGAATGGTTGGTGTCCTTCTAGTCGTTCTTTCAACCATCTATTTTGGAGGATCCGCTATGTTGATGTCAGAAGTTTCATCCCAAGTATCGGGCAAACCCTACGCCTTAGTGGCATATCATATCGTACTCTACTACTTTTCCACCATGTGGAACGAATTCCAGCAAAAATGGGGCCGAGCAACTGCCCTGGGCATATTGAGAGCCTTCTTTTCAGGGTTCATGGGACCATATCCCTAACACAAAGTTCAACCCACTCATCAAGGTTCCACGGGAGTTGGACTCAACTTGAGCTTCTTGAGGGCTGCTTCCTCCATCCCGTATCCCCGTCAAAGCTCAAAGGGACATGGAGGTCGTTCGGCCGGCGCCTGGCTGTAGGCTGTATTCCACATGTTGATCATGTTCTGGGCCTAGGCAACTGGGGATGCTGCAGTTGAACCATTGCGGCCAATGAATGCAGCGTCTCTCTCTCTCTCTCTCATGAGCAAGAAGGGAAACACAGCTCACATCAGCCTCTCAAAACAACTGCAAATGAACCGCAGCCTCCTCCAAAATGCAGTTCGCGGGATCTAAAGAATGGATCGCTCATCGCTGACCGCTATGTTGGAAGGGACTGCACATCTTTGGTGGAAGTCCTTATCCAAGGCTTCATACATTTGATTTTACCGTGCAAGTGCCTGGGACCTTCGACCCAAGATGAGGTCCTTCAGCGAAATGCCAAGATGTCGCGTAGGATAAGCCTTCCACATGCGCTACGGACCTGCCCGAAGTCCATCAAAGGTTCGGGATGCGTACCCCTCTCCTGTTTTGGACGTTTCCCTTTTGACCTTCAGGTTCTGCCAAAAAGCCGGACTGGGCCCTTTATAGTGACATCCTCAAACCAATCCTCTAAAGGTTGCTTTAAAGGGAAGTAATCCCCAAAAGTACGCTTGAAAACTCATGTCCATGAAGAAACCCAGCGGATCATGAGCAGACCGAGGCAAGCGCCTCAGGCTCTTCGCAGTTCAGCTGCCTGCTCAGACCCTTGGCAGTCAGGCCGTAGGCGATGCCAAAGTTCACTGCCTTCGGGCGTGTCTTCTGAACATTCATTGGAGCCTGCCCCAACAATCACCACACATTTTGGAAGAGCACTGTAAAAGTAATGGTTGATCCAAACTTTCATCATGCACTTGCAAGGGCAGGGTCCAAGACATGCAGGTTCCGAGATGGGTGGGTTCCCTTTGGCTTTCCTCCAAATTATATGGCCCACAAAGGGTACCAGAAAAAAAAAAGGATTCCCAGTGGACAATGTGGCCGAGCGCATGTTCCAACTTGTTGGGGCCATGTTCGTGAATAGATTGAGAAAACATACTGTTTGCACCGGTTCTGATTCGCACCCATCCCCTCAAACTACCCCCAAGACGGGATATTTACCCCCCATGCAACGTCTATGAGTAATTCCCCAAAAATGGCAGGCTAGTTCGAGCGTCCAGGCTGTCCTTGGAGACCTGGACATCAAGCTCGCAGTTCAGGACGACGCTGACGACACCCAATGACTATGCTGTCAGCACGGCCACTGGCATCAACACAACCAAGACGGAAAGGAGAACAAGGAAAAGCCACAGGACGGATAAGGAAAAGAAGCGCAAAGTCTACGGAGTCACAGCCATAGAGCAACAACTGCAACAGAGCATCTGCCGAGACCAGCAAAGCCTATAATCTCACAAGCGCAAGAACATTGTACAACAAAACAAACAAAACAAGGCAACACACAACACGACAATCAAACATACACACAAAACACGCAAACAGAACACAAGCAAGCAAGCAAGCAAGCAAGCAAGCAAGCAAGCAAGCAAGCAAGCAAGCAAGCAAGCAAGAAAGCAAACAAGCACAAGAATAACAGAAACACACACACACATACAGCCACACCCAACCAACCAGGCAACCAACCAAACAAAACCAGGAAGCAAGCAAGCAAGCAAGCAAGCAAGCAAGCAACCAATCGAACAACCCAGCACTAAAGCAAGAAGCACTGCGAACAAAGAAGAAACAACATGCATGCAAACAAAACACTTACAGGAGACTGCAAGCCGGCAAGCAGGTCAACATGCCAGCAATCAACCAACAAAGGCAGCTAGACAACCTAGTGTGCACAAGCAAAAGCAAGCAAAACATCAGCCAACCCACCAACATGGCTTCCCGCCTTGGCATTGCGGCGTTCGCTGGCAAACACATCCTTCACGCAGGGACGATCGTCGCCGCCCTGGAGCATGCGTGCTGCTGCGCATGATTGACATCCATCACCCTGACTTTGTCTTCAGTGGTTTAACTATCAGACTCCTCCGTGCGGCCCGATCCTGTGAAGAGCCACGCTGAGGACCCTGAGGGATGGGTCCGTTTCAGAACGGGAAAATGCTTTGCTTTGGATGCTTGGAAAGGAACCAACAGAGGAATTCGACTCTTTGAACATGTTACCCCACAATCTGACACATTGGCCAACAGAATATGCTTTGGCCGCGCAGGCAGTGGAACTCTTTGGCGGTCAAGACACATAATGAGAGAGCGAAACACATGTATATAATACAACCAACACGTTGTGCCCTGTCGGCCAAGGTTGGAACAAATAGTAATTCCTTGTTTGCTTTGTCATCATCAAAGTCAATTCCTCCGATTAATGCAAAGCGTCCTGTCCGTCCGGCAGAAAATCTGAAAAGTGCAAAAATAATTCGAAACTGCGAAAGCTATTGCTGACTTTTCTTCCAACACTGCCGGAGTTGTTCTAAGGATTTGCATAACACATCTCCAAAAACACCGATATCCACAAACAGCACTGTTTTTGCCACAGCTTGACAAGCTCACAAAGGCTACCCACACAAGGCCCGCTGCAGCGCTGAATGCAAAAATAGTTCCTTTGACTTTAGCTATCCAATTGGCCAAGACGGAGAGAGGACCGGACAGGAGCAATGAGGACCCGGGAATTAGGGGGTCTAGGAGGACGCCCAAGATTAGTTCTCCTGGAGGTTGGCAACCTTGGGCGGGGGGGGGGTACGAACCAGCAACAATCGTTATATGGGGAAATTTGCGGACCAAACCACGAACCGTAATCCCCAAACAAACTGCCTGATGTAAGCTGTGGGAGCCGGGGTTAGAGGCAGGGGGAAGGGTTGATGGGAGTGTGCTCGCTCCCGCAGCGGATGTGCTGAACAAAGTCTGCACTTGTTGATTGCTGGGAAAATGGTCGTTGCAAATAGAATTATTTGTTGAGGACATCAGAGAGAGAGAGAGAGAGGAGAGAGCTTGTGAAGATACCCTCCTAAAGTCGTCTTGGCTGGCCCCAAGTTGCCCATTGCCCACTGGCATCAAAGGGATCCGGTTGTGTGTTTGACAATCTTTAGAGGGCAAGACGCCAAAGGAAACGGAAAACGGGGATACCACTGAATACCTGGGGGTCTCTGATCGAACCTCTCACATGGCCTCCATGGAAACCTTGCCCTCGTCGATGGCTTCCTGCACGTGCTCGTACCTGACAGTCAGAGAGGCGGCTCACCAACACAAAGCAAAGATCATGGAACGCTTCAAACGACTGCTACCGTCCATAATATGGATGCGTATGGGCACTCTGGCTTAAACAAAGGCTAGACGGCAAACACAGCAGTGCTGAGGTTAGGTGGAACTAACACAATGTGATTTCCCATCAAACACAGGGGCGGCCCATCATATTGACCCTTGTTCGGGGCGAGTAGGCAGCGTCTTGCAGGGCAACATATTTGGCAACATGTCTGACGGCGCCAATCTGGGACACATATTTTGACAATTTGACAACCCTCCTCCCACCCACACATAATGAACCCCCAAGGTAAGTTCCTCCTTCGGCTGAGGTGACTTAAAACAAACTGCCAAGAGCAGTTGCTGCCAATCGTTAAAAAGCTGTCCCTTTGCCGCTCTTGGGCTTCGAACAAAATGGTAGCAGTGCCAAGAGCCATCAAATATGCCCAAACGCACACGCAGGTTGGCCCATACACAGCACACCCAGCTAGGCCTCTCGGGGAATCTGGGGCCCTTCAAAACAAGGAACATGCAAAAGAGGAATCACGGGTGAACCAGTCCTTCGGTACACCCGGTACACTTTGCCTACGTGCTCTAAGGGGAAACATGGGGAACTCCTGGTTCCGGCCTACCTGCGGGAGCCCTGTCCCGCCCGTCCCAGGTGCAGACTTGGAAACAAGTGCAAAGTCGGAGCCTACTAATCTGCATGCGTCCGTCCGAGACCGTGTCACGACTCAAACGACACAATGCCCCGCACGTTGCCCGTTGGTTGAAAGGGATTCTAGAGCTACCAGCGCCTTTTGGACGCGCGGAACTCTGACGACTTCAGTACTCAAAATGTATCGGCGTCCTCCCACGGCCAAGAACCAACCACACCCCACAGCCCCAAATGACAAGCGGGCGCTCTCAAACCAAAGCAAAACTCCAGGGAGGAACTGTCACATATATGCGTGTCAAGAGGGAGACACCAACACAATATATTCCTTTTGGACTTTCCCTTACACCAACCTACAAAAACGGCGGCGCTGAAAAACACAAAAACCGTATTGCAGCTTGGATGCATCTGCGCAGCGGCGTGCGAGTGGAGGTCGATGCCTGCAAGCGATCCAAGAAACCCGGGCCATGCGAGTGTACCCGTTTCAGCTTGGCTCGAAGGGCGACCAAACATGTTGGCGCTCCAACTTCCTATTTTGACATGTGGGTTGGGTACCCTTTTAAACTTTGTTTCAAGGAAACTACCATTTGAGATATTTTAAGGGTCCCCCTATTGAGACATATATCCGTAGTATTACCTGCGATTGAGTGGATGGACAAAACCCAATTTGCAGTATTCGGATGAATGACACCCTGTGAATACTGGGATAAACCACCTACCAACTGTTGCAGGATTCTGTCTGTGCCTCGACACAGCGTGCATCATGGCCACAATGGCAGGTGAAAGGGATGCTTGCCCCCTCTTGCAGTAGTGAAGCTCAGTTGCTCACTTGTTCAGTGGGGCAGCCACTAAAAAAAGAGGGAACAAGGGTGCCACTGAACAACAGTTGCTGAGGAAGGCTTCAACCGGCGCATTGAAGAACTCACGCTTTGAAGCTAAATCAAACATGTAATGAATGAACAACAAGACGACGCCCTTCAATTCGCCTGCCGTCTCCTCCTGCTGTACCCTCACTTACTGAAGGATCGGTCCAACAAAAGCTCTTTATTGTTCCCGTGAAGTTACGTCGAGAAACAGTTTAGGGAGTGAACTAGTCTGCCAAGGCATAGTCCCCGATTTAGTCAAGCACCTAAGAAACTGGACGCGTCAAAACGATTGTACCTTTCTGGGTGGCGAAATGTGAGGAACCAAGGCGAAGCCAACCCCTCAGCAAACATAAAGATTCGAGGTGCAACAAAGTCCAATGCCTATACACACAGAGATTCCAAACTGCGAGACGCCTTCACCTAAACAATGCGCGTGCTGGATGGATACCTGGATACCCGAAGATGGTTCGTTGCAGCCGGGTCTGCCATGCCAGATGGCGATATGTCGGAAAGCTGAACGCAGGTGTCAAATCAAATGATACGTCTAGGCAAGTTTTTCCCGGTTGTATGTGCACGAAAAGGATAAATCTTCACCATTGGATGACATGGTTGCTTTTGGTCTTCCCAGTGAGGGATTGCCTTTGTTGAGGCTTCAATGACATTCTCTCAGATGCCAAAAACAATATTCAATTCGATCCCAAAGAAAGCAACCTTCCTGGGGTGCTTTGCGTGGATACCACGGGTGCATTGATTGGTCTCCACATGGTCAGGCAGAAACATGGGTGGTTGTCCTGTGCCTTCCGATCTCAAACACACCCAAGAGGTGTGCGTGCTCAACACTGTGCAAATGGGCGAGGCCAGGGATGGAGGAACCGCTAAGCCAAAACGAGACCAGCCTGCCAAATGTCAAGGAAAAAAAGCGGACGCCAACTAACCTGATGGGAAGCACGCATGTTGAATGAGCGAATGAGCAGTTCACGGCGTTCTTTACCGGGCACTACAAACCGCCCATTGAAGTACGACTCTCAAAAGAGACTGTCGTATGATAATGACTCATGACAAGCGTCCAACCCCAAAGAGTACTTTTGAGAATACTTCAACATACTTGCACCCAAGACAATATGCTTGTCTCTGGCCCATTTTAGTAAACGTCACTGTAAGATTCGCACCCTCATGGGTTGAGTAGTCAATTTTAGTTGGGGAGGACATGGGCGGGCACAACTTCCCGATGCCCTCTTGGTAGGACGTAGGTGGGGGGTCCTCAACGGCCCATCCGGGGCCTGAGGACAAGGCATTGATCATGGCTGGGCACCCGGAGGTGTGGGCCAGTACCCTCAGGTCCAACTGACCTCAAGAACGAACCCGGCTACTACGAAAATGCGCGGAGAGTGGAACTGCCTCAAGTCCCCTCGAAAAAAAAGCAAATATCCCAAGTAGTGATAGATTCCCTTCAAAACCAACAGGGCAAAACACAGAAATATGCTGAAGCAAATGGAAGATCCCCGCCAACAAGGAAGACATTTCTTCAGTTCACTCGCACCAAGGCGCCGTAATCTGCGATGACGAAGATCTTGCCCTTCTCTGCGACGATGCTGCCGCGGATCTGGCGGATGTGGGGTTTGTTTGCATTGAACGTAGGGTGGCATCCCCTGTGGATAAACACAAAACCAATCTAGAAGAAAACCTCAGCCTTCTGCCATGCCAGGAAGCTTTACGATGGTTGCGTAAACTCCTTGTGAAGGGGTCTATGACTGTATAAGCCAACACAACAAATTTTGAGCATGGCACATTTGATTCCTAAGTGGCTCTTCCAGACAGGCCATGCAACGAGCCGAAAGTCGACAATGTGACTCACACGGAATGCGCCAATAAACATACTTCCGCCAGTCAAACCACCTTCCGCCTGAACCTAAACGAAACTTTATCCAGCTCCTTTGAGAGGTTGATTGTTTGTGTTGTCGTTTCCGGCCATTCGAGAATGACCCAAAACGGGTTGAAACTTGAAGAGGTTACCCTTTCGTCCTCATGTAAAGGCAGCACAAAATGACACTAAGATCTCGATACAGGTCCCTAATGTTTGAAGCGATGTCTCGAATGTGGAGCCCGATAGTTCCAAAGCCAATTTCACTACATCAGAGGGCAAGTAAAGGAGATGTTTGTGCGTGAGGGGGCAGGATGTGTGACCGGGGGCCGAAAGCCAACAAGAGTGAGCTTCAAGATCATCCTCAAAGCTAATTCCTTCCTACCCAATACACCTATGGGGCCCCAAACACCTTTGGGGGGGTCTTCGGTCCCACCTTCAAGCACCTTTGACGTCATGCTCGGACAGCTGCAAAGCAAGGTCTGTCAATCTGTGTGTCTCTATCTAAAGTAAGCTTCCCCAACGGCATGAAGTCGAGACTCGCGGGAAGTAAAATGTTGCAACGGACCAGCGTTCCATTGCGCGCAAACTTTGACGCGAAATATTCATCATAGATGTAAAAGGGTGGTTGTAGCTCTCATGGGCCATTCATGATAGATTAATGTCATTGTACTATCCTGAAAAGAACAAATGTGAGTCCTTCCAACTGCGTGGATGCTGCGAACCACCCTTTGCTCACTGTTTTGGAACTTAGTCACCTACAGGGAATGGTGAGCACTGGTTTACCAAACCCATGCGGCGCTTCCAAACAACAACATTTGATTGAAGCATGGACGATGGTGGATGGCTGGCAACATGGATACTTCCCTGCCCATTGGTTGCGCTAGAAACAAAAAAGCAAAAGTGGGCCCTTGATTATCTTTTCAACAGCCAAAGGTGGACTAAATACAAGGCATCAACACGCAACTTCAATCAACATGCGATCGTAACAGCGCGTGCAATAACAAAGTCGTTTGCTACTTGTGTACAACCACTGAATGATAAAACACGCGTTCCCCACGGATCTACATCTTTGCTGTGGCTCCCTGGCCCCAGCCCCAAGCTCCATAAAATTGCAAATATGTTCTTCGGAATGTCGATATTTCAGGGTTTGGCTACTTCACAACTTCACAATCCGTATATGCAAGGTCTTTAAACTGTCTTTAGCACCTGGTACATACAAGCAGTACTTGCATGTGAGCTATCATTGGCATCATCCTCAAGGTGCACTGTTCCGCAGTGTCCGCCTTCTTTTAAAATATTGTTTTCATTCCCCAAACCACAACCCCCTCTAGTCTAGATCGAATATATACCCTCTATGTAGTGGCTAGTGGCCGTGTATCCCATTCAGGCCGCGAGGATAGGTGCGGGAGTGCTGGGAACCCAGGATTGATGATCCCCTCGTTAACTAGTAGAGCACCTCCCTACTCCAAGTCCGGGGTCGAACTTAGTCGCCACCATCTCATAGTTTTGTTCTCAAGCTAATATGTCAATCAACCTCATCTTAGTTTTCCCTGTAAAGGTAGAGACCGAACCTCACAGTGGGTGATTCGCCCAAACAGAATCCATAGGATTCTGGGATTCTCATGGTCCATTATTCAGTGCGCTCGGAAAGGGTAACAGGGATCCTTACATTACCTGAACATTGCAACTTGTAAATGCTGGTGTCCATTTCTTTATTTTGGTGTTGAAAAAGAAACGTGTCTCAAATTATTCAAATGGAAAGGCAAAATGGAGATCTGTAAAGCCCTGGGGAGCTGGCGACCTGTCGCGACCCCGCGCTCCGCGCCTGGAAGCGGTCCTTGTCCACCGCAGGCACCTGCTGCAGGTTGGGGCTCTTGGAGGTGAGCCGCCCCGTGGAGGTCATCAAGTTCCTGGGCACCGAGCAAGAAACCCGAAAGCCAAGTGGCGGAAGCCGAAGAAACGCAAACACTCCCACCAAAACAGAAAGGCCATCTACTGCCATAGCAAAATCAACTGTTGAAATTGAGAATTGTCAGACTGGTGATAAGGGCAACGAGTGAACAAGTCCATTCCAAGCTGATCAACGCAGCGGTCGTGAATTCGGACTATGGAGTTCTTGTCTGTCCTGTGGAGAGCCAGGCTCAGTCACAGGTTCAACCCCTCGCCGACCCCCAGAAATTAAATTTGTTCAACAATAATCAGGGCAGCAAACGCACAAACGATTATTGTCACAGTCCCAACTGATCACAAGTCAAACCTGGGTCCAAAACAAAGAATCTGTTTGAATCAGATCCAAACGCGAACCACCATGCCATCAGAGGACAAATTGATGTCTGGTCCACAAACAATCTTACTCCTCTCCCCGAAGGGACGCAGAAATGTTGGTAATAACATTCCCCCCCCATATTTGTCATGCAAATCAAACGCGGTCCGCTAGTCATTTTGTCCATCGCGGTTGGCTCCCTGCGGTTCTTGCGGCCCAGTTCTCCTTTGACACATTTCCACCCCTAAGTCGGGCCAATCCATTGTTTCAATATGTTGAACCGACTCTGGTTTATATAAAGAAACAAACACAAACTATGGGGTGTCCAGTTAGTATCTCTGTGTGTGGGCGTGTGCAACAAGCCCTTAAGGTCTGGTGGTTCAAACCACCCCTGCCTCCTACCCGCTCGGTGCCCGGGCAAAGAGGTGTGCACGCGCCCACGACTGTCCAGCATGCCGTCCTCAAGGCGTGGGTCAAAGCCCTGGTTGCCATGGACCTCTTCCAAGAACTGACCCCAACTCTGAACTCTGAACCATGTGTGTTCTTTAACCATTATCTATGTTGGGTCTGTGTGCGTGTGTCTTGCTGATTCCTTTTTTGGGGAACCCCGTGGGTTGGTGGTGAGGCTTCGGCAAAGCGCGCTTCATTTAAAAGTAAGTCCATACAATCACTTTCTTGAATGACGATCTATTAAGTGAGAATGCTTGGAGAACAGTCAGAGGCTTGAAGACATGTTGGAACTAGGATGTGTCATTCCTGCTGATATCTCAATATCTACGACTCAAACGTGCTTCAACAGGTGGCCAGGCGCCGCTCCAACATCACATGTCTGTCCAACCAAGCAACTCCGCACTGGCTTGGTGTCTTGGCAGAAGTTCCTCACCTCTGCCACCTCTTTGGTCAAGCCCTTGCACAATAGAGCCGCATCCTAAAAATCGTACTGTGCTTCACACAAAAGGATGATAGATCCTGCTAGTCCATCCTGAAGTGTACAACAGCACCAATCGCCACGCTCCCCTTTTCCACTCCCAGCAAAAGATTGAGCACTTGACACGGATTTTGAGTTGAGGTCAGCATGTCCGACATCTGAGCTTGAAAGCGTCACCCGCAAGAAACCATTGCAATCATCTAAGTGCTCAAGAGCTGCCCACTGGTTCACATTTGGACAACACCATCATGTTGGAAGCCCACAAGGCATCACACTGCCAAAAGCAACATAATGTAACAGAAGAGACCACCACATTTCTCAAACTCGGCCAATTGCTCAAAGCGAATCCTTGGCTATCCTGGACACCCGTCAGAAGGTCTGTGGCCCGAGCTTGCAATTCAGAAAGAAACAAGGTCGGATGATGTTGATTTATGTTCGCCCTGAGACATAATTCGGAGACAGCAAACGAGGAATCAAGGGCTTGGAGTAGGTGGCAAAATGTATGATGGCGTAGATTTTGAAAGCAAACTCTTGGTGCTTCGCTGATCCTTTGTTTACAGTTGAACTTTTAGTAGAATATGTCAGGCACCCCTCTAAACTCTTGACAAAAACAAACAAACAGTGTAATCTGGGGTATGGGGAACCACGCCACCTGCCCTGTCAGCACGCTCCGCCTCCTCCAACAACTTCACGAGGAATAAGCTGATGGCCTCGCCGGCCGGCGAGCACCAGGAAATGACTTTCTCAGGGGACACCCCCCCACCCCCTAAATGGATGCCATCAAAACGATCCAAAAACGGTACCCTCAAAAGGGGGTTGAAGACCGAACGGGTCCAGCCAGGGTTTGGACAATAGTGCTTATGCTGGCTACCCAGGGAAAACCCAACAAGGAGGCTGTGAAAATAACGCTGGTCTAAACATGTTCAAACAAGAGGTTGGCCGATGCTGGGCAGAACCTTCTGACATCTGCCGTGCGGCAAACTGGGTGTAATTGCCAGGAATTTCACAATGGACATGTGTCGGATCTGGAACATGATTTTGGAGGTTTCTCGACCCGGGAAATCGAAGGAACTGAGGGGCCCCGAGAGACTCATAGCGACAGTGTTCGCAGCCGCATCTGCCGCTTGGAGTCAAACGCTGCTCGCAACTGGCCGCCGATTCTGCCGCAGGCTGCTTGGAAAGGCCTTTGGAACATGGATAAGTTATGAGAACCTTTCTGGTCAGTGGGGAGGAAAACATGGCAGGTTTTTCTCAACATGGATCCCAACGGGGATAGGCTTCCCTTGGGCTCCTGTTCAAGCAGGAACGGGTCCAAACAAACAAACTGATACTTCTCTCCTAGTTGGGACCTCCTGGAGCCTAGAACCCAAACCACATCCCGGCCTTGCTGATGGCTGAGACCTCCACCCGGTGGCTCAGGCCGATGCAGCCTGACAAATCAGTGGCGCCGATGTGCCGAGTTTCCGCACACCACAGGGGAAACCACTGCGGTTGGGGTTTGGGGATTGGGGGTTTGGGGTTTGGGGATTGGGGTTGAGGGTTGAGGGATGAGGGTGGGACAGGGAAACCAACATGTCATCTCTCAGGATCTTGCAGTTTGATTTTGAAGCCTCCAGGGCCGGGACCACAGATTCTAAAAATGCCACACCTTCGTGACGTCGTGATCCTGTGCTTCTCGCCCAGACCCCTTTGGCATGAAGTGACAACCTTTTTTCGGGCCAAAGCACACTGGAGTGGTTGCGGCCAAACAACCCCTACTATAGCTCACTTCTCGAGTGGCCTGGCCGAACAAGTTCACAATTTTTACGTTGCCATTTAAATTGACCCTCCCAAATAACGTTCCAAGAATGATGTCCGCCTCAGACAACAGCCCGATTTTACGTAGGGACATGTCCCGCAACATGGTCCAGATCTTGGTGGGAATGATTGCCAATGTCCCTGCATGTCCCAACACTGCAGTGATTCGAGTCACCAATGCCGCTTTGCAGGCCGATGGGAATGTGTACTATGAACCCACCATAAGCAAAGATCCTGTGCCCTCCCGGGTGTCCTGTATTGTTTCATCTTAAGGGCTTCGCAAAAGGGTCCAACAAAAGCCATACATTGGGGTGCTAAATATGGGGTACATCCCCTTTTGGTCAAAAACAAAAACGAAAACAACAACAACAAAACCAAAAACACAACAAACAACAAAAACACAAACCAACACAAAAACTGTGGATGCTATGACTGGCACCCGAAGAGGTCGATTTGCCCATGTTTGCCCCTGATCTGAGGGCGCTGAGTCCGGCCTTCCTGGCCGAGTTGCTCGAAGGCAAGTCCGCAGCCTGCCCTCAGTGCAATGGTCCACTGGGTGTCGCGTTTGGAAGCAAACCATTTGGTTGGCTTCAGGCAGCAAAGAAAAAAAACAAATGGAACAAAACCAGCAAGCAGCCAAACAAAGCGAAACGGGGGCAGACACACACACAAACACCGAATCATCATGCGAGGCAAGCCACTTGCCCCACGCGCCGCTTCAGCTGTCCCCTATTCTTAGAAAACAAACACCTGCTGCCAGGTTCCACATGAGAACTAACCTGATGATGCGACTGGTGACCTACCGAATGGTGGTGCAGCAGATCCCGCTCGAAATCCGAAATGCTTAAAACAACCGCTGGGAGCTCCACAGTTGTCATTTCAGCTGGCGACCTATCTCACAGCCCCTCCCCCAGATGTTGTTCTGAAGGATTGGGATTGTATGACGTGTGGGTCAATGTGCATTGGTCTTCTTCTGAACAAGATTATCTGATGGCCCTTTTGACTTAGACCAACCAGTCCACAATCGTGGTCGAACATAAAGTTCCATCCGAGTGGGTCAAAGCAGGCCACTGCACCATCGAACCAAATTTGAGGTGTTGGTGAATACTTGTTAGCTGTGTGGTAATGCTGCTGGTTCTTGGCCCTGACCAGCAGGTGCTCTTTTTAAGGGTAGTGGTTTGAAGAGAATCCAATGGAGAATATTCATGTTGGAGCTCCCGTTAACAGATCCCAACCAAAACGCGCAAACCGACAGCTAGGCCGCTGACTCACCAGCCTCGCGAGGGTGGAGCACCGGCAAAAGATTGGAACCAAGCTCAAACCAGGGGGAATCATCTATGTGCAACCTGACTGAAAAGGACACCTGTGAACACAGACCGCAGCCAAATAAATCCAATCAGACCGAACATGACCGAACCGCACTGTACCAAAGCGGACCCAACAACTGGATCAACTAGGATGGGTCACATCGAACCATGCCAAATAGTAATAGAGACCTTGGAGCAAACAGCCCTATAGTGGCACAAAACCATGCACGATGACAGATGCTACATAAAAACCTAGCCTGATCCTACTGGCACAACTCCACAGGATGACTTAAGGGCCTTTGTGAGTCAGGTCACTCAAGGCCTCAAGGCCACTTTCTGGACGCCACGTGAAGCCACAAAAAACGCGCCTCGGGATTTGGCCCAGCAAGCTTGCGAAGCGCCTGCGGAAACGCGGAACTATCCTGTTGGGATATTGAATGGAAAGTTCGTAGTACAGGTGGACAAAGATGGTTTCTATCAGGCAACACAAAGCAAGCGAGAAACAAAGTTGCCCAATGAACGAACTACACAGCAACTGGAACATCCCTGCTGGGTTTGAACCCGTGCGATGTAGGATAGATCTCAAAATTAAGTTCGTTGGAGCAGTAGTCGTTCACTAAACGGCTTGTGGAGCTCTTGCGCAAAGGCAAACCAAAAACATATGCTCGCCAGTTGAGCAGCCGGGCACTTCGCAGGGCCTCTCTGGCATTCCCTTTCAACATGCCACTTTGCGCAAGCTCTCAGCCACCGTGAAGGACGTTGCAAGGAGATTCGAACAGATCGCAGTCCCAGGTTTCAGGTTGAAGGTAAGTGGCTGTGGGTCAAAACCAATGGCACCATCTTGGGGTAGGTGAATTCACCATCCATCTTAGGACCTAGTTTAGTGGTTGGATTGAATCGAATGTTCACTGGGGGTACGGGATTTTGGGATTTTGACCCATGGCCAAGTTCGGATGGATCCCGTCGCGCCAAGCCGCACCTCAGTGGAAGTGCTCGCCTCGGCCAACGCCGCGTGAAGGAAGGCCAGGGACCCAAAACGACACGTTAAGAGTTGGGAGCGTCTCAAAATTGGGAAACCCCAACAAGCCGTGTTTTGGAGGGTGCCCTTTTTGGGTTTAAAAGGTTAACCAACAGGAAACCACACGATGTTGGGCTCCTCCTGTTTGTTGGACTCAGATCCAAATGAGTTGAAAATCCAAAGAACAACACACATCAGGACTCCCAAAAGTCCATTTTCTGGTGGGTTCCTCCTTCGGGAAAGGTCATGACCTCTAGACCGGAATCCTCGTGTGGAGAACCGCCCCAAAACCAGGAGCCTTACGGGTCATTTTAAATGATGTACCTAGCGCAAAATCTCGGGCAAAAACAACATGAGAGCAAAGGCATTGCAAATGGCGAAGCAGCATCTTTCAGGAAACGGAGCTCACACGACACGGAATCGAGCCCGGGGTGTGCTTCGGGCCCCTCATGGTGTTCTTTTTGCTAAATGGACCCCCTCTTTCAATGGCATCTAAATCCTACTTTCAGAAAACATCTCGCCAGATTCGACGGCCGTATCCTTTTGACGAACTGAGTGAGACCTGGGCCCTCCTTTACGTCTCATGCTCAATCCGTCCCAAAAGCATCAAGAACCGAATATAGTAATAACAAGAATAATAATAATAATAATGATAATAATAAATAATAATAAATAATAATAAATAATAATAAACAATAATAAACAATAATAATAATAATAATAATAATAATAATAATAATAATAATAATAATAATAATAATAATAATAATAATAATAATTAATAATAATAATAATAATAATAATAATAATAATAATAATAATAATAATAATAATAATAAAAATGATGATGATGATGATGACGATAATAATAATAATAATAATCATAATAATAATAATAATACTAATAATAATAATAATAATACTAATAATAATAAAATAATAATAATATAAAGAACGATCCTCCCAACCTTCCCGAAAACAATCTCCATCTACCCATCCTCTCGCAGCTTTTGCCCCCAACCAACCATCACATATTGGCCCTGGGGCATAACCTATGGCTCCATTTTGGGGTGGATGAACATCCATTTGCCGCATATTTTGATGTTTATGAGGGGTACAGGGCTTTGACCCAGAGCCATATATGATTCTGGTCTAAATTTCCACCTGAATGATCCATCCGCCAGGGCGCCATCACTTTGCCCACCTTCACGGGCTTCAAGCCCAACCCGCCCACCATCACCTGGGCCACCTCCTGACATGCGCCCGCCGAAAAGGGGGAAACCAAGATGTAGAAACCACGTGGTTTCCTGGTGTCCCTCAGGGGAAACCAAGGTGTCCCTTTTAAGGGAAATCAAGGCATTCAAAAAGGGGGTTCCTTCTGGTGTCCCTTTGAACCACCCTTCCAAAAAATACCCACTCAAACAATACATACCCACCCACACACACAAACATTCCCGTTTAGATCAGGGCTTGGGCCAACTCTGCCGCAGACTCGGCGCCGACGGTTCCAGAATTGGCTCAAGTTCTGCATGCTTTGACACATCGATACTGCATCCTGCACCCGCAATCAATTCGCAGGTGACTAATTCTCGAGCCTCCGGGAATGAAACGGTTGTTACATTGAGCAACCAGATCCGAGTTTTGTGGACACTATGTGTGTATATATATATATGTCTTACCATCCAATCAGTTGCTGCTGACTGGATGCTTCAGAGAACCACGGTCGTCATACAAATCAGCGCTTCCAACAAAAGCTAAACATTGCGATGATCCAAAACCCAACCAGCTTTGGCATGCCAGGCCCAGGCACCCCCCGCCCTTTGCCCTTTCATGGTTGAAGGGTTCCCGATAAGAGTTGTCTGACAAAGTGGGTGTGACTTTGCTGGCCGATAAGAATCTGCCTCTCTACACGACATCACGAACCAACGTAAGAGCAAGAAGCGAGGGCTTAGATACGGATCAACTTGTAGACCTTTATGGCATCGGATGTGTACTCATTCCCAACTCCCGAGTCAAAGCACAAAGTCCAGACTGCCTGGCTAATGTCTTGCTGGGGGGGAGAGGCGATATGATGCATCCTGTCCACACGCACAGTGATGACCCGGCCCCGCTCCCGGGCCAAATGCACCACACACAGACACCAAAACAAACTCAATCACGAATACACACACACACAGAGAAAAGACATCCACACACACAGACTCAAACAGAGACACAACAGAAGCACACAAGCCAACAAACCAACCAACCAACCAACCAACCAACCAACCAACCAACCAACCAACCAACCAACCAACCAACCAACCAACCAACAAACCAACAAACCAACAAACCAACAAACCAACAAACTAACAAACCAAGAAACCAAGAAACCAAGAAACCAAGAAACCAACAAACCAACAAACCAATCAACCCACCCACCCATCCACCCACCCACCCACCCACCCAACCCACCCACCCGACCCACCCACCCATCCACCCATCCACCCACCAACCAATAAACAAACAAGCAAGCAAGAAAGCAAACCAACCAATCAACAAACACAAAAACCTGCAGGCAGGTATGCACTGCCGCGCACATGACACACACACACACACGCACTTTCATTTCACTGACACTATCTCTGACACTGACACTGACAAGAGCACCCACACGAACACTCACAAAACAGACACACCCACACACAGACAGGTGCAGTCACTGGAGTTCCCGTCCAAGTGTGTGAGGGAGATCTAGATTTCATTCAACATCAACATGCTCTGCCATCAAGGTTCCTCCGACGTAGCTTCTAGATGTTTTCGCTCCGTGGGTGCAGCCCGAAACAACAGCGAAAGGACAAGGGCTGCGTTTGAGCAGCTGTCGCAGATGGCCCCAATCATCAAGCAGAAAGTATCCCACGGGTCTGCAGGATGTAAACTGGGCTGCCCTAGAGATTTTACTTTTAGTGAGTCAAATGGACACCCCCACTAAACACTAGAAGTCTAAAAAGCTAAGGGGATGGCTGGGAGCCACCAAGTAAAGCATTTGCCGGTCAGCTGAACCCTGGCCTTGACATCCGTGCCGTAGAGCAGCTGCCTGAGCCAAAAAAAAATCAACGAGACAAACGCTTTTCGAATGCGAAGCCGGCACCCAAAGGGTCCAAGTACCTTTTAAGGAGGTACTTAGACCCCTTTTTACCCCCGAAAAGCCATCCTCATGAGGTACTTGGCAGGTTTCTGCCACAAACTGACACACCATCTGTGGCTTGATCCTCAAATAGCATGTTCCTCAGTTCGATCGCTTGAAGGTTCTAGTGAGAGAGATGCACGTGCACCCTGTGAAATAATGTTGAGACGTGGCCCTTGAAAGGGGACATGTAGCACAGCCTGGATTGATGAGAAAGAAACACCTCAGTACTCAAGGGCGACTGAGGCTAAACAACTCAAAATGCCCCCATCATGCAATAATACCAAAAACAGGCGATAGCAAAAGCATAGAGAGGCCAATGCCCTAAGTGGGTGTAAGTTACGCGTAAAACAATATAATTCTCGGTCGGACACAAACAACTTCAGGTATTTTGAGAGGAATCATTTGCTTCTGTCGCAGCATCTTTGCAACACTTTCGTTCCTGATCCATCCACTGCCTCCATATCTTGTCATGACCTGCGATGCAGAGGACATATATACATCAGGTTAAAAGGAGATTAATATGATGATAAAAGAGACTGTGAATGCAGATATTTGCAATGCCTGGTCCTGCTTTTCTCAACCAATCCTCATCCCTCACTCCCTTACAACCGCGTAGAAAAGCGGAAGTGGCAGAGTAAAACAAGTTAAAAAACGTCCATTCCTTTCCAAGCCTCGGAAAGAAGGGAATGGGATGTGACATCAGAAAGTCAAGTATTGATGCACTGTTGGAATATATTTTCTTTCCTATGCCAAATAAAATATCCATAATGATGCCAAAACCAAGAGAAGAATGGCGTGACATAACATAATGCACCTGGCCGCCCCATAACTGCATCACACCTTCGAAATGCGGGGCAACCACACTTTCCTTGGTGATCGAATTTAGGTAGGGACACAGTAGCATCCGACTCCTGGAAAAAGCTTTTGCGCGTGAGACATCTGCCAGGAAAAAATGGCCCAATCTGAAAAACAAAAAAACGAGGAACGCCAAACACAATTGAAAACAAAAACGAATCCCCACACAAAACATATTCGGCATGACCAAGCAATTTCACTCAGGAGTTTTGTTTTCAGTTGGCTTGTGGCCTTTCAGACAGGGTGTTCTTGGTTTTGCAAATGTGATCAACAACTGAGAAACTGTTTGCCTTCAAATTCCTCAAAAGTTGTTTAGCTTAGTAATTGCGATGTATTTTGGATCAAACCACGCGTCTGGGAATCCAAAAACAACACCACTCAAAGCATTGGTCTTTGAAAGCAAAACACTCCCCCATATTCTCACATGGACAAACTTTGGGACAGGCTCAGCCCATGCAACAAATTTGACTGGCATTGGCTGGCTCTCAAAAACAACAACGATAATACTCGCGACAGATCCTTGGCAGGGACCCATACAGTGTCAAAAGAAGCTCTGGACTCCTGCTTGTTGTGCCACTTGTGACAGGGGATCGACACAACCAAAAGGTTATGCAGCAGCTTGTGCATCTTCTCTGAATGTCAAAAGTGAAGCCCAAAACAAAGGCCCTAACATGACTGCCACTTTGATTGCAGGAGATTGCATGTCGAGCGTGTACCAGTGTAATCTCGGCTACCTGACTTCTCTGACTGCAGATTTATGTGCCAATGCCTGAGGTGTCACCTTGTGAAGTCGCAGCTCGCAAATGCACCCCGTGAGATGCAATTGACCCGTAAGACGTTGCAATTGAAAGTAAGCCAAGACTCGTGACACACTACAGGGTGTTCCACATGTTCCCTACTTGCTATTTGGGATTGACTTTGTTGAGGGAACACCCAAAATAGGTGGCTTCCCTTTGGGTTCCCTTTGAATTAAAGCAACCTAAACAGATTAATTACAAAGACACACCCAGACACACCCATTGAATTTAGATTCCTTGTTGTACCGTTGACAGAACCCAAGTGAGACAAAGTCTCTTTGCTATTCGGGAAGGCGGTGAAGCAGACCGCAAGGCCACCAAGAAAAGCTCCTGGAACCTTCGACGAGGGACTTCTTTGGGTAAAGGGGCCTTCGCTTAGCTGCGACAACCCAACGTTGACCACTCGAGGTCTTGAAAAGGCTGGTCTTGCGTCTCGTGATGCTCTCATCGAAGCCACCCACCATGTTTGAACTAAACAACCCCCACACCCTCGAAACAATCCACATCGTGACATGTTTTCACTGCCCGTAAAACCGAACACCGTCCTCCAAGCCCTTAAGCCCTCTACCCCCAAGACTGCAAAACACTAAAAGCCCAAAACCCCTGTACCATATATGGCTGTGGGTCAATGGGTACCCAAAATGGAACCCTGGAAAATGGAACCCATGACTAAAACAGGCGGTCCCCTGGTGGTTTAATATTGACCCATTCCCATATCCCTACACCGCTCAATCCCATGCCGAAACGCAAGGCGCCTGCTCCGAGAAGTTTTAGTGAGCATGACGGGCGTTCATAAGGGAACCTCAAGCAAATACATGCAATATATACAAATATGTATATATACATATAGAAATATTGTACTTGTGATTTCTTCTTGCGTGGGATACACTCAAGACGCCCGCATTTCATGCGATTCAGCTACCCATTGAATGTCTACCAACTCTACCTCAGAAAGGCCCGGAAAGCAAGGGCGGCTTGACAAAGTCGAGCTGCTTCATCTGGAGCGGGCTGTTGGCGTTGAATTGACGCGCTCCCCTCAGCAGTGTGCCGCGGCGAAAACGAGACCCAACCAAAACAACCAGGATTTCCTTGCGCTGCCCGATCACTGGCAGTTGTGTTCGGTCTGACTTCTTGGGGTGATTTTGACTTGGGAAGCTTGTATTCTTCGACCTCCCCCAAATGAAACAAGTACAGTAATCATCGGCTCAGCAGCGAGCAGCGAAACTGCTCCGTTCCGATTCTTCGAATATCTCGGCCAGCCCTTTGCAAAAGTTTATATTCAGATCATATTCGGTTGATCAGGCCGGGTAACTGTTGCTTCCGCGCAAAGCGCGGCATCACTCGCATTGAGTTGGGCCAAAAAACAACGCGCAGATTGCCGTCCAGAAATGCGCTAGCCCAGGACAAAATACTTTCTCACAAGCGTGGGCAGATTAGAATTCTCCCCGAACTGGAATACAAGGCATGGAAATCAGGCACCCCTGTGTGAAGGATCGCCACACGCTGGCGGACATGCTGATGTCGCGGACCCTATTCAGCCCAGAGGTTCGGAACACGCAGGGCAAAGACAAACGCCGGCCACAGGCATAGCCTTGGCAGCCCAGAAATGGCTGGCATAGCCGAAAGTCCGACTGATGGCCCACAAAGCAGGAACATCATTTTATCATTGATGCGTCCCAAGACACAGAATCTCCCACATGAATTCGCAGGGCATGACCATGAGCATGTCAAGCATGTGGAAGGAAACCCGCAAGACCCTGTCTGAAGCAAAGAGGGTGCCCAAACTCCGTGGCGACATCAGGGATGCCCTCCTCCTGCTCCACTGTCACCCACCAAAATGAAGAACCACCCCTCCAGCTGCAGGGATGCACCGCCACACATGAAAGAGTCCGGATGAACCAGAAGCTCCCGTGCCACCATCTCGGAAGAGAGGCTTGTCCAAGCCGTGCGGAACGCACGCTGACGTAGAGCAGTGGAGACGAACAAGCGCAGCTCGACCACAAACGACCACTCGAGCCAACAAAGCCACTCTGGCAGAAGGCCGGCTTTAAGGATCTTCATCATGGGTGCGGGTGTTCAACCCCTTGGCCAGCTCGTTGTTCTTTGCCCAAAAAGCAATATCATTCAACTATGGTTCTAGGGGTACTTTCCCCATTCTTTCCAGGCATCCTTCTTTCTAAAAAAACACCCAAAACCCTGGGGAAACAGCTGGTTTTTGAAAAGAACGATGATTGAAAATAATGGGGAATCAACCCCTAGAATGGTGAGGTAGCTGCAGCTGGCCTTCAGAACAAACGAGAGATCGTGCGCCAAGGAGGCGGCTGCTCAGACCGAGCACCCGGCCTGCCGCCTGGCATCCTGTCCGACACAAAACCTGCCTGCCCAACATTGCTACAAGTAATGGCATCTGTCAGGGCCCGCGCGGCTCTAGAGTTTCTTGCAGCTCCGGATGATCTGGATAGAGCCTGGCTATGGACGCCATGCCTTCAACTCCGCAAGTTCTCCGTGAAAGAGACAGGAGAATCCGATCCGATTCCCTGGAAATAAGCGCCCCCAAACGACGGATCTGTTTTCCCAGATTCAATTTCTCGAGCACTGTCCAAACAGCATCCCTGGGCTTGGAGATGGGACAACGCAGCCCGAGCGTTGCGTGCACTGTTTGCTCCTTTGCCCCTTGGTGTTGTTATTGCAGAGAAGACCAAACAAGTTGCGTGAACATACAAAGCTGTCCTAAGGCAGCATTTGCTGACAAGCTGACATCGCCACATATCGTTTAACACGAGCTCCTGCTTCAAGCCGGTTTGGAAGCATCAACTCGCTCCATTTCATTGTCAAAGGGCTATCATGCAGTCCGAGAGAATCATTATAATTCCCGATTCGTAAATTGGAGATGAGCGATCGCCAAGTAAAGGGCTAGCATCACGGGGCCTGAACTTATTCTACCCCCGAATCGGCGAGCTCGTTCTGATTTGCCCAGATTGAATGTGTGTACGCCACCAGATCACCCTCAGTTGTTGCGCCCCAAACCCAAAACATATGTTTGATTTTGCTTCTTGTTTGGCAGTCTTGTGTAACATCATATCAGAAGAGATCCCAGATATTTCCCAAACCAAGCCCATCTGTGTGATTCTAAGTTTGCAAAAAACAAAAAACAACACGCAACAGAGCTCCCAAACCCAGTGACTGCGTTTCCCCGTGTGGGTAACCAACAGGACCCATTGCGAAAGATCTCCCCCTTGCGGGGCAACTTGAAATGCGCCTCTCCCACTGGCACCTCACAAACTCCATAAAGGCAGCCTCTTCCTGGCGTTGCGACGCGAAGTTGGAGCGTCCCGAATTCCATGGGGTGCTGAAGAGGGTCTGGCAAAAACCCAACTCCTTTTGGCAAATTGAAATTTGTCATTGATCAGCAGATCAGACAGTGACCCAGGCAGCAAAAGAATGGAAGCCCTTCTCGGGCTTGAACAGAATGTCCAGTAAAAAAACACCACCGAAGAAGCCTTGAAATGGGCCACAGAAGGGGAGCTCCCGGCGGTGCACGTCATTTGTCTTGTATGCGACGTTTCTTCTGAAAATCTGGCGCCAGCTGTTTCTATCTGGGACCAGAGCAACCTGAGCATCTCCGGAGCCATTGTCGCCTTTAGGTTTGTGAGACTCTGGCTTGCAGGACACCGAGATTGTACTGCCACCGCCGTGATCCTCACAAAACTTGTTGAATTCCTTCTTCGACATCGTCAGTGCCAACTCATCCAGTGCCTCACCTTTCAGCATGATATTTGCCACTTAGACATATAGCCGCTTCCCAAGCACAAATCGAGCAAGTCCACCTTTTCAAGACATATGCCAGGCTTATTGCTGGCACATCATTAGTAAGCCCCTCTCAATAATGACGCCCGGTTCTCTCAGCCGACTGCCGGCCAATACTACTGCAAGGGCACCAACAAGGTTTGGCCAAAAGACCCTACAAAGCACCCCAAACCTACCCTACTACCATTAACCAACCCTAAACATGAGGACTGGCCAGGTCTGATTAATCCGAGGGAGCTAGGGGACCCCCCAACTCCCATTCTCCCAAACCCTGTCGATGGAGGGGGGGGAAATAAACAAGCTCCCTCGTTAGTCTTTTCAAACATGCGGACATTAGGGCCTTCAAAGGGTGTTAGCACATCTAGCCCAGTCTGGATGTCAATCATCTCGGAGCAAGCCTGTTCTAAACGTAGTTTAAGGGGACCGCGTTGGGTACACTCACCAAACCCCAGGCAGAAAGGGGCGTCCCACTTCAAGCCAATGTCACCGTGGCTCATAGGGGTGCCTGTTTCGTGGGTTAACCCTTTGTTCGCCTTGTGTGTGGTTAGTTTGAAGGGACTCTAAATGGAACACCACTACTCTAGCTCCACACATTTCGACACATGCCAAGGTGTGATCGTGGTCCCGAACTCTGCATGATCCCGGAGCCCTCACCTGAGCGACTGTGCTCAAATCGCGCCTCCTCCTGCTCCTTTAAAGCTACCTGACAGATTGAGCTCGATTTCTCGCTACATAGTGAACCTCCAAACTGGGTGGTTTTCCCTTTGGTTGTCTGTTTCAAGAAGCCCTGACATTGACACTATAGGAATGCAAATGTGTGAACAGGAGGATCTCTGAGGACAACCAAAACCACAACCCCACGTTTCAGGTATCTCACAACAGCACGGGAAATATAAGGGGCTAAACAACTACAACTAGTTTACTCCCATGATCATGTCTGACATTGGTATTGAAGTACCCCAGAACTCGCCTTTGTCTGAGGCTGGGCATCTGCAGCTTCATATATGATCCCTAACTTGATGGCTTGACGCGAACATCCTGGAACTTTCCGCCTCGTACCGCCCCTGGAGGAATTCTCGATCCACGTAGATGCCTCTCTCCTAGCCAACGTAGTTCGCGCGGCGGTGTAACTCTTGGAGGGTGCCCCTTGCGCGTGTAAAGGAAAAAAGACCAAGGGAAAAACAATATTTGGGGGTTCCCTCTTTGAGACCCCCCTGCAGGTTCTTTCCAGCACTTGAGAGAGGGATAGAGAGGGCATGCATGCATCTGATATGACTGCAACCATCATGTAAGCCGAACTGGGTTTTCTGGTGGTGAATGGAATCACAGGAGTAAACTGTGAAGTACCAACTATTGCTTGCCCAGAACATCCTCACCCCGATACGATTCGTTTCCGAAACACATCCCAATCTGGGTTGGGCCCCGTTTGAACATGCTTCAAGCAATCTCCTTTGGGCTTCCTTTGTGAAGACAATTCAGAGTCTGGTTTTCCCACCACCTCCTGTTGGATTCCCTGAACACCATTTGCGCCGACTCGTTCCGCTCAATTCCTCGATTTCCACCAGGACATCGGCGAAGGGGCGCCAGAAGCGCTCGTAGAAGTCCAGCAGAGTGCCTGCCACACGCTTTTTCAACGCAAACTGTCATAAGCGGTCGTGTTGCTGGGTACCAGAAGGAGGTTCGGGGGATTCCAAAAGCAAACCAGAAAACCAGCCACCAAAACAAACAAACAAAAAAACGTTTTGGGGATGCCCTCTTGAGACGAACCCAACTGGCATTTGGCAGAACTGGGAATGTCTCCAAATTAGAGTCTGCTTAACAAGGTTGGTTTCCTTATGCTTCTACGCTGTTCCACCTATTTCCTCGTGCTTCTACGCTGTTCTACCTATTTCAAACCAACCCACAAAACGGTTCCTCGAAAAAAAGGCACCCCTGTGTTACTCGCACAAGGCCCATAAATCATGTACAGGGGCCCCCTATTCGGGGACACGCACATGTTTGTGGGGGCATATATGGTAATTACAGGTATTAACTGGATGATGTGTTGTGTCACCCATTTCTGGCTCATGTTCAAACCATCCCTGAAAACCACACAATTAGCCTCCCATCCACTGACATGCAACCTGCCTGGGGGCTCCGGGTGTGGACCATTTCCCTCCAAATACGACCTCTGGCTCTATGTTAGTGGACGAAAGGAACAGCCAATCTCCAAAAGCCATGGAAAAGGATAAAAAGAGCTCCACATTTGGCATTGTACGTACGTTTGGCATTGTATGCTATTTCTAAACAGCACCCAACATCTACTGCCCCCCAGGACACTTTTTGAGCCATCCGCTCTGCTCTCAGTGCAAGTGCAAAAACCACAGACGTGGCACCTGATATCTGGTGCCTTGGCCTCGCCTTCCTGCTTGGGCATGTTCAGCTTCTCCTTGGCCAATCTGCGGCGGAGCTCCTGCGCAGGGCCTTTGTCATGATGCTGATGCTCAAATCCCGGGGGGATTTGACCCCAGCCTTACCCAGAGTGCCAACCTTTGAGGGAAAAAAAGACGGCCCAAAAGGGCGAAAGCCATCTGATAACATGTGAGTGAAGTCTGGCAATGGAATGAGGGAAGCCCCTTCTGACCCTTGCTCTTTCCTTTAATTTAAGGGTATCTGGGTATCCATCAGGTTTTTTGCTCAAACCCTGAAAACCTGCAAAGTTGTTGGTTCCCAAACTTCCATGCTGTGCCGCGCAAGTTCTCGAAAGGGTTGACCCCCCAGGAAAACCCCAAAGACAAAACAAGCGCAGACGCGTGGAGAAAAGCATGTGTTAGAAAAAAAAAGTCGCCCGCAAGCACCTGGCCTATTCTCAAAGTGGGATATTGAAGTGTTGACATGGGCCGCAAGGATTTACAAGGCGCCCCCGCTGGCCGCGGTTGCTGTCAAACACGCGAAACATATATATATATATATTATGGAATCCACTTGTTCAATATAAGGACACCCCATCTGCTGGCCGGACGTCAAAACTGCAGAAATCGTTTTTTGCGTGTACAGCTCGCGTTCTAATTCTTCAGCAGATACAACCCGCCTGCAACCAACGTGCTGTTTAGAGCTGTTTAGCAGGTCAACAGCCAAGAAGGCAGAAGAGCAAAATGCTCCCTGTGAACTCTGGCAACGCTGTTTGGGTTAGCTACAAACACCGCCATGGGAGCTGGAGTTGCCCAGTGACGTTGTTGGCAAAGAAATGGAACCTTTTCTTGGGCAGTTCACTTCTAGTGCAGGGGTTCCACCAAACAAAAAGGACAATTCAAGGGTGCAATCCACTAAACATCTGGGTCTATGTCTGCCTTTTCCTCTTCCCTGCCCTGCATGTACCACAAATCGCCCAAACCGATGAGTCAAATAAGGCACGGACTTATTGGGCTGTAGGAGAGACGCCCGCCTACCCGGGCCTCGTGCACTTTCCAGGTGACCACTGTGTCGAAGGTGGAATAGTCGACCCAGGCCTCGCGGATCTCCGGGTCCTTGAAGACAGATTCGGATTCATGCAAGGAGCCCAAAAAGTCGAACACGTCTTCGTCATACTGCGGATGGTCGAAATCCTGCACCACCCAAAACACCCTGGAATGACGGTTCCGCTGTTCCGCTGTAAATACCAACAAACAATGGTTTCCCATGCTTTCCAAGCGGTGCAGGATTTCGTCAGTCCACAGTATTGCACGAGACAATGCCTTAGGACAATAGACAAGGCCAAACTCCCTGTGAATCTACTTCCCAGGGAAGAAGTGGGACTGCATCAACCATTCAGACGGTCAAATGACCAGTGCGCCCAACAAGGTGCACAGCTAGACATCCGAACCCCCACAGGTCATGAGGAGCCTGGTTGACCATGACTTTTCATTTGCTGATGAAGGAAAAGATTCGAGCAAGTAGACAAGAGGCACCGCTACTGGTTGTGGAGCCCCCTCCCTATTTCATTTATTAGCTAGCGGGATGGCTTTGACTGTCTTGAGTCTTGAAACATCCTGGACTGGCACAGTCATAGAAAGAAAATCAAAGGAAGATGATTTCATGATAAACGAGGTTGATTCACCTTCCCTTTCATAAGGGTGAAGAAATTCCCAACTCTGGTCATCATAGCAGGGAATAAAACAACATCTTGAAGAACTCACGACCCTTTTGAGGGCCGCAACGGGAGCTACACCCTGCTCAACACACAGACACACAAGCACGCACACACACACAGACACACACACACACACACACGCATTAACACACAAACACACAAACACACAACCACACAACCACACAACCACACAACCACACAACCACACAACCACACAAACACACACACACACAAAAACAAAGACACACCTGGACTGGCACAGTCATAGAAAGAAAATCAAAGGAAGATGATTTCATGATAAACGAGGTTGATTCACCTTCCCTTTCATAAGGGTGAAGAAATTCCCAACTCTGGTCATCATAGCAGGGAATAAAACAACATCTTGAAGAACTCACGACCCTTTTGAGGGCCGCAACGGGAGCTACACCCTGCTCAACACACAGACACACAAGCACGCACACACACACACACAGACACACACACACACACGCATTAACACACAAACACACAAACACACAACCACACAACCACACAACCACACAACCACACAACCACACAACCACACAAACACACACACACACACAAAAACAAAGACACACAAACACAAACACACACACACACACAAACACACAAACACACACACACACACAAAAAAAACACAAACACACAAACACACAAAGACACAAAGACACAAACACAAAAACACACAAACACAAACACACACACACACAAACACAACAACACAACAACACACCAACACACACACACACACACACACACACACACACGCATCAACACACAAACACACAAACACACAACCACACAACCACACAACCACACAACCACACAACCACACAAACACACACACACACAAAAACACACAAAAAACACAAACACAAACACACACACACACAAACACACAAACACGCACACACACACACAAAAAAAAACAAACACACAAACACACAAAGACACAAAGACACAAACACAAAAACACACAAACACAAACACACACACACCCAGACACACACAAACACACAAACACACACACACACACGCAAACACACAAACACACACACACAAACACAACAACACAACAACACACCAACACACACACACACTTATCTCGAGAGGCTTCACTAGCCGAGATGCAAAACGCAGTCAGTAAAAATGCTTGAATGCAAATGCAAATCAACAGGTCACAACATCGACACCGAACAGGAAGCAACAGCGACAAACAGAAACCGCAAAAAGAATCAGGAAAGAGGGTCAGGAAATAGGCAGGTACGCCGGATTGATCAGATCCGGTATCCACCGAAATGCCGTAGCTTCATTGGACTGGATAGGCAAATCGGCTCCAGTCCCCCTGCAATGTGGAATTTCCGTCCGTGCTCCAGGACGCTTCACACACACGGAGCCCCAACTGGGGCGACATCACTTGTGCAAGGCCCATTGAGTCTTGCAAGCATCAATTGTGCGAGAAAGTCTTGTGGCGATGACTGACCACACATACTTGGCTTTGGAATTGGTCTTAAGGGAACGGAGGAGTTCAATCTCTCCCTCAGTCCAAGGCTGCGAGGCTTCAGGTTCGGCCTCAGTAGAGGCATCAGTCCTGGTCGATGTGGTAGCTTCGCTTGGTCCACGAGCAGGTTTTGGATGCCGTAGATCGTGAGGAGGCCAAATCACGTGCGCGGCGAGCTCGTTTTTCGCCGGGAGAAGACGGAGGAGGGGTGGGCGGAGCCCAATGATCAGGGAATTGTTCGTCATGATCAGTGGGAAGGTGTTCATCTGGAGCATCAGGAGGTGGCTCAAAGAGGTCCTCGAGGGGGGCCAGGAGGGGTGTTGGTGGTGAGTTGGTCAGGTCCTCAATGGCGGGGTTGAACGTGGCCTCCGGTGCCAAATCAGGTTCGGCAGGCGGACTCTCAGGGAACTCGCGGATGGTGGCGATGCCTTGTTGGGCAATGCCAAGGATGAGTTCGAAGTCTTGGAGCAGCTGGCGTGCTGTGTTGGTATCCATGCTCGTAACGGATTTTGGTCAAACAGTCAAACAGCTGCGGCGCGAAAATCAGGTCAAATCTGTCAGGATGCAAAGGCAGAGAAGAAAACCAGTGTGGTTCCGCAAAGGACGGTTTTTCTTCTCTTTGTAAGGTGAAACCGTGTTGGAGGTGCAACCTCTTCAACATTGCAAGACCCTGACCTCGCTGAAACTCAGGAAAGGAAACTCGGTTGATCAGCGTGCGTCCGGAATAACATCCAGATTCCTTATGCATCAGTGGTGCGGCTGACTTGACGGAGAGCATGTTGTGCTTCTCATGCGAGGGGATGAAGGAGATGGTGCTGCTTGTGAGGTTCAGTCGGAACCCCAAGAAGTCCAGGGCGGCTTCTGTGTCCAGGAAGATGTCTCCTCCATAGAAGTGTTCGTCGCACAGTATGTTGGCTGCCGGAGTCGAGAGCCACCTGGGGGTTGCGATCACGAGTCTGTTGTCCACGTAGCGGAGTAGGAGAGTATCTTCAACGGAGCGAAGTCCCGATGTGATGTGAGTGTTGGTCCAACATTGTTCGGCGACCGCGATCACCATCAAACAGAGAGCTGGGGACGCGGGGGATCCCATCGGTGCCCCACGTGTTTGCCTGAATGAACGAAGGCCGACAGAGAAGATCTGCATGTCAAGGGTGGCCTGAATGATCTCGGGGATGTCGTCGAGCCACAGGGTGCGTTGTGTGGGTTTGTGTCGGCGACGGCGTCCGTTGTAGACGCGGGTGATGGCAGAGGTGTCAAGTGTGTCCACTGTGAGGTGTGTGGTAGAGGAGTGTGGTTGTCGTTGTCGGTACCAGGTTAGCAGTAGTCGCCAGGCGAGGAAGGGTGCAAGCATCGGTCTGGAGGGGCCAGGTGGAATGAGGCCCCGGAATTGTAAACTGGATCGAATGGCGGAAAGGCATGCCTGGTGGTGTGGTTCAGGCAGGTGTGTGGCTATGCGATGAAGGACATAGAGAGCGGCGGGTGGGAAGTCTCTGGTCCGTATGTAACGGATGGCATCAAATCGTCGTAGAGTGTTGCTGCCAAGATCGCCCAAAAATCGCCACAAATCCAGGCGGTTGTCCACGCGTTTGGCCAGGAAGGCCTGTTGTAGGGCGATGGGTAGTCGTAGTCGGCGGCGTTTTCGCCAGATGGTGGCGAAGCCCATGTGCCGGGATTGGGAGAAGTCCAATTGGCGTATGAAGCCCGTGCGTGGCCGGAAATGTTTCTCGATGAAGCCAAAATTGAGAGACGGTTGCAGTTCCTGGATGTAGAACTGTTCAGTGGCAAATAGGTCCGTTGCCGGAACGACAGTGTGAATGGGCACCGAGGTGTAGTGGTGGAAAAAGTCAAAATGTGCCCACCACCGGACTGCCAGTTCGGCATTGACCAGATGATGTCGCTGAACTTGGAGTAGTTTGCGAAGTTGGCTGCGGCCCCGTGCCATGAGGGAGGCGCGAGTGGCTCCGAGGTAGAAAAAGGCCTGCCACTTTGGATGGCTGGTGAATCTCAGATAAACCGCTGAAGGGACAAGCTGAGAAGAGAAATCGGAAGCAGGGTTGTCCAGGCCAAGTCGAGTAAGCAGGGCTTTCAGTCTGCCGGAACCACAGGAGAGATGGCAGACGTCAAGTAGCTGAAGCTGTGCGAGTAGCCAGGAGCAAGAATGACGTGCGGTGACGTCATCGGTTGGGAAGAACCGAAGAGTGAAACGGAGGACAGTGAGAAGTTGGCAGCAGTGGTGTTGCCAAAATTTGTGCTGCCTGGCTGTGCGTCGTTGTCGGTGTGCTGTTGAGAGTCACTGGTAGAAGTGACTCGCAGCGGCCAGGATGCGGCCCAAGGCCGATGACCCCAGTTTTGATAGGGTTCGCACCGGGATGCCCCATAGCACAGCGGCTCGTTCGAGTTGGGCTCTGGTGTCGGAGTCCAGTGTGGTTGCCCATTTTGCGCAGTCGTTGGACCAGCTTTTTTGGACTTGCTTGCTCTCTTTGCTGGTTTTCTGAGAGGTGATCCATCGCTGGACTTTGGTGTCGGAAATGTCGGGTGGGAAGTTGCTGGTGAGCCATTGGCAAACGTGGGGAGGTGGTTGGAGCAAGTCGCGGGGCTCCTTCCAAGTGGGTGGGGAGGGGAGGGGGGGAGGGGTCGGGGTGCCGCCGTGGGTGGAGGGGGCTGGAGGGTTGCCGCCGTGGGTGGGGGGAGCGGGGGGGGTTGGGAGTCGTCTGCAATGCGAGTGGGCAGGGGTAGAGCGGGGGATCCGACCTGCGGTGATGTGTCAGGTGTAGTCAACCGTGGTCGCTTCATGCCGAAGTCCAGGAGGGAGGCCTGAGATGGACGGGGGGAAGGGGGGGAAAGGGGTTGCCGCCGGGAGGGGGGGGGAGAGAGCCGCCAAAGGAGGGTGGACGAGGGCCGGGGTGTGGTGGGTAACGGGGAATAGGTTGGCCGTAGGTCTGACAGGGAGTCGGATGTGTAGCTGGCGGTGCCGATGCCGTGGAAGAGCATCCGTAGGAAGGCCCGGACAGGGCCCCGCACGGGTTCCCGGCCATGTTGTTGCCGTACACGATGCCATGATGATGGGATGCCGTGGGCGAAGGCTGCGGTGGTAAGTTTTGCCTTTGGAGCGCCGTAACCAAACCTCGAGGGGGTTGGAAAGCCATGAGAAAACACGGGGGAAAAGGAAATGTTCGAACCACAAGCTGGTGAGCGGAATCAAGCGGGTAAGGTCACAAGGTGAGAGAACGGTCGCGGAAAGGCAGAACAGCAAAGCAAAGAAAAAAGGCGATCAAACAGTGCACCAATTCTTTTCCTGGTTGGGTGGAAGATGGTACACTTGCGCCCCGCTAAGCCGGGCGCTGCAGCGCGATGCCTCTCAGCATCGCAAACTTGGAGTGAAGGCACCACTTTTTGCCTCGGCGGCATGCGAAGTGGCGCCGCACGTTGTGTTGATCCTCGTGGCTTCCCCCGGATTCGAGGATTTTGTGCTGATTGATGGAGCGTAGTTCCCCAAAAGCGATGGCGCCGAGTTGAGACTTTCCGATTGTAAAGTTCTGCAAGAGCTGGCCGAGCGTGTCGGGCGTGCATGCCGTGGGGGTGGCCTGAGCGTAGCATCCAAAGCTCGGGTAGTCATGGTTCTCGGGCCTCCAAGCAGCGGGTCGGATCATGTTCTCATGGCACATGCGGCGCACTCGATCCGGGGTGGTGCCGTGCACATACATGACAGCGTGATGGGAGGCCGTGCCGGATCCAGCTTCCGGGTCTCCGCCAGCAACTGGCCAAGGATGAGGTCGGGGAAACCAAGTGGTTGCGAACACCATGCCGTGTGATTCCCGTCCCAAGAGGTGGTAGAAGCTGGGATCGAACGGTATGGGATCATCCGTGTCCATGGTTCGCAGTTCCCAGCATTCCGCGAGGAGATCGGCATGTGAAGGTGGCAAAGCAGGGTCCAGGTCCATCAAAATGGCCTTAGTCTGTTCCACCCTGGAGATGTCCAAGGCTGGAAGCGGGTCCAGCTCCCCCAACTCCCTAGGCGTGGGAACTCGCAGCGGGTCAGTCTTGGCCGTGTCCATGACGTTTCTCCATAGATCAAGCCACCGGTTGTCGGAAGTGGTGGTGGCATTGATGTCCGCCTCCGATGGAGGGGGGTCCAAATCACCGGTGTTGTCGAAGGGGGGTTGGGGAGGGTGAGGAGTAGCCGGCGTGGGTCGGGGAGGGGGAGGGGGAGTGGAAGTGAAGGCCGCCGCAGGTGCTGGGTGAGGGGGCAAGCTAGTGTTGTGGTGGCCGGTGCGGGAAGTGGGGTGGGGTTGCTGCCCATGGTGCTGCAGTGACCAGGACGGTCGTTTGCCCTGGTTGTTTCGGTGGCCGGTGTGGCTGGCGCCATGGTGGTGCATGTCCCAGCGGTTTTTGTTCTGTGGTGGGTATCCCCACGATTGGTTCCGCCAGTGTGAGGAGGACCATTGAGACTTGTTGGAATCCTTCCCGGAAGTGCGCCAGGAGGTGGAATCATGAGTAGTGTGAGTGGGTCGGTGCGAAGTCGTGGCTCTGGGTGCAGGGGAGTGTCGATGGTGGGACCTGTGTCGGGGGGAGCGGGAGCGGAGGGAGACAGTGGAGTGGTGTGCACGTCGGGAGTGGTGGAAGTGTCGGGAAGGGGAACGTGACCTGCTGTAGCTGCGGGATCGTCGGGTGTCGTGTCGTCGGTGCGACTTGTTGTGCCTGCGATGGTGGCTGGTGTGGGAGTGGGAGTGTCGGTGCTGTCTGTGGCGGGAACGGGATCTGCGAGAGTGGGGATGGTGCCGAGTGTCCGGGGGAGGGTGGTTGGTTGAGGAGGTAGCGGCAGGAGCCGCAGCGGCAGCTTCGGGCGCGCGCGCCGGCTGAGGCTCGGGCGGTGAAGATGGCATGCTGCTCTGAGTCATGAAAGGCATGATGGTGCCAGGTGCCAAGTTGCCGTAATTGGGAGGGCCACCGTAGGGCATCATGGCCATCGGGTTGCCAAAGTTCGAGAGGCCGCCGTAGGGCATCATGGGGAAAGGTGTGAAGGATGCCGTCTGCGAGTTGGGTGACGGTACAAGGTTCATGGGCTGCGTCATCTGGGATGACAGCTGCAAGTTCGGTCCACAATTGCCTGGTGAGCCGGACGCGGTGCCGGTCGCAATGCTATGCAGGAGCGAATGCATCATGTCATAGAGCTGGTGTCCAGCCATCTCGCAAGGGAGAGAGAAGGTTGGAAAGGGGTGAAAACAAAACCACAACTGCGGCAAAAATGCGTCAATGGTGCAAATGCATGCGAGCCAACTTCAACCTGCGAATCGAAACCAAACAGAGGGAATTCCACCAGGGGACCGCCAAAACCCCGCGGCAACGGCAAAAGTTTCCACAGAAATGCATGCGAGCACAAAGGGGTTCTCAGAGGTGCCTGTCAAGTGGCCTCATGAAAGTGCCTCATGTGGCTATGCCGATGAATCTGAACTGAACTCATCCGAGACGAAAGCTTCCATAAACGCCACGAATTGCAGAGTTGGTGTATGACCAACTCGTCACTGGCGCATGAAGCTTAGGAGCCTGAAACCTCGTGGGTGCAGCCTTGCTTCAAAGGCAGGCAGTGCAGGCAGTGCAGGCGCATGAAACCAGCAGAGCACCATTTGGGTGCGGAATACCTTAAGACCTCAAGCTGCAGCCTTGATCGTGGTCAAACGCGCTGAACTGAACTGCAGCTTGAACTTGAACACTTGAACGGTCTTCCCCTCGCAGGGGGCTCCCGCATATGGCGAGTCCAGCCCACAGCGCCATGTCGGACAGGCCGTGGGTAAACACACTTATCTCGAGAGGCTTCACTAGCCGAGATGCAAAACGCAGTCAGTAAAAATGCTTGAATGCAAATGCAAATCAACAGGTCACAACATCGACACCGAACAGGAAGCAACAGCGACAAACAGAAACCGCAAAAAGAATCAGGAAAGAGGGTCAGGAAATAGGCAGGTACGCCGGATTGATCAGATCCGGTATCCACCGAAATGCCGTAGCTTCATTGGACTGGATAGGCAAATCGGCTCCAGTCCCCCTGCAATGTGGAATTTCCGTCCGTGCTCCAGGACGCTTCACACACACACACACACACACACACACACACACACACACACACACACACACACACACACACACACACACACACACACACACACACACACACACACACACACACACACACACACACACGCACACACACACAAACACAAACACAAACACAAACACAAACACAAACACACGCACACACACACACACCCACACACACACACACGCACCACACACACACACACGCACACCCACGCACACCCACACACACACAGACGCACACACACGCACACGCACAAACACGCACAAACACGCACAAACACGCACAAACACACGCACAAACACACGCGCACACACACACACACACTGTTACGCCATCTTCAAGGGGCAAGGTATTGTTCGCCGAGGGAATGCTAAAACCAAACGGGGATTGTATAGGGCGCACGCGAGTGCGCGGACGTAGCTTCGCAATCAACCCTGATTTGCGCTCAGCATGAAAAAAACAACTCAACAAGTCCAACAAGTGCCATAGCCACGTCAGGCGTTCAAAGAGACAGTCGAAAAACAAAGGAGTTCAGAAACAAATACGGACAGGCCCGAGGTTGAGGTCACCAGGCAAAAGAAGCGACCGCCGATCCCAACAGATGCCCAGAAGCCCAGAGCCCACAAGCCCGGCTCCTGGCTCAAATGGAGATGCTCCACCCTCTTCACGCTCTCCTTCGCACGGACGCATTCCTTTGGAACTTCGTTGATGCCTAAAGCAAGGGGCCCTTGGCATTTCTGCATTGACAAGCCAACAGCCGCTCTGGCTTGGTGGCTTTCCTACAGTCAAGAACAACCCGAAAAAGCTCCAACTCAATGGACTGGTTGGGTCCGAGTGAAAAGGGCGGGGTCCACTATTTGGTTGTCTCAAATAGGGCCCCCAAAGAATGATTGTTGGCTTCTTAGTTCTCTTTTAAATCTACCCTCGGAAGAAAAAACAAAACTAAACAAAAAAACTGAGAAAGACCTACAGTAACTCCGCCAAAATGGAAGGCGATTCGGCGATTCGCCGCATCGCGCGCCTGCTTCATGAACTCCTTCAAATTCCTCTTGCCCCACGCATCACCCATGAAGCGCTTCCCCAAGGCCTGGCAGCTTCTGAACCTGTGTGAATTTTACAAAAGGTACCCTTCGGTGGACATTTGGCCATGGGTCAAAACCCCGGTTAGCTCCCAGTGAACATACCAATCCCCACTAAAATAGGTTCTAAATTGGGTGGTGCACCTATCCCAAAATGGTACCGTTGGTTTTGAACCATGGCCATTTAGGTGGGGATTCATGTCCACTAGTCACTTGTGAGGTGGTTCCCTATCAAAATACATAGCCATCTAAGGCTGCAAGTCTTGTGCTCAGCCAACCCTGGTACAAAAGGGGAGAACCCCTGTCACACAAACCAGGCTATCCATGCGAACCCCACCTACGTCATCACTGAGCCCTGAGCGCCGAGCGCAATTCAGCCTTAAACCCCGCCCAAGCCAATCCCACCCGAATATACAAATTCAACGGCCGCAAATCAAAACTACAATTCAAAGTGCGGAGAAGAAGCCAGCTCAACCCAGACCCGGTCCAGGAGTGATGCCCCTCTGTCCGTGCCCCTCCCCATGTCTGTGCCCCTCGTGGTATCCGCCGAACCGGTTGATTGATTGAGCGAGCGACGCAACAAAACCAATCATCCAAGCAACCAACCAAGCAAGCCACCAACCAAGCAACCGTCTCATTCAACGTTTCAGCCCACCGCCACCTCCTATACAGTAACCACTGCAAAACTCACCTAATTTTGAGCCACAGCCACATGTTCCTTAAGTCTGGCAACATAGGACTTCACTCTAAGGCCCCACAGACCCATGACTGGAAAGCAAAACAAATGCGCCTCCAGCGAGTAGCCCTTTTCGGCATCGGAGTGTTCGAGGCGTGCCATGTGCCTCGATTGAGGAAACAGAGAAACCTCAAGACCAGAGTCAATGAAGCATCATGTAGAACAAGTGGCGGGCCTCATGATTTCTTGCGAAGCCTGCTACGACCAGAAACCTTGTCGCCGCTGTCCCCCAGTCACAAGACCTGAGACTCTGAGACTGCGGTTGCCGCCAGACAGTGCCGGCCCTGTCGACCGATATCGCCAATGCCCAGACATGATATCTTTGAACAGGCGTCCGGATGAATCCTTGTCTCAAAACCTCTGCCACACCTGACACCATGTGCGGCGAAGCACGGCGTCACTTGCAACACAGAAAGGGAAGTAAGGCCGGCTTGGCCCGAATTGCCACAACCAGGTGAAGTCCACTCAGTGGGACTCTATTAAGACATTGACACCGTTTGTCTCGAGACCAAATGAGTGTGTCTGCGTCAAACCAGCGGGACACCAACATGCTTGCTTTTCCTTCGGTGATTTCTGAAACAAACCCTGGAAAAGCATACCCTCAGAAAGCACACGCATAAAAATAGACTTACACCCTACCTCACAATCATTACTGCGACACGGTTTGCGCATAATGACGACGCCATAGAAATCCCCATTTAATTTGATAACCTGAGTCTCAATCAAAACCCGGTACTAAAATGGTCTACCCAGAACCATGTAAAGAATTAAGAAGACGGCCGCAACTATTTCTGGCTGGGACTGCCCCTTACTAACCTTCATCTACCCAGGTTTTGATTGTGGCTCACCTAACGAATAATGGCAAGGGGCACGAAGTATAACTTATAACAAGCAACTGGGTGGTGACTGTTGGTGGAATACATGATTGCTTTCGACAACTTGACAGGAGGCATAATTCGGGATCTTACCAGACTTCCCATTCAGGAATTCCGCTTGTTGAGCGCTCAAGAAGTCATTCCTCGCCTCTTCAGTTTCGCGGCCAAACAAGCTCGCATGCGCCCGAATGAAGAAAAATACTTTCGAAGTCTTGCTGCACTCATTCCCTCAGTCCTTCCCGTGACTCAATTGTTCTTCATGGTAGCAAGCACGTGTTTGGACTGGGGGAAGACTTGGAAACGGGCCTTTGTGCAACTCCCGCGAATCAAAGGGCAGATTGAAAGGCGGCAAAAGGGAATACGCTGGGGTAATTCACTCACCATGTTGTGAGAAAACCAGACCTGCAATTTTCCAGCAAGCCATTGCCCAACTCTTCTGAAAACTTGTGATGGCTAAGGTATCAAACTGGTCTGCAGAATGCGAAGGTGCTTGCAGTGGCCGCGGCCTCACACCCGTGGCTTCGAGCAACTCCAAACCAGATATAGACCTCTGGGCACCCTATTTAAGTTGTTTCATAGTTGGGTGGAACCAAATTTAAGCCCATTCCGGGGCCAAGTTCGCAAAGGGCCCTCTGGAGCCCCTGTGTGACCAAAGCCTTCTTGAAAATGTACTTGCCCTATTTGAGGACCGTCTTGCTGATGGTTGCCGTGACCACGCGAGGTTGGCAAAACTGGTTGAGGCAAGGATCACGAGAGGCATGTCCCTTCCTCAAGTTGTTCCATGAAACAAACCTCTGCTGAGTGTTCGAAGGAACAAACACGCTGCGCTCAATGCTCACATGAGGGGGGGGGCGGGCGGTCCTGGGTCACTAGGTGCATGAGGCAAAGGCAACCCAACTTTGGACATCCGTTTGTGGACACATTCTACAGATACAGGAGCAGCCAACCCGAATTCAAGAATTCAGAGGCTGATGATGTGTACAGCCAACCCTTGTCAAAAGAGTGGATGATGGCACATGACTCTTTGCTTCAGAGTTTGCAGGGGGGACAAACGCATGGCAAACAGACATGTGACCATTCTACCTCGCGTGATAGCCAAGAAAGTTTAGTTCCGCCCTTGGATGACAAATAAGCGGCACACACACACACACATCATGACTCCGTTTCTGGGCGGCCCGGCATGGTGTCGCCAGCAAAGCCGGCCTAAACCAACCAAATCTCGCTTCCCGCACAGTTGCTCAAGTAATCCAAAACAAGTCTAGACAAATGTGAGCATGTCTCAAAAAAGAGAACCCTCACAACAATTCCTCAACAAGCAACACCCTTTTTGCCAATTAGCGAACTCGGAAGCAGACGCGACCCATGCGGCTTGCCCAAACCCCTTCCTGCGAGGATCAATCTCTGCTAGATCCGAGCGCAGAACTATGATTGGAGGATCGCTAACATCTGGAATCTGAGGCTGCCTTCAAACAACAAACGCGCAACGCCTCCAAACGACCTCTGCAGGATCTGCGCGCAAGATCCATTTTCCGCCTCGCGGTGCCTGCAACATCTGTGAACCAAATCCCTCGGGGGGATTGCTGTCAGATCTCCGCGCAAGGTCTCCTGTGGCCTTCTGCAGGTGTAGAACACCCTCCTGATATGTGTTTGTAATACATCTAAATACATTCGGGTGCCTATCCTGCATGGGCACTCCGCGTCATCTTCCTTCCGCTCAAAATCCTCCTGCCCAGTTATTATCCTTGTCCATGCCAATCAAAATTATCATCAGCTTGAGCCCGCCTCATCTCTTCCTGTACATGGCTTCTGCAGTCGAATCAAGTCTCAGATTTCTTTCGAACTGGTCGATCAACAAGCATCTTCCCGGCTCCAGTTGACGCAAGCTTTCGCTCGCAGGCTAATCTTTGAGACAAGCGCATGACTCCGGGCGAGGGCCACCCTTTACTTTGGCGCTGGTGATGCTGAGGGTGCTCGGCAGTTTGCGGAAAGCTTTCCTGCTGAGGCATTGATGATGCTGGGGGTTCCTGCCCTGTTCGCGGCTGTCATTGTTTAGGAATCTGGTCAAAATCCTCATCGGCTGAAGCCTGGCTCATCTTTTTCCTGCTTGGCTTCTCCAGTCGACTCAAGCTGCAACCTTTTTCTTGCCCCAAGAACCGTCGTCCCGTTTCTTCCACCAGTCTCCCACGCGGAAAAGTGGTGATGCTCAGGCTCTTGAGCAGCCCGCAGAAAAGCCTTTCCTTCACTCAAAGACTGGTGATGCTAGAAGATCGAAGTTCGGCAGGATGAATCAGGTTCATTCATCACGCATCAGTCGCTGTTCCGAAGCACGCCGGCTCATGCCGGCCTGGGAGAGTGCAATGTTGGAATACGCCGTATAATGAATCTGGATGCCGCCGCCGAGCGCTGCGTACTTTGTGAAAGAACTGCGGTGATTCTGCGGGTGTCGCATACCAACCGTGGCGACATCTACTTTCAAGCGGAAAAGTGTTCCTTCACGAAAGCGCATGTAATGCTAAGGATGCTGACAGTCTGCGAGAAAGCATTTTCTGGTGACAGTCAAGACCCTCCTCGACTGGAGCCTGCCACATCTCTTTCTTTGCTTGGCTTCTGCAGTCGAAGCACGTTTCAGCTTTTTTTTTCCGAGGAAACTAGGGCAACAACATTTACTAAAGCCCTGTCATGCTGAGGGTGCCAAGCAGCAAGCGGAAAAGCACACTTTATTCGGCCACTGGTGATGCCGGGGGTGTCGAATACTGCAGTCTACGAACTATGGCGACATCTACCTCAGTTAGAGGAAAAACACGTCCTTTACCTGGTGATGCTGCAGGCTGCAGATGTCGACCGCTTTATTTAGTTAGCAAAGACCGTCCGAAGCACACGACTCATGTCGGTGTCGAAAGATTGCATCTTCATAATTGAGCAGTGAAAAAAACCCCTGTTACCCGTAAAGGAAATTACTCCAGCTTCCGCAATCGCTTGCGGAAAGCTTCCGCCAACCGAAAGGTCTTACGTTGGCTATTTTTCGAAGATGGAGCTTACGCATAGCTTACGACAAGTTGCTCGCGCCTGATCCCCCGTGAGCAAGAGGCGCTAGCATGACAAAGCAACAGCTTGCAGAGGAAAGGCTGCTGCACAGGCCCAGCAAGACAATGGAGGGCCAAAAGCTGAAAACAAACTTTCGGGGCACTAAAAGTTGTTTTCTGCAGAAAGCGCGCGGAACCTCTGCGAGCAAGAGGCGCCAGCAGGACAGAGCAACAACTTGCCTGGAAAGGCGCAAAGGCTTTGCTGCACAGGCTCAGCAGTCACATGGAGGGGAAAACTTTCGGGGCCCGAAAAGTTGTTTTCTGCGAGGATCCACCACGAGCAAGGCGCCAGCATGACAGAGCAACCGCTTGCATGGAAAGTTGCAAAGGCTTTGCTGCGCAAGCTCAGCATTGACGTGGGCACGCTAGGGATTGAACCCGGGTGTGATACCACTACACCATGTGATCCTGATGTTGCTGCCCGAAGCCGGGGTTCAAGCTTTCACGGCCACAGAGGGGCAACAGCTCAAGAAAACTTTGCAGACAGCGCACGGGCGCTGCGAGCAAGAGGTGCCAGCACGGCAAAACAAGCCCGGGGCTCAACATGTTGTTGTCCAAGCCCGCAAAACCAAAAACAACTTTTCGGGGCACACGTGCAAAGGCGCCTTCACTTCCTCGAGCTCGGCTCGATTTTTTTTCCAGTCCGCGAGCTTTTTTGGGCTTCGGGGCCCTGAAAAGTGCCTGCAGGTGGCAAAAGGTGCCTCGCAACCAAAAAAACTTTTCTGGGCTCGAAAAGTTTTTTTGTGATTTCCAAGCCTGAGGCCCAAAGGTGAAAAGGCAAAGCCGCAGCAAAACAAGCCCGGGGGCTCAACATGTTGTTTTCCAAGCCCGCGCAACGAAAAAGGTGAGGTGCCAAAACAAAACTTTCGGGGCTCGAAAAGCTGACGCGAGCTTTTTTGTTCAAGCTGGCCAACGCGCTGTGCGTGGAACATTGCAAAAGGTTTGCGCAAGCAACCCAACGGTCAAACAGCAGTTGTCTGAGCCTGAAAAAGTTGTTCACTGAAAGAATCCCTTTCCTTGTTGCTCGAAAGAACCCATTCCAGCAATCTGATCCCATTTTCACGCCTAAAAGCATTACGCGGACCAAAAGCAACTTCTACCAAACAATCTGAACGAAAAACGGGTCTGACAAGCAGAGCTTACGCGAAGCTTACGACGAGTGACTCATGCATGCAGCTTACGCAGGACCTTCCGATCGCTTACGAATCTCGCAAAAACGCTTACGACTGCAAGAGTAATTTCCAGTTTCATCTAAATTGATCTACGGAGGTTTTTTTGCGCCGCTCAATTGCTATGTCATGAATCTTGAGGTTTGAAATCCGCAACATCTACGTTTCATCAGCGGGAGAAATCCTGTAAACACTAGGTGATGCTGGGAATGTCGCTTAGTAAGCGGGAAAACAATTCCTTTTCTGAAGCGTGTTGGTCTTGAAAGATTTGGCTTTTCGTCTCTTGCTATGTCATGAAATTTGATGCAGGCGGGCGACTCTCGAAGGTCAGTTGGAAAGCCGCAGCATCTGCTTTTAAGCAAAACATAATGTATTTTGCTAAAGCACTATTGATGCTGGGGGTGTGCACCACTCTAGTCTACGAAGACCTTTCAAAGCAGGCCCACTGCACCAAAATTTGCAGCCATCGGCGGGAGACCGCCAACAGCAAGCGCTTCTTCGACGGTCCCAAACAAAACCACCTGCATCACACACTCCTTCCTGGGAACAAAGGAATGCCATGTCCGCTTTGAATCTCTACTGTTGGACAGATTCTTGCGAACGACTCGAATGTGGTTAAATAAAACTGCCATGCATAATTTGTAAAGCTCTTCATAAACACCTTGCCAGAGACTGGCGAGCTACATTGATGGGTGAAATTAGACAAACGGAGCATTGTTCACATGACAAGTAAGTCTTAAATCTACGTGTGGCACAACACGGCGTTGTGCTTCTGTGCCGATCAAGGGCAATCTCAAACCAACTCAAGTACTCTGTTCCCGCTTGTGAAGGCCTGTTTGAGAAGAATGTTAATATCATGCAGGACAGCTTAGTTGCTTTTGTGTCAATAAGAGTTCCCCTCAAGGAGAAACGGAAACAATGTGGGTCACGTTGAATACCAAATCAACCTGTCTGAGGTCAGAACGACTCGGCAGCCGTGGTTCACAAACTGGGCTCGGTCGAAGGAGTAATTCTGAAAGACCTGCGCGGCATAGAGACAGTTGCTTTCATGTTTAGGGCTACCCCCGACCCCCCAGAATGGTTCTCAGAACCCTTTTAAGAACCCTTCTTGGGGCCGCGGGTGGGGGGGGGGGCCTTAGGTTGTTCCCAGCAATATGTTAGGGCTGTCCCAAAATGGAAACCTTCCAGTCAAACGGACACAGTCAAACGGACACCCCATTTCCAAGGGTCCCTTTTGAGTGAGCCTCAACATCGAACGACCGTGATTGCCATGTAGGGACGATAACATGGTGCACATAATACACAGAGTTTGATACTGTTCGCGCCAAGATCTGCAAAAGTCCCTTCAACAGCGTCAGTAGAAACTCCTACATGCCACCGTGTTGTTCAATCGACCGCTCTTCCATTGTCGTCAGACCTGCCGGGGCAAAATTCGATGGTATATTTTTTTCCGCGCAGATTCTTGTGTGCGACGCCCAAAGCGAATCAGCAGGAGTGCCGTGCTGCCTTGCAGCATGAACATGTTCATGGGCAGATTCCTAATCTGGAACAAAAAGGCCACATGTCCGGAATCCAGACCACAGCAAGTCACATGAGGTGGAGCAACTGATAGTTGACAAGGGTCTTCTATGTTTCAATAGGAGCCTGTCAGAAAGCTGATTGCAAACAAGGTGTAACAAGGCTCACCCCTCGAACGCAACAACGGCATGTTGCACAAACAGAGAACCACCACTAGGGACAACCCTTCAACCAAGCTTGCAAAATCGCAATTCCACACAATGATGTAAAACGTGTACGTTTACACACACACAAATTCTTTTGCAGAAAAACACACGCTGAAGAAACACTGCGATCAGAAACGAACACATGTATTCCACCTATACTAAAGTTGGTGGGCATGGGGGGCTTCCGAGCGTGGCTGTTGGGCCCAAACTGTGACCTCCTCAACACGGCCGTCTTAATGGTGGCCACCAGAGACCAAAAGCACTTTGAGAACCACGCAACATGAAGCCGCTTTCAGGCTTTCAGGGACCGCTGAAACGACCAAAAGACAGGTGTCCGCATGAGCGGGACCCAATGTTGAGACCTTGAGACCCCGTTCCGGCGGAGGGCCTTGGGAATGTCCGGGTCCTCCAAGTAGTCCTTGAAGTACTCCACGAGGCCCCGGAGCTGACCCTCCTGGCGCCAAAGGCTTGGTACGGAAAGCAAATGGAGCCATTCACTTTTTGGGTTCCCCCAGTTTGACATGTAGCAAGTTGAAACCTACCCCTCCAACATGGCAGCCGACAAGGAAATGAAAAAATGAACTTCAAGAGGCGACGGATCTTCCAGGTACCCTCCCACAGGTGCGACAAGTGTGCTTTTTTCGGGCACTCTTCTCGGGGTTGGATTGAAGGACAACACAAAGGAATCACTTCTCCTTTCTCAACAAGCAGGGATGCCCCTGTTTTGACACCCCGTTCTGCTGCGTGGGCGTTCAACCAAGAACTGGCGGCCACTAAGAGCGCAGTTCAGGGAAAGCCCTTGGATATGGCTCGGATGGTAAGATTTGGGGGGCCGCCCTGCCTTTTGCTTAAAGCAATGCGAGGTTCCAGAAAGGGGCTTTTTCCCAAGGAAACCCATAACGCGTCTCAAAGTTTGGGTCCCTTTCGAAATTTCAAAATCCATACAACAAAACTCTAAGATGAGAACACTGACACAAACACTTTGGTTTTCCTTTTGGTTTCATTCCCGAGATTGAGACCTCTCAAACCCTTCCCATCCTCGTCTAGGTTGTCGATGAACAGCCGCGGGCCCGAGCCGAAATCTACTTGATCGCCGCAGTAGATGGACCAACAAATGACCTGGCCCAGGGTCGGAACAAGCTTGAATGAGAACTGTTTGCCCTCCAGCATCAAGGAAGGGACCGGTCCTTGACATATCTTGAAGACAATCGAGAAGCCCTGCGTATGTGACTAAGACCCAGGACCTGCATGTTTTTGTTTGCTCCTCCGTGAGCCTCTGATTTTCCATGCCTTTCTATGTTTCAGGGGTCCTTCAACAAATAGGGAATGGATAATTCATTTGAAGCCTCAGCACAAGGCGCGAGGAAACGCTGCAAGGAACTGATCTTAGACTCCCGTAGCTTCAAGACCCAACAGCTCAGACTCTGGAGCCACACAATGAAACGGCTCAAGACCCTACGGAAAACGACTGAACACCTTCTCGAGCGCAAAAGATCCAATCCGAAGCGAATCAGATCGCTTGCAATCAAATACCTGAAGCCTATAGCGCAGATTATTGCAAACTTGAGTTGCCTAGATCACCAGACAATCCACCCAAAATAGACTTTGCACCGCAACTCAAGGCCCAAAGCGATGGCCCAAAAACACAAACAAACAACGGCTGAACACTGTCTCTATGCAACCACGAACTGTCGCTATGCAACCACGAACCAACCACAGAAAGGTACATCTGTTTTAAAGGAACCTCCTTGTGCTGCTCCATGTGAGTGGTTGGAGGGGGATTACGTGCCATGCGCACTTCGAGAAAAACCGCAAAACGGGTACCAACTCAATAAAAAGAACTAGTGTAGGTGCCCCTGATACGTGGGTATTGCAAATAGGGGAACAAGGCTTTCAGCCTGTAATTCACCGTCATTTACCATGCTGGTGTGCTTGGTTCACTTGCAATACTTGACCATGTTGTGGGGTGCAAATCCTCATTTTGCCGCATATTTAGGAAATCCGCCATACCCGGAAGATCTCGCCCTCCCCGGCCTCTCCATGCCCGTAGGGCGTGCGCCCGGGAGACCAGCCCTGCACCTGACACAGCCATCGCCGTCGCACTTTTCTCCCCAAACAAAACACAGTCACGCCCTTGGAGCCAGCTGAGTGCACAATGAGAGGTGGACCAGGGAACCAGCTGAGCGAGAACCAGATTTCAGAATGGTTCATCTCTGCCTGTCAGCTTCTTGTTGTAGCCACCCTCCATTTACAATTTGGGGAAGCAGCCAAGGATTCCCATGATGTAGAATAGGAGAAAGAAAAACAGGTTGCGTTCCCTACAGTTTTCCAGTGAGTCTTAGTTGTAAATCGAATCTTTTGGGGTATTTGCTGAATGAACATAATCCTGAAGATATCTAAAGTGTTCGGCTTCACAACCAGCCTGTCACAGTCCAAGCAAAGACTAGCACTCATGGTCACGCAATTAGGAGCCCCCCCCTGTTATCCGGATTCGGTTTTTCACTTTTTGTGAAGGAACCTACTTGATCAACACAGAACAATGAGCAAACAGGATATCTCGCCTCTGTGTCGATCGCATGGAAGACTCCCGGCTGACGAAGCTGCATCAAGATCTTGAGCGCCGCATCGGCATCCTGCCGAGAAGTAGCCTGCTTTCTCGGGGCTATCAGATTCCCTGCGAAAAGCTTAACTTCTAGTGGGTCGAATGGACCCCCCCACTACAACCAATAAAAATAAGAAGCTAAGCGGATGGCTGGGAACCACCAAGCTTTGCCCAATGCAAATTGAGGGCGACCAGCCGACCAGAGTTGACAGTCTTGACTGGAGCAACTTAGCCTCCAGACATGTGAAAATGAATTCGCAAAAAAATCCCGGAACAGGAGAGCTCTTTCCAGGTGTGCTGCTCCGGGAATAATCCTTCTGAATGATGGCTTGCACACAAGGCAAACGCACCTTGTGCGATGCATGGAACCAGCTTCTGAAGCTGGCACGAAGGTCTGCCACGGCCAATCGGGTTTGCAAGCCACTGACGAGACGCCCAGGGCAATCCCCGTTCACAAAAAGCAAACGGCGATGCATAACACGTTGATTCTCAGTGAAACCCAAACGAAGCCTCAGATGGACGTAAAGTTCGATTATCACGCACCTGTTGCTTCTCTCCAGTTGCAACTCCAGGGGATGCAAACAGCTGGCCAACAAGATAAACCCAAATTCATGGCGCGGTGTGCAATCCGCAAGCATAGGAGCCTTCCTCGAACTCATGCATAGATCAGTTCCGCGGCTTGTGTAAGACATCCAACGCCTAATGAGAGGCCAGAAACACAAAAGTCTCTTCACCTACATGATCCATACACATCACATCTCCGCGGCAAAGTCTGATTCAATTTGGGGTCACGGCGCATTCCAGCGCGTCTCTACCCGCACGCCTCTTTGCTTTTCACCACCGTCGTACCTTGAGGCACCCCGTCCTGCCACGGCTCAGGTTTGGAACCAAAGGCCAGCCTAAGCTGGGTACGCCTGTTCCCTCGACAATTAATAAAACACCACCTGGTGTGTGTTTACCTTAGTCCTGTTGCAGGATGTGTGTGTGTGTGTCGGTGTGTGCTCATCCTTATCCATTTTCAGCGTTGCACTTTAGATGTGTACAAGCTGTTCGCAACGCCTTCTGAGCAAGGATTGCCGGAGGCCATTAGCGCCAAGCATGTTGCACAATTGTCAGTCTGAAACTGTAGTCGGTTCGTTATCAATGTTGTTGTCGGTCAGGATGCGAGCACTTGCCCATTGGGAAGTTTCATGACGGGCAAACGAGGCTTTAGCTGGGCTGGCCGGCTGTCTTACTATTTCTTTCCTGCTCGTGGTGATAGGTCCTGATGTCGGCTTTCTTCATCATCGGCGCGCAGGGTTCCCCTTTTAACGTTATGAAAATGTCAGGGAATAGCCGAGATGTTGTGTTCCTCCCATGTGGACAAACCGGAACATCGAGTACTCAAACATCTATAAGCCACTTACGACATTGCTTAGCAAACTTGTGATTCCCCTACAGCTTGCCATGTCTCTGCACGCCCAGATCAAGAACCATACCGCTTCTTTTCATCTCCCGGGATTCGTAATGTCGACTCCATATTCATCAACCCTTGTTTATTCATAGCGGGGTTGTCCCTGGGTTTGGTGGGGAATCTTCGCTTTTGGAGGGGAACACCCCCTATTAATTGAACTGGGGTTGATTGATATGGGGTCAACATTAACCGCTTGACTTATAGAGGGTGTCCAATGGACAGTGGACTGCCCGAGAAACTCCCTGGCCTGGTCCATTTTGGACGCGGCCTTCTTCCGCTCCGGCACCTGGTGACACGAGACTCACCCGGCGAGAAGCGGTCCAGGGAAGCAGCCAGATGTGAGCCCAGGACAAAAACACTTACCTGTTGCCAATGTCCATTTTTCTCAAGGGGACTATCAAAAGTTTTGAAGAAGAGTTTGTGTTTCCCAAAAAGGTTGGAAGGAAAACTCTGGCCTAGAATGGACCCATTTCAGGGTTCCTTCAGCTGGCAGTCCAGCAAAAGAAACATCGCCTTGCCGCTTTGTTGGGGAAAGCTTTATAAATATATATATATATGAATATGATGTGCTTTCAGTGCGTGACTTGCCAAAATCACCAGCATGAAATCAGAAAAACCTGGCTGCGGGGGGGCCCAAACGTGCAGGGAAGGTTGTAGTCTCAATCAAAGCAGCACAGGAAAACTCATTTGGAGTTGGCCTCAAAGGAACCCCCCTCCCCATGAGACCCGCAAAATAAGACACTCAAAAGGCCTTCCGAAACCAGGGATTCCGGAAGGATTAGGAAACGGGGTCTAGGCGGCAACTTTGATACCAAAGGGTATCTAACCAAAGCCAAACAGTCTTGGTTCACCCACCCAACCAAAGGGCGCCATTAAACTGGGTTGCTCCTGTTGTCCCCCCGTCGAGGTTTGAAAGTCGTGAGACTGAGCGTTTGGAGTTCCATGGAGACCTTTGTAAACCCAAAAGGTCCAAAACCAGGCGACTCGGGTCACGCCTTACAGACACGAGGAGTACTTTCTCAGTGGTTCTGAAAGCAATCTGTGCAATAAAACTGATGCAAGCGTGGTTTCCGTTTTTGAGGATATCCACTTTTGGTTGGTTCTCATAGAAATCCGAAACGACGCAGTTCCCAGAGCTCGTGGCTTCGCCTTGTCTGCCCCGCAGGAGTCTGAGCTGGAGCTCTTCTTCGACTTCTCCTGGCAGGCGCCAAAGCGTCGGCCCAGGGCACTGTGGTGTCAAGATGTCCCCGACAAGAGCTCTTTGGTGTTTTGGTTTAGTGGCCCTTAACCATAGGACCCCTTGACAACCAACCCCCCTGCTGGGTTGGTTCAAATTGCACGAGTACCATTCAAATCGGAAGAAACGGATCTCCCAGCCCAACCTCACGTTTCGGAGCCCTGGTTGGTTTGCTTGGACAACCATTTTGGGTGTTCAATCCACGTCAGGCAAGCAGGCGCTTACCCAGCTACCATGGTAATAACCTACTTACCTCACGTTGGCAAACAAAATCCAAGTGCTTTGTCCCAGTATTGAATCGGCTTCATTCATCCCAACTAGCGCCGATCGGCGTATTTTCAATACTCACAAATTGTACAAAAGGAATCCTCAAGTAAGCAACCTTCATCACAAGCTTGTTTGGCCATGGTTGTGGGTCAGTCAATATTAGGGTTCCATTTTGGATACCTAGTTTTGACCCACAACCAGGTGAGCTTCTCATCATTTACGCATTGTTTACGCGCAGAACAAGAAAAGCACGGGTCCCAAGGGGTCGGTTTTGGTCCATCCGTCGCGTCGCTCCATCGCGCCTCGGCGTCGTGCTCCTCTAGCCTTGGTCACCGTTCAAGCAGAAACCTAGGAATCAAAACCGGTCTTCCCTCATTTTACAAAAGCGCATGTCAACATCTTGCGAAGGCCCCAGAAAGCTGGTGTTCCGTCTGGGTTCCCTTTAAACCAAGCCCAAAAAAGGTACCGAGCCTCAACAAAACACACACCCAGATGTTCCTTATCGATCCAGTAGCCGCTGGATGAGCTCGTTCTTGCGGCCGCTCATCTTGAGCCCGCGCTCCGAGAGGATCTGCTTCAGATTAACCACCTAGAGCGAGTCGAGCCAGCAGCAAGCCCGAGGTTTCTATTTGGGCTCGTCTCCTTTTGAGGGTAGCCCGGTAGTCCGTGTTTGTGAGTTTTAAAGGAAACCACGAGCCAAAAAAAGGCGACACACGCTTGCAGAGTTGGCGGTCTCAGATGTGGAAGAATAGTTCATGTTCTTCTGACAATGTTCAAGCGCGCCGACCTTTTGGGTTTAGTTGGAAAGCCAATGTCTAAACCCAATATGTCCAAAACAGGGCGATTCAGTCACACCCGATGGGCCAGAAGCCCTCTCTTGCTTGGTCGTGTGTGAGAGGGTGTTCCCAAAAACTGAGGAACCACACCTGCAAAGCCCCTTTCTTTAAACCTAAGCCAGGTGTACCCGGGTGCAAGTAGATGGCACACTTCTCTTGGGGGGAAAAAATAGGGACGAAATACTTTCACCCAACTGGAAAACCCTTCACTTGCAAACAAAGGACCGACACATTCTGTAGGTGATTGCCTTTTGTGGAAGATGAACATTTCTGTGATGCATAGATTGAAATCCCTTCGGGCAAGTGAGATCCGGATGTGTCTTTCTTGCCTTATTTTGGCTGGCCTGAAAGGAAAACCAAAAGGACACCGACCATTTGCGAGTGAGTGGATCCATTCATTTTGAGACAAACCCACGTGTTGGCTACTCTGAATGAACAAAATCATCATTACTCATAGGGTTCCATCCATCCGAGCTGGTGCAGGACTTTGACAATCAATTTCGGGGCTTTGCGAATGCGATGAGAGGGGATTCTCTTAACGGAAACAACAAGGGATGGTTCATACTGTGGATGAACAACATCCTGCACCAGTTGATAGGTTTATCCTGATATTCATAGAGCTTCATCCATCCCCAACTGGTGCGAAGTGGGTATTGTCCATCCATTTCGGGGTCTGGGGAATGAGCCGACAGGGGATCCCTATTCAATAAACATAAGAACCAAAAACAAAACAACTAAGAAGCAGAAAACCACCATAGGGATAGTTCGAATACTCTGAAAGGACACCACCAGTTGGATGGTTCATAGGTCCTTCCGACTCACTGCCAGAAAAAGAACCGCCGGCCTTGAGGCTGCTGTACTCCGCCGCTCGGGACAAGTTCTGCAGCCCTTCCATTGGCGCCTGGCACATCGAGTCAATGGTGGTTAAAAAAGGGGAACCGAAGGAAGATGACTTAAAACGGTCCTCAACTTGTTGCTTTCTTTGCCGGGGGGGGGGGGACTAGTTACGGACAAGTTCCTTTTGGTCCTCTTTTTTGCACGACAAATGGAGCAACATGACGGCTCCAGCCTTCACTGCAGGGCTGTATGAGATTATGTGAGTGTATCCGATGTTCTCGTTTTTTTTTGTTTTTTTAAATGTGACGGTGATCGATCATTTGGCGCGAAAACGGCAAGTCAACAGGATCTGAATGGCCCACGCACCGCGGCCCGCGAGTCTGTGAAGACCACCAAAGGGGCCACAGTGAACACCGCAGCAGCGGACCAGACTTACCATGACAGCAAACCCCATGTGCAGCGCACACGTAAGGCAAACAAACCGCCATCAGACCACACGAAGCGAGAAAAGCACAGGACGAGGTCAAGGATGGCCTCCGAGTCCCAACCGGCGCACCGGGTCAATGCCGCGCGAAACGCAAAGGACGCACGCCTGCGCAAGGTAGCAAATCACTTTTGAGTTCCCTATGTCCCCAAACGAGCCTATGGCTGCGGCTCAAAACACCTGCCGAAATGGCACCTTGGAATACGGACACAAAGCCTAAACCCTGCGCAACCCCAGCAGTTTAATCGAGCAACAGCCTGGATTTGTTCACCAATCTCACAACTCCTTGTGGGTGTCTTTTGTATGTTCTAAAAAAATCCTTCACACTGACGCAAGCACCGGCCAATCAAAAACATCTTGCCTAACTTTCTGCAGTTCCTGTGCCATGCCTGTGGACCCAATGAAACATAAACCACTGGCTGATTTATACAGGGGGTCCTGTCTTAGAGGCAGTCCCTGACTTTTTGCTCCATGAATCCGCCATCTTGATCCATCCGACCTCAACACTTGCCCCAAAGCCAATCCATTCGCGGGTTCACCGGCGATGCCCTGAGAACCTGGGCCCCAACGATCCGGGGCTGTGCCTCCGCGAGCGCCTCTTTTGCCACGGACCGCACCAGGCGCACAGCCTCCTCCACTGAGCCTCGGGCCGGATTCCCACCCATACAGGTTTGAGTATCGGTTCTGGCCCGTAAGTTTCCTTTCAGAACCTCGGTTTAGCAACCATTGCATGTTGTAGCTTCACAACAACACAAGGCGCAGCTCACAAGAGCCAAGACTATTTGAGACATTTTGTCTTCCTGGCTTCAGCATCGGCTCACAATGGTTTGGGCCTGCAAAAGAAGTCAAGGGACAGCCCCTGTAACGAAAAGGCGCGGGGGTTTTAGTTCGACCCTCCTTCGTTTGGACCTCCATGCTCCATTGAGGGCTGATGTGAGGCTGAAAACGTGTTTCGGTCTGGAATTCGGGTGGGGTTGAAACTGGTTTACGGCTGACCTGTGCTGGGCTTGGGGTTGGTTGGGCTGAGTACGTCTCGGTGTCAGTGGTCCCACCTATGGCCCCTCCAGTGACTGACGAACGGCCCAACAAACCAAATCGAGCGGCTGACTGAGCGAGTGACTGACCAGCCCATCAACACATCAATCAGACCAAAGCAAAAGTCAGTGGGAACTTGGAACCCTTGGTTGATGAACCCTTGGCTGACCGGAATTGGGTCTAAGTTGGGGGGAACTCCCAAGAATGAGTGGCTTCCGTTTGGATTCCCAATGAAACAATCCAAAGAAGTGTGTTTACGAATAAGAGCATGCCGCCATACAGCTAAGCTAGTCAAAACAGCCCATAGCAAAATAGGATACCAAAACAGGGGCCCGCCAAAAAGACTGTTTGCCGTTTAATGCCCCCTTGAACCAAGGTGAGCAGGGAAAACCTGAAGGAAGCACACACCCAACTGATATCATCATCCCAAACAACCTGACCAGAGCCAGGAAGCACTTTGCCAGCAGCGACGCAGCCAAGGCCTCCAGCTCTCTCCTGGTCAAACAGGTCCAAAACTAAAACCAGCGCGGATCTTCAACTTGGTCACTTGATTACTCCAGGAAAGTACATGTATGTGGGTCAGCAAATGGGACGGCCAGTGACTATGGGGGGGATCATGCCATCTACTTTCACCCGACTGCAAGTGACCATGGTGGGGGAAAAAGGAGCGACTCCCGTGTAACCATTCTTGTCTGAGTTCAAAGTAAAACCCTTTCCGTTAAGGGGGACAGCCACATTAAGGCTCTCTAAGGCTCCCTCATAGGGTTCCTACATTAGGAGTCAAAAGGCAACCGGTTCCACGATTCGATTGCGTAACCATGGAAACCGTCATGACGTGGAGAAACAGAACCTGAAGGCAGGCTTGCTCGGAAGTCCATGACAAAAGGGTAAGACATTGCTGAAAATTGAATTACAGTTGGCTCCCGCAAAAGTACAACGACCGGAAACAGAAACCATTGTCTGTCATTGTGGCTTGGTCTTCTTAAGGAGCGGAGCAAACCTCAGGTTATCCAAAACAATTGGAAACAATAGGTTTGGCTGGGAGTTTCACTCAACATGGACCAAACAGGGAAACCAAACGCTTAAAAGGTCGTTTCTGAGCAAGCGGCAAAAGGCAGTGGGCGAGGTAAGGATCTGGAAAAGCCCTTGGGATGTGTCCAGCCAGCGCTGTCCAGTTGTTGAACCTGGGTGCTGGCTGAATGGTCCCAGTTCCTTCTCCACTGATACAATGTGGGCTTGCTTTTTTGAGGGCCACCTTGTTTTTGCTCGCCTTGTTTTTCTTGGGATGCTTTCAAGGGAAACCAACAGGACACCACTCATTTTGGGGAACGCTTGCCCTATGTCAAGCCCAGATCACCCCGTGGAGTCATGTTCAACCAGCGCGCGCCTCGCTCCCAGTCGCGAGGCGGTTGTCAGCTGGACCTCCGCAGATTCGCCCGCAACGCCGAACCCCAAACCCACACGACCCACGCAATCAAGGTAGGTAATATGACCCGCTGGGAGCTTTTGTGACGGCAAAATACAGCGTGCGCGCAAGATTGGTGTTTGGGGAAGGCTGCTTTCATGTTGGTCTCCGTTACCTCGAAAAGGGTTCCCAAGCTCACGCAGTCGAACAATCCTCAATCCAGCAACCTCCAGTGGAGGTCCATGGGCCAAAATCGGAGCCCGTCACCTTGGGCCAATGACTCCCCTGAACTCTAGTGGATTTCCGTGAAACAGGCACAAAAGGGCACCACTCGACCCAGCCACCAAAGTTTCGGCAAGTTATGCGACACGGGATATATGTATATATATATAATGAAATGACGACCAAGTCAGTGCAGCGACTATGTAATGGGTGTACACCTCGTCCCCTTTGGGTGGGGGTAGTGGGGTGACAGGCGCGCCTCCCCGTTGCTGGGCAGCAAAGCCTCAGAGTCTCATTGCCAAAACCTCCCCATCTGAGATGTGTTTTTTTAGTGTGGCTCCTGCATCTAAAAAACGCTGCTCATCTGACAAAAACACTAACCCTTCAAGTTGCAATTGACTAGTGAGTTCCATTGCTGCCACTTCTAGAATTCCAAGATTGCGGGGTGTTTCCATATGGCATTCCCAAACTGGACGAAAGTAAGGATTCAAATTTGGACTAGCCGAACCAATGTTTCAAGCCCGATCTCGGCCCGAACCTCAAGCCCGCCGAAAAGCTTGCCAGCAAAAACGGGGACAGGGCAACAATACGTACCTGGAAATGAACAGGTTTATGGTCATCGACGCAGGGTCTTTCATTCGGGTTGACTGAGACGGGGGCACCAAGTCCAGAATGAAAACGCATGCAGAAGCTCGAGGTTGCGCGCTTCTCTCCGTCTTCTTGAGGCTTCAGGGGCCAGTATTTTTCCAGACTCGCAGCTCCAGATTGACTGAATCACCCGAAGTCGCGGTTTTTGCTTCATTCGCTAGTCGCTTCGCGGATTGTTATAGGTAGCCGTGTTTTGCCTCCAGGCTTTACATGATGGAATCGCCTTACCCACCAACTAAATGGAATCTCTCAGCACCATTGAGAAACGAGTTTTATAGGAAGCCAAAGGAAACCTCTTGATGGCAATCATTTGAGAGCCTCAGGATAAGGGATGTTCTCCCCACAAGTGGGAAAATCCCCACGAAAGAGGGAAAACCAACAAGGTGACAACGGGCCAACAAACAACACAAAAGTCTGGCAATTCAACCTCTCCACAGAGTCCCACCCCATCCTGCAGGAAGTCCGGTTCGTGTGCAGCTTCTGGCTTCAAGCCTTTTACTCCCCTTCAAAGTAACATGGAATGCAAAACGCCGTCCCAAAAGGAAGTTTCCTCTAGAAATGATGGCTTTACGGGTTCCATGTTAGAATCTGCAGACTCATCGAAAGGTCACACAAATGATAGCTGTTTTCCGGAAAACGAGCATTCACCCACTGCAGCCCCAAAAAAGGTGAGGTAGGCCCCAAAAAATTAAACCGATATCAACCAGTTCTCGACCAAATTCGAAACCATATGATTCTCTGGCAGCATTCTGAACAGGGTCTTTCTGCTATAAGTCCTGGCTCGAAAATTGCAGCTTTGAACAATATCCGCGCCAAAGGGGCAAGCTGATTTGGACACGTCAATCGGAAAGTGACGACAAAGACTCCAAATCGGAGCCTACTAGCTTTCTTTGGATCCTTCTCTTTGATATACATCTTAGGAGCCTTCAATTTCTTTTGAGTATGAGATACGTGCCGATATTGAGGGCAAGCATTCTCAATCTGCGGGGACTGATTGTATGTCAAAAGCAGCCGATTTGAACGTCAAGAAGAAGCCGAAGCACTTGGAAAAGCCAACTCCCGATGCAACCAAGTATCCGCATCTGGCATCCTTGGTGCCCTTTGCCTCATCCGCACGCGATACCTATAAGTGCCTCGGCTGGAATCCGAAGTGATGCGCAAGGTTTGGTGGCCGCTGTGAAACAAGGGATCCAGTGTGGAGTCACGAGCTATGCCCCATGAAATCAGTGAAAAGGCAGCTTGCTTGAGCCGTAGCAACAAGGCGCGAACCTCGAAGCATGGCAAATCATCAGAATATGTCCTGAACTGATCATACTGTGGACGCACCAAAATCCAGCTGAACTGATTGTAGTGGCCCAGGATCAACGTGCCTCAAAATCCCAAACTACAATGCATCGGTTCGGCGGCATTTCTTCATTCTATGAACGAAACCTCAAACGAAAATATCGCAAACATGAGGACGCCCAAATCCCAAAAGGCTGGCAATTCCATTTAAGTCAGGCATATCATGGGGGCGTAACTCTCTTCGATTCGACCCCTGCCCGACTCGGGCGTAGCTCGCATCGCCGAGCCGCCCAGTGCAAAGGCGCAGGCGGCAAACTGGGCGCGTCGTTCCGGGTGCCATGCGGACGGAGCTTCGGTCCCGTCGGCGCGCACGGCCTGCCACTGCTTGCGTCTTGCGGAGAAAGGCAATCACGCAAAAAAGAAGTTAGGGACTTGCGAAAGGAGTTTCTTAAAGCTGACTCTTCAGCATGATGCTGGAGGTTGAAAAACGTTCAACTCCTAGAATGGCGAGCTGCGAGCTGCGACTTTCTGCTGCCAGCCGCGACTTAGGGAAATAAGTTGGTTATGAGAATAATATGACCTATAATGGCAATCAAATTTAATTCGATAAACTCTGATATTGATAGCAATCACAGTCATGGTGAAACTGAATCAGAAAATGAGCATAGCATAACACATGACATGGTACAAGTTGAGGTAGGTGGGCCTCAGCACTGTGGACAAGGCAGGCTCTTGTCCATGCAAAGGAAGCTGGCCAAAAACACAGGCCACTGACAACATTGAAGGGACCCGCCAATGACTCCACGTACCACTCTGGTAGTAGGTCGCTGTCCGGATTTGCCAGTGCTGTTTTTTTTCTTCCGCTGGTTGCCTCCAAGTCGCGGCAAGTGGTGTGTGTGAAAATACTGTGGATGGTCAAAATCCTACACCACGTAAGAAACCTTGGAACGATGATGCCCCCTGTAAATACCTATCAACAATGGTTTCTCATGGATTCAAAGTCGTGCAGGATTTCGTCCATCCACATCTGCAAAAGGTGAGTTACTTTTGGCTTTGCTTGAACCGCCATCCACAAATGAGAGGGGGTCATCTTAGTACGGAGTCCCTGGATCCGATTGGTTCATCTGGGGGGGATCCGCCTTATAATGTTGACCCCGTATTAGTATGTAACCCCCCCCCCTCGAAGGTCGGGAAGGTTTTTGGGGGGCAAAATGTTGGAAGGTTTGTTGCCACCCCCCCTAAATAATCTGGAGTTGAGTTTCCATTTGATTTAGTATTGCTGGAGCTTCCTTTTGAGACCTGGAATTGAGTTTCCATTTGATTTAGTATTGCTGGAGCTTCCTTTTGAGATCTGGAATTGAGTTTCCAATTGATTTAGTATTGCTGGAGCTTCCTTTTGAGATCTGGAATTGAGTTTCCAATTGATTCTGGACAAATTAATATAATTTCTACCTCGTACCTCGAATTATTAAAAAAGTAATAAAATACTACCTCGCAAATTAAGGGTCCACCTCGCACCTCGTATTTCGGCGTCTTCCTTGCCTCCTACAAGAGTGTAAAATTGCAGGGGGGTTGAGCCAGATGTATTGTTGAACCTTTTTTTTCAAACGTGTGTGCTTCAAGCTTGTTAAGGGCAATTAAGCAGAAACGGCCGGTCTTGACAACTTGAGACCAGTCTCAATGAGAGACAAACAAGGGCCGGATCTTCTCAAACGTCTGTGTTTTCAAGCTTTTCAAAGCCAACTAAGCACAAACGGCTGGTTTTTGAGAAGTTGAGGCCAGTCTGAATGAGGGACAGCGAAGGGCCGGATTTTCTCAAACGGGTGTGTTTTCAAGCTTTGCAAGGCCAATTGAGCAGAAGCGGCTGGTTGTTGAGAAGTTGAGGCCAGTCTGAATGAGGGACAGAGAAGGGCCGGATTTTCTCCAAACGCGGGTGTTTTCTCAAGCTTTTCAAGGCCAACTAAGCAGAAACGGCTGGTTTTTGAGAAGTTGAGGCCAGTCTTAATGAGACAGAGAGAAGGGCCGGATTTCTCAAACGTGTGTATTTTCAAGCGTTTGAAGGAAAATTAAGCAGAAACGGCTGGTTTTTCACAGCTTGATGTGTCTTAACGAGAGACAGCGAAGGGCCCCGGACTTTCTCGAACGTCTGTTTTTGAAGTTTCTTCAGGCCAAATAAGCAGAAACGGCTGGTGTTGGAGAACCTGATGCCCGCCTCAATGAAAGACAGAGAAGGGCCGGATGGTCTAAAACATCTATATCTGTGTTTTCAAGCTTTTCAAGGCCAACTAAGCAGAAACGGCTGGTTGTTGGGAATTTGAGGCCAGTCTTAATGAGACAGAGAAGGGCCATATTTTCTCAAACGAGTGCGGTAGCAAGCATTTTAGGGCCATTAGGGCCAAATAAGCAGAAACGGCTGGTTTTTGAGAACCTGATGCCCGTGTTAATGAAATTCAGGGCTCGGATTGTCTCAAACATATGTGCTTTCAAGCTTTTTACGGGGGTCGGAATCTCGCACACCTTGCCACACTTGGCGCCCCGGTGCGCCGAATGACACCCCACAGATTTGAGAAATCCTTATTTCGGAAACCACCTCGTAATTCGGGGTTTGGGGCTCGCCTCAGGCCAGTGAGCTCGCTATAATTTGTCTACATTGATTTAGTATTGCTGGAGCTTCCTGGTGAGATCTGGAATTGAGATGGGCCGATGGACCGCACTAATTAGGGGGGATTATTAAATGGGGATGTTAGGGGCCAATGTGGGGTGCTCTTTGAAACCTTCTAAACTTGATTTGTTTAGCAAAGAATTTAATAAGAAATCGACCATCTCAGAACACTTTTTGTTTTGTGGTTTGGGCAGGCCCAAAAGTATCCACCAAGCTTCAAGATGAGAGTAGGAAGTGGAGATGAGAGCCCTAAGCAAGGCAGCAGCATGAAGAGAAAGGTATCAGAAGAAAGCATGAGCCCATTTGAGCCAAAGCACCTTTTCAGGACACCATCCAGAGAAAGCACGGCAAGCAGCATGAGTCCACAATATTCAACATCAGCAGCATCAGCTAGCACCAAAAAACAGTTTACATTGTAATGAGCTCAAGAAGCAGTGGAGAAAATGAGATAGCAGCAGCCATCTGCGGGAGGGACCGGTTTAATGGGGGGGGGGGGGTTGTGGCATCATTTGTTATGTTGGGGGGGTATTTTCTGAGATATGAATTGTTTAGTATTGGGGGGGGTCACCCGGACCGGACTAAGGGGGGATTATTAATACGGGGTCAACATGAAGCCAAACGATCGGAGTCCGCTGGAATGCACTGGAGCACGAGCTGCCCTGCAAGACTAGAGACGTAAACACGGCTGGATTCACGCTCGTGCTTCTCTGTACTTGAATAGAGTGACCGTGAACGCTGAACACCTCCTGAAACGCTGGGTACACTACCAAATATGGGATGGCAAACCCATCGCATCGTTCCTTCAGACATCTTCTTTGTTGTAACCAAGTTGCTCCAGATCTCCAAGCTCTTTCCTAGATGTCCGCACTAGAAAAGGAGCCACCGATTTGCAAACAAAGTGGCCTAGAAGGACGTTTGGTTGCAAAGAACTTGCTTCAAGTGGGAGCACGTGAACATTCACTCGTGGCTGCTTCAGAGGCATTCACTTCTCGAAGTGGGTGGATTTACACCCCTGTTCGGAATGAAAGCAACAAGGACCCTATATATGTTGACCCCTGATCAATAACCCACCCGTTTATTACGCGTCCCCCTGGAAGAAAGGAATCCCAACTAAAAAGGGAGCCCCTGATTAAAAAGTGGTGGGTTATGAAGGGTCAACATTGAAAGTGCAGAAACATCTTGAACATATCAGTTCGCTTTTTTGAGGGCACAAACCTATTGCAAGCATACAGCCAGCATTCGCCCTGCGCCATTAGTTCCAAGCACAAACTATGCAATCGCCGAGCTGTGGAAGGTTTGCTACCCAAAACCAAAGAAGGCAAAGCGGCACGGCTGAGTCCCCAAGGGGCCAAGGGACACCAAGTGAAAAGCTTACAGTAGAAAGTGCGTGGCTCACTGCTGGCAGAGGGGCACGTTTTGGGGCAACCCAAAATGGTGGCTCCGATATTGGTGTCCCTTGAACCCACCAAGGAACCCAATAGGTGAAAAGGTCGGTTTTGACAATTTCGGCAAAGGACACCTCCAAAAACCACCTGTGTGACAAGGGGGTCCTCTAAAACAGCTGAACAGTTGAACTGTTAATCGGCTCGAATGCGTCCTGTAATCGACCCTGCTCTACATATGGCCAATTCAAAACAATCCAGACAGCTGTCAATCATTAGCCAGTCTCATTGTTTCTTGTTGACCTGCTGTCTTGCTGATCTGATGCGGCTGATTGTCTGAGCAAGAGCAACTGGGTGGAACTCCGCGGGACATTGTGCTGTTCAACTGTTAAGACATCAGATTCCTCGCCTGCGCCCGAGCACGAGCAAGCGCTTGCTCAGGCAGAACGCGGCCCGACCCGGCGAGGGCCAGGGGGTCCATTTTTGGCCCTGGCAAGGTCGGAATGCAGAGAAGAACGTATGCAGATCTGACTGAACATCTAGATGCAAGTAAGCAGATCTAAAAAAGCCAGGACAGATCTAATGATAACATTACAATTCAAATCAGCATCGGCTCCCGTGTTGGCCGTTTTGCGTCACCAAGTGAACTTGTGAATCTGGAATTCACTGTTCGGGAGAAGGGCCATCCTTTTCAAACTCCCTGCCAAACCAAACAGCGTTCGTTTTGCTTAAAATCACATCCACAAATATAGCTGAAGTGATGCTCACACAAACACAATGGCCATGTCATAAAATCGGAAGGCACCCTTTAACTTGCTCCAACTCACGCCAGGTGCATGTCTGACTCCTGTGAGTCCTCTCTGCCCCGACTGGGGTCTATAAACAGCCGTGCGGAAAACCTCAAAGAAGTCAAGGAGGTCAAACTGTCCCCTATGTTCAAGCCCACTATGTGTATGAATACAATTGGCACCCTGTGGTGAGTACCATTCACGTGGGAAATCATGTCCATCAACCAGTCTGTTGTTAAATCCATCTGCCATGTGTCGATGTGTCGAAAGAAAAGCACATCGAGCTCCTGGCAGCGTCTTCAGGCAAAACTAGTTCGGAAATTCCAACCCGAAGATCAGAATATCAGCCCATGAACAATCACTATATTTATGATAAGCCGAAGATCAACCCATTTTTCAACCCGAATGGGAGCTCCTGAACCCTTACTACCCTTTACTTAGACATCCCGGTTCAAGTGGACTGATCAACTGGGCGTTCCGTCCCCCCCCCCCAATCTTGCCTCGTGTGGCTTCCCCTCCCCCCCCCCCCCGCCAACAAAAGGTACCAGCCACAAGTCTAAGTGGTCCACGCATGTATGGATTCTGAGAAACATACCCTCGCACCCACTAACATGGAACACACAAGAGTGTCCCTCATTCGAGGAAAATTACTTCCAAGACCACCCAGTCCGGCCCCATGTCAGTTGCTGGGAGGGCCCTTAGAAAGACTGGGTCCACTGGAATGACATTCTCCAAACAATTACCTCACAAGGTGGTTTTAAAAGGAAACCACCCGGACAAATAACTTTATTGGCCCCTCAACATGCAGCCACCTGAAAGGCTCCAGAGAAAAAACAAAGAAAAAAGAACAAAATGCATGTAGCATCCAACAGTTCCCGGTGAGTGACCCAACTGGTGCCTCCTCACCTCCGGCGCGCTGGTGGTACCCCAATGCCACCCAGTGCTGGAGCCAGGAGCAACGGGCCTGGGCCCCTCGATGCTTTGACCTGAACTCAAGACAACTTCCATTTGCTCAAGCCAACACACATCAATATGGGCTTTTTCTTTTTCGAGGGCACCCTTTTCAGGCCGGTTTCAATGGAGCTGAAAGTAAAAGGACTCACCGGCATCTTGGAGGCCCCTATATGTTTGACACATATCTCACACTCATGTTCGCCAAGCATGGGAAGTACATAATTTCGACAAGGGTTTAGTAACATCTTAATTGAAGTGGCAGCCACGGATTCATGGTTGGGTTACCATTGGATCATTGGGATGCATGCTCCACCCCATGGGGAGCCCCTGGCTTGAAGCGGAACATGCGCCCGTGGGGAGATCCAGCTTGATCCAGTTGCAGGTGGGATATAGATTCTAAAGAAAGTAGAATCCCACAAAACCGAAAGGGACAAATGGCGGCGGAGACTGAGCAAGTGTCTTCCGGCGGAATCTCCCTGACGAATGCAGCATGTGACGTGTGATGCAAAGTGGCGGTGACTGGCGCCCGCAGGTTTCAGGATGGTCTGAGAGTCTGACCCCTCTCGTCTCCAAGTCACACCCCAAGTCATGCCAAGGGCGTCCCGCATGAAGCTGGACAAGGGTGCACCTAAAGCACGGGGGCGTTCCGTCAAACCCCAACATCAAAACCATTTCCTGAGCCGAGTCAATTGCCCTGACTTGCTCACAAGCTGGGCAAACAAACATGGGGATGTGCCGAAATCGGGGGAGCCCTGCAGGATGGCTCCCCGGCTCTGTCGCACCATCTTGACGCGCTGACGCGCCATCGCCGGTCTTTGGGCGCTAAAGCAATTGCTCCATACCGTCCCTGGGTTGCTCCAACTTGATCGGCACACGAGAAGAACGCCAAAGGGAACAAAACCAATGGTCAACCCTTTGGTTGTCAAATTTCAGAGGCTGGGAGCAACCCATATCCTCACAAGCCACGTGGAAGGGGTGTCGAGCCCCATGGCATGGAACAAAAGGGGTGTCACTGTTTCTTGCAGTCAAAAGGAAAGATTGGGCAAACCAAGAACACTGCCAGTATCCTCCAGTTAGGAAACCACATGCCGTCCACAGACGACACATTTCTTTGCTCTGCCATGATTTCGTACAGGTCACTATACTTGATTTGCAGGGGTTCCTCATGGCAGCTGTTCTGTGCCATACGCATCTTGTCCGTGGCTTACACCAGCTTGAGAATGTTCTCCTCCAAGATTCTAGCTGGTGCTTAGAATCGTCTCTCAGAATAAGCTTTGGCCGATGGAGAAGTTCTGAATCCTCTGTATGCAGCTGTCATACCCTAGAAAAAAAATAGGCCTGGGCCCTCCCTTGCGTAGGGTAAACTTTATGTGTGGGTGGGGGGGGGGGGGGGGCGGGCCCCTTTGGGTCCCAGTACGTCCCCTTCCATCGGCTGGGGATTTCTCTGGCGCTCAACGCTTCTGCCGCTTGTTGCTTCCAGCCTGGCGTGAGAAAGGAAAATTTTTCGTTAGGGTGCCTACGTTTGGTTTATGGTAGCGTAGGACTCTTACCGGTTTAGGGTAATAGCACCCCTACATTGCGGGAAAGGAGGTCCCAAAGCTGAGCTTTGTTTGCGTATTCCGGATCAAATGGAAAACCGAACTAGAACTGGACTTCCAAAGTCAAAAGATTGAAATTGAAGGCGTGTTGATGAATGGAACTGTCGGCATGGTGGATTACCAGAATTGGTGGTGAGCCTGCTTCTCTTGTGAACTCTTTAAGCGGTCGCCGCAAACAGCGAAGGCTGTATGCCTGAGCCAGCTCAGACTCAGCAGGTGTATTGCAAGGGCTCAACCAGCTCAACCATGTATTTTGCAGTATCCGTATCCCTCTGCGATTGCACCTGTTGCTTGGAAAGCTATGTGCGCAGAATGTAACTTAGCGGAAATAGCCAAGTAGGGTACGCGGTTGCCCTCCTTGCCCAGTGAGGAAAAAGAAGAGTCATTAACGTCAGGAATCTGTTTTCCAGGGCTTGAAATTACTGCCTAGGGGTCAACATATTTTTTGTTTTTTCTCCTGGAGCCACCGCAAAAACAAAAAACATCGCCACTCGTAAGCGAACGGCGGTGGGGAGAAATTGGAGCTGTCTTCGCAAACAAGCTGGACCTGCGGCTAGCGTTGCCAGAGGTTTCGGCGAGTCTAGACAAAGCGATCCAGCAGCAGAATGTTCAGTGAGTGAGTCAGTCGGTCGGTCAGTCAGTCGGTCAGTCAGCCAGCATCCAGTCATCAATGAGACAAACTGTTTGCCAACCAGGTACTTGTACCTTTTAGGGGTGGGGAGAAGCGTCAGTCAGACAGGTTGAGTAGACTGGCTCTTGTTGCACTCACTCTGCAAACTTTCAGGAGACGGACCCTTGCACCAGCTGGTTCTAGCTACCGCTGCAGAGAGAAAATTGTGCACTTCGGGCAAGTTCTGAGTTCGTGCAGTGTTTGACCCAAGAAAAGTCGTATAAATCACAAAGCCCAAAGATTTAAAAAGGGTTTGGTTAGGATTAAGTTGAAAAAGGGCTCCCCAAACGACAAAGACAGCTTACTTGCCCTGGGGCCAAGGAGGAAAAGGACAGCCTTCATAGGAAAAGCCACAAAGAACAGGAGCAACAAAGAAGATTCAGACACCCATCCGTCCTTAGAGGACGGGGAGGCGCTTCTCCATCCGAATGGACAGGGAGGATAACTGGCTGCCTTCTTCATGCCCAGCTGCGATTGGGGATATCCAGATGTTGGTGCCCTAAGAAGCGGTGGTCAGGTTGGAACTGGCTTCACCAGCTGCAGGCAAGAGACAAAAAGGGTCCCTTTTCTGGTTTGCCACTCTATAATCCATATATATATATATATCTATATTGATATGTATTTGCTAAACATCCTCGGCTGGAAAGGGAAACATGGGAACCCTGCCACTGGGGAACCAAAAGGCAAAGCTCGCGAGCATCGCCTCCGCGAACTCGCACATGTCTGACCAGAGCTTCTCCACGTCAGCCTGCGGAGTTGCTTGCCTTTGCCCCTCGTATAGACATATGAACCATGCGCATATTAGGTGATAATATTACGTGTTTCCTCTGAAGGAAATTGAGTCCCTGGTTTGTTGTGGGAACTTGAGTGGGCAATGTTAACCGAACCCCATAGAATGAGTCATGGATGTTTCCCATGCTGCTTCCCAAAATCAGCATTCATAACCCATCGATTCCCGAGAAATTCCCATGTGCCATGGTCATTGCTTCTTTGTTCGGGAACCAACATGAATATGGTGCACAAAAAAAAGGGGTCCCCAACCAAACACGAGGGTTTCCTGTGGGTTTGCCCTTTAGGCCAAGGTGAAAAGGGCCACCAACTGAAAAAAAACATCCCACCGCCCCTCCGCGACGCGAACGGCCCGGCGCCTGCGTGGTGCTGGTGGCCCCGAGGGCCACCCGCAGCGCGTCGCGGTCCGCGATCTTCGTGGGCGCCAGGCCGTAGCCCTGGGCCGCCCTCAGCCAGTGGTCAAAGTCAGTTCCTCTTCAAATTCCTTCATGAGTTTGTTCACCCTCCAACCACCGGATGCGGAGCGATAAGGTTCATTCCTGCCCACCATAGCCTGCCCCCTATTATTGCGCATGACAAAGCCCCACTGCTATAGGTTTGTCTTCAAATGGGTTGGAAGCCCCAAACATGTGGTAACAAGCAAATCCACCTGTGGTCCAAATAGGGATTTGGACCACCCAAAAATGTTTTGGTTGCTTGTTGGTCCCCTTAGCAACACAAAAAGAAAGGGTGCTCAAAGACAAACACACCCACGTGGCGATGGGCCAAAATGGACTGAACTCCCAACAAGCTACTTGCCTCAGGTCTTCCCACGTTGGGCCAAAGGAACCCCCTGCCAAACGTAACAGCTTGTTTGAAGAAAACTGCGAAGGAAAAGGGGTACTTGCCGATCCTGGAATGTTTGACAATTTTCGACCCCCGAAAAGTGGATTGAAGGGAAACAACACCAGCTTCTCACCTTGATACATCTGGCGCTTCCATGCGGGGCCACTTTGGCAAGGTTTCCCCCGTTCGGCCCGATCGGCACGAGGGTACAAGTATGGCCACTGAAAGGAGCCCAACGGAAATAAAACGTCTACCCTGAGCCAAACGTGGATCTCGGAATCGGGAGAACAAGGACTACGCTCCCTTGGACCATCTTTGTTTGCTTTGTGCACCACAACAAGTAGAGGGTCCGAGCAATACACCCCGAACCAGCAATCAACAATAAAGCATCAATGTGGGTTGTGAGGGCTTCCTGGTGGGCCTTCAGGTAGGTCAATGTCCACGTGTTAAGGTTAGTTTCAAAAGGAAGTTTTGCACTTCCATGAGTTTGAACTATATAAAAGGATCGAGAGGCAACTCCTGGCGATCCGAGCGGCAGATGCGCCGCCAGCTGCCGTGTCACCTCGTCCCCGTGCACACTGCGCAGACAAACCTCGGTGAGGCCGCGCTGGCCGGAAGGGTTGGGCCATTGCACATCTTTCACTTGAAGCAACCTCCTCATCGTTACATCATGAAAGGGGCAGGCGTCTGGTTGTTTCAGCCAAGTGTTCACAATCCTCCGCGCCCGGGCAAAAAAACGGGTCCTTCCCGGATTTTCGCATGATTCACGCTCAGGCTGCAGGGGGCATGTATATGACGTGGCCAGCGCCTGTCCTCATCTTGTGGGGAAAGGGCAAAAACTGACATCAGGGTCCCAAACGCGACTTGCGTTTTGGGCAAGCCCCCACTTGTTCCTAACTGGCTAACAGGACAATTTTGCGCGAAGCCGGCTGCATCCCAGTCGCCAAGCCGAAGACAGTCTGCACCGGTTGCTCGAAGTGCTCGCTCTCTTCGATCTTGCTTCGAAGCCAGGAGGCCTACCATAACTCGCATGGGTTGGCCGCTGCCCTGCTGCTGGTGAATTTGGACACAACGCATGCAACATGTTGAGCATGTCCTGCCTTTTGGTGTCCTTGCGTTTCCTCGTAAAGAAACTTTTCGTGATGCCCACGTGAGCAGCTGGTTCGACTGGCCACAAACCCCAAGTCACCAGGTAGTAGAACCACTAGGATGGCCAATAAGGATTTTGGGCGCTGCTCTACGTGTTGTTAACACCCCCCCAGGCCCCAATGTAGCCTGTGTCCTGCAACCTGCTCCAGTGGACGTGGCAGCCGATTGCATCGCGGTCGCTTTCGCCCGTTTTAGACGGGGCACCCAGCAGCATGAAGGTGAAAGCACGAGAATATCCAGCCAGAAAGGGTACACTCATGTGAAGATGCGCCCTGAAGAATGAAAGAGAAACACACGAGCAAAACAATGCAAGAAGCAAAACTTACCAGCGTTTCAGGAACCGGCTTACCCCGAAAACCTCGCAAGGCGAGCGCACGGGCCTGGTCAACGGCCTGGCGGATGTAAGACTTCAACCCACTGGTGCCGAAGTACTCGAAGACCATCCAAATCCCTAAGCCCAGCGAGCCGGTAACCGGAAGCCAACGGAGATATCTCAAGGCCAAACACTGAAAGGCACGTCGAAACCAAAACGGCGATACACCCTTGCAGAGTAATATGCATATGCATATATATATATAACCCAACAAACCATAATGTTTGGATCAGCTTCCTTCCCCCCCATTTTGGGCTCCAGGGTTGCTGGAGAGATGCCGACAGCATGTAACAAAACACATCCCTTGACGGCAACTGGGAGGCTCGAGATCTGACTGGCGAGCGCGCCCCGGCTGGATATGTTTGTCGCCTTCTTTGGTGGGAAATGCAGATTTGGGCCCAGCATGTGAAGGAAATCAGGTTTTCAGGCGGCTGAAGGTTGTTTTCTGGTCGCGCCACAGCACACATCTTAACATGGCACAACCCTCGTAGCACATGGCAACAATTCACAACACGACTCAAGAGCCAATCCTACAATACGCAACATGAAACAAAGCATCCGACATAGCATCAGAAACACCCCCACGGAAACACAATGAGAACCAAGCAGGGTTGTGGGAAATGACCATTTCTGTGATACAACACAAAGGGCTTCCCAAAGACTAACACCCCATAGAAGGGGGCAGATTCCTTTGTATCACAGAAGTGGGAATAACCTCCCTGAGTCCACAACCCTGGAACCAAGCAAAAGCCGTTGAAAGCCCATGGCCCATTTTGCTTCCAGGGAGCTGAGTGCGCGAAAGCGTCGACCCAAGGGTACCGACCAGTCCTGGACACTGTGTTGGCTTTGCTCCACCTTCCCAGTGCTGTCAGCTAAAGGACCTGCTGTGGACCTGCTGATGTTTTATTGGTTTCCAAAAGGAAACTTTCTCACTTCCTGGGTTGACCTATCTATTGCTTGCCTCAGTCGCATTTGGTCGCTTGTGCTTGTCTTGGCAGCCTTGGCTGTCATGGCGGCTCCATCTTAGGGTTGCTCACTCAAGCAGTTCCTGGGAGAGTCAGTTCGCCGCTAAAGTTCATATACATGAGGTATCAAATATTGGGGGACTCCCAAAATGCTTGTTTTGTTGTTGGCCGCCCTTGAAACCATGGTGAACCTTTAAAACAAGCAGCCCGCACACACACAATCAATGGAATTCTATACAAACAAGAACAGCAGCGCAGTTATGTACAACGGCTTCAACTTGACTGGTTTTGCAGATCTCCTCGGCGGGGGAGCACCCCACTGCAACATGCTAATGAATACCGTGTAAGCCACAGAACAAAAACAATGTTAACCGTGCTGGACCTGACAAAGCCGGAGATTCAAACGGATGTCTGGTAAACTCAGCGAGTTCCAAGGCCACTCCAATGGTGATGGCAGACTTCCTACAATCTTGGCTAGATATCCATGTCGGTCCTTGAACTCTGGGTTGTAGATCGACCTTGGGCAGTTCTTGCGTACGTGGCCCCTGTTTTGAATGGGTTGCAACTCGGATTGGTCCGTGTGCGTGCAAACTCGGGGTCCTCCTAGGAATGTAGTGAACGAGGAACTGACATAAAACCAACCAGCTGGAGGGGTCTCCAAGTTTGCACACTTGCCAAATTTGACAACTAGCACTCTTGCTGGAAGCATTGGTTCCTGCGGGTGAGGGCAACAATCATGCAATGTGGAATGGAAGGCTGACCAGCGTGTTTTCATTTCCAGACAAAGTAGGGCTTTCAAAAAGTGACTGTGGTCATCAGCAGTGTGTCACAATAAATGTGGGGCCGTGACTGAAAAAGAACCAAACCTGGGAACCTCTCTTCATCTACGCCCAGCTACAGCGGACGGGGTTGCTGATGTTACGCAAAAAGGGTCGAAAGGTTGGCTTTGAGTAACTGATAAGTGATATTCGTAATGAGGATACCGTGTGTGAAAGGGGCCTTTAACTGATTCCTCGTCACATGACATGGTGATGATCAAACCATGGTTACCATTATGTTATATTAGGGCACCATGCCAAGAGGTCCATTCCCAGCTTGAGACAGAGCAGCCAGTTCTGAAACGAGGGACCATCGGATGCAATGGAATGAACTTGGAACAACTGGGCCTCAACTTGAGAATGCACAGGATGGGTAAAAGTTCCATGGGCTGCCAAATGACTATGGACAATCCCAGTTGTCAGAAAACAGGACCCGCAAACACCATCAGCTTAAACATATGGCTGGTAAAAGGCACAACTCACCCTGCCTTGGCCCACACCTGGGCACCATACTTAGTCTACCGAACACAATTTGTTCGGAGACCCCCAATACACCAAACGGGTTCGACCCCCTTTGGCCAATGATGCCAATGTTTGACCCTGGTGCCCTTCATGTTTCCCTTTAAAGAAAAGTTTCCGAAGGTCAACCCTCTGGGCAAATAGCAAGAACATGAAAGTGTCGGACCCCCAGGAACGAACCTTCCTGGGCTTTCGCTCGTACGAATACTGGGACGGCCCTACCAATTCGTGGCGCAGGGCGCACGTCTGGGCGAATTTCTCCAGAAATACCAAGTAGTTTTGGGGGAGACCCCAGAACTGGTGCAGGATTTGCTCCTCCACAGTACCATTCGCGTCCCGAGGCGCATGTCCTCTACGTCCGCCATAAAGACGCCAGAGGCAGAGAACACGTCCAGCAGGAGCTTGCGATCACGGACCCACAGGAAGGCACTGTCGAAGCCGCAGAGGAACCACTTCGAGCCATTCATGTTCCTCAGCTTCAATGTCCCAAGATCGAGGATATCACACAAGGTTCACCCTGGCTTCCGAATTACCCTTTCCGGGCAATAATTAACTAGGTCAGAGACGAAACACTTAGCAGATCATGTCCTTGGCCAAAGGAAATCAACATATAAATATTAAGAGTTGGTCGGATTGAACCAGCTCGGGGGAAAAAAAAAACGGACCATTGCTTCTTTGCGGTTGAATGTAGAGGAGACATCGACTAAATGAGGCCGCGGCAAAACCTCAATTGAAATGGGCTGCACATTTGTTTTCTTATCGGTTTTGCGTCAAAGTTTATCGTTTTACACACATTAGTTTATCATTAAACCTTATCGTTTTTCTTTGCACCTTATCGTTTTACCGGGGTTCGCGCCTACATGGAAACACCCAAAAACCTTATCGTTGTTTTTTTAACCTTATCGTTTTACCGGGCTCGTGATTGTCCAACACAATGTGCGCGACTCTTACATCCCGCAAGCACGAGAGTATTGCCAGTCCCTCAAATGATGATCCTTCCCAAACTTAAAATAAAGAATCCCCACGTAAGGAACCTGCAAACAAAAGGGTTGAACTCATGCTAATCCCCTTGGCTGGCAATCATGACTTCCAGCCTGGTGATACACTCTTGTTCAGTTGCCCGAAGGTGGGCATTGTACAACAAGGGCCCCCTGAATGGATGTAGGACTCTCCTAAATACTAATTAGGGGATGGGGATTTATTTTAGAACCTCAGCAACTCAAAGACGGTTAGCACTCGTTTAGTCGAGTACGATTCAAAAGAATACTTGGTGAGATACGTCAAATAATAAACCCTGCTTCGCTATACACTTTGGCGGATGTGGCCCAGTCCGCTTCGTTTGGTTTCCAAGACAAAAAGAGGAAAACCTGACCTGCCACCTAGTTGGACTTTGGGAAGCCCCCTATTTCTGGGCCGCATTTAGGCTGCCTGCCAAAAGCTAACTTGGTGTTGTAGAGGAAACAAGAAGGAACACCAAAAAGGCGACGACTTCAAAGGATAAGTTGCGCCTGTCAACGATTTGCTGGTGGTGTCCTTTTGGAATCTGTCTCGTGAAATTCAACAGTAACACCTGTTTTAATACCCCCTTCAAAAGGCCGCAAAAGGCGACACCAGGATCCTAACAAGAAGCGATATGGGTGTATCTTTTTCGGAGTTGGCATCTTCTTGTTGTGGTTTTCAAGGGAGACACTAAAAAGGAAAACCACCATTTGGGTCCATTCAAAAGGACACCCCTATATTCTTCAACCCCCCTTCCTAAACAGACCCCTGCGGCCGTCGTCCCTGCCCACGGCTCTGGCCGAGCTGCACGGAGGTCACCACTTCACTCACCGCCTGCCTTAAGCACACGGGGATCTGAGGATCTGACGGCTTCCTTGCTGCGTGTTGTTGGCTACACCCAAACCAGTCAAATAGTGCGTGTTGTTGGCTAATTACGCCCCCAACAAGTTGAATGGTGAAAAAGGGAAAGACCTGTGTGTGCTAACCAAGAGATTTCCCAGCTACTTGACCAAAAACTGAGTAGCTAGCTAGCTAACCAGCTAACTAGCCACCTCGCCAACCAACCGGACTAGCCAAACAGCTAACAAGCCAGCTAAACAACGAGCCAAAGCCAATATGGCAACTAGCCAGCAAACCAACCAGCCAACCAACCAGCCAACCAGCCAACCAACCAGCCCACCAAGCAGCCAACCGCCTCGCTGACTTATGCTTGTATATGCGTGGCTGTCTACAACAATTCTTCATAATGGCCACAGTTCAAGGACAGCCACGATGATGTTTAAGCACCCAGAACGTGCTTGAATTGGTGCTTGGGTCAACCGCAGGAGTGACTGAGGGACTGAGTGACTGGCCGACTGTTGAGTGAGCGAGTAAGTGTTTTGTGTTGCTATCTAATTGAGATTATTAAACTTGTTAATTACCCAGCTAGCCAGCTAGCTTGTGCCAACGGATCTCAAGTTGTCCCATGCAATCGAGTTTTCCAGGTGCTCGTTGTTGCAAAAGGAAGCGAAGTTACGGGCATCGCATGGCTCGTGCCCTGGCTTTGACACCGGCCGCAGCTCAAAGCGGACGCCGCCAAAGGGACTGAGTTTGCAGATGCCCGGACTGTTATACTCGCAGGGGAGACGGTCACCCGTGGCACGCAAAGCCTTTCCGGGTGGGCAGTGCTTCTAAAAGTCGATTCAGTCCGGGCTGAAAACTTGTGCATGGCAAGACAAAGCCGCCCGACGACGGTGAGGAAGTGGCGCTGTCCCAATGTCGTTGGGCGTACTAACGCCCCGGTTCAAATCCGGTAGTTTGTCCTGTGAGCTAGCCACGTCAGTTAGGTCGATTAGGCAATCATTGGGTTGCTTGACATTGTGAGAAGCACTTGGGTGTGTGTGTTTGTGTAAGTGGGGGTGTGCGTGTGCGTGTGCGTGTGCGTGCGCGTGTGCTTGTGCGTGTGCGCGCGCGGGCCTGCGTGCGTGCGTGCGTGCCACGCGTATGTGCGTGCGTGCGTGCGTACGTGCGATTACGACGTGCGCGTGTGCGTGTGCGCGTGTGCGCGTGCGCGTGTGCGTGTGCGGGCGCATGTGTATGTGTGTGTGTGTGCGCGCATGCGTGCCTGCATGCGTGGGTTTGTGTGTGTGTGTGCTTGGTGCGTGTGGGTGTGTGTGTGTGTGTCTGTGTATCTGTGTGTCTGTGTGTCTGGGTGTCTGTGTGTCTGTGTGTCTGTGTATCTGTGTGTCTCTGTGTCTCTGTGTGTCTGTGTGTGTGTGTGTCTATGTGTGTCTGTGTGTGTCTGTGTGTGTCTGTGTGTCTCTGTGTGTGTGTGTCTCTGTGTGTGAGTGTCTCTGTGGTCTCTGTGTGTCTCTCTGTGTGTCTGTCTGTGTGTCTCTCTGTGTGTCTCTCTGTGTGTCTCTCTGTGTGTCTCTGTGTGTGTGTCTGTGTATGTGTCTCTGTGTGTGTGTGTGTCTGTGTGTGTGTCTCTGTGCGTGTGTATCTCTGTGTGTGTGTGTGTCTCTCTGTGTGTGTCTCTGTGTGTGTGTGTCTCTGTGTGTGTGTCTCTGTGTGTGTGTGTCTCTGTGTGTGTGTGTCTCTGTGTGTGTGTGTGTCTCTGTGTGTGTGTGTGTCTCTGTGTGTGTGTCTCTGTGTGTGTCTCTGTGTGTGTGTGTCTCTGTGTGTGTGTGCGCCTGTGTGTGTCTCTGTGTGTGTGTGTGTCTCTTTGTGTGTGTCTCCGTGTGTATGTCTCTGTGTGTGTGTCTCTGTGTGTGTGTCTCTCTCTGTGTGAGTGTGTCTCTGTGTGTGTCTCTGTGTGTGTGTGTCTCTGTGTGTGTGTGTGTCAGTGTGTGTGTGTGTGTGCGTCTCTGTGTGTGTGTCTCTGTGTGTGTCTCTCTGTGTGTCTCTCTGCGTGTCTGTGTGTCTCTGTGTGTGTGTCTCTGTGTGGGTGTTTCTCTGTGTGTGTGTGTGTCTGTCTGTGTGTGTGTGTCTCTGTGTGTCTCTCTGTGTCTCTCTGTGTCTCTCTCTGTGTCTCTCTGCGTCTCTGTGTGTCCCTGTGTGTCTCTGTGTGTCTCTGTGTGTCTCTGTGTGTCTCCGTGTCTCTGTGTGTCTCTGTGTGTCTCTGTGTGTCTCTGTGTGTCTCTGTGTGTCTCTGTGTGTCTCTGTGCGTCTCTGTGTGTTTCTGTGTGTCTCTGTGTGAGTCTCTCTGTGTGTCTCTCTGTGTGTGTGTCTCTCTGTGTGTGTGTGTCTGTGTGGGTGTCGCTGTGTGTGTGTCTCTGTGTGTGTGTGTCTCTGTGTGTCTCTGTGTGTCTCTGTGTGTCTCTGCGTGTCTCTGCGTGTCTATGCGTGTCTCTGCGTGTCTCTGTGTGTCTCTGTGTCTCTCTGTGTGTCTCTCTGTGTGTCTCTGTGTGTCTCTGTGTGTCTCTGTGTGTCTCCGTGTGTCTCCGTGTGTCTCCGTGTGTCTCTGTGTGTCTCTGTGCGTCTCTGTGTGTCTCTGCGTGTCTCTGTGTGTCTCTGTGTGTTTCTGTGTGTCTGTGTTTCTGTGTTTGTCCGCGGAAAAAGGGTGGCTTCTCCTCCGAACAAGGGGGAACCCTCAACAAAAAACATTCATTCGTTGCAAATTTTACACCCATTCCAAAAACCTGAAATAAGGATCACCAGTTAAAGGATCTACATTATGGTAAGCTCGCTTTAACCCACATGAGCTCGCCATTAAATATGCAGACTTTGTCTGTCCCTTTAGCCGGCGTCTTCCAACTTCACACCACCGCGGTCGCTCGTGCTTGCAGAGCGAGGAACGCGTCCTGGCGGAACTGGTCCAGAGACCAGGCAGCACCCGCGTAGGCAGCGTCCACGTGGATCCAAAGGTCGTCCTGAACGCGGAGAATCGCCTGGGTTACTGGTGGAGATGGTTGGGCCCCTTCATACCTTGGGACGATCCGCCACATTGGCGGTGGTTTTTTCTTGGGTTCCTGGCAAGCAACGAACTAATGTACCCTCGGAAGACTGCAAAGAAGCACCCTCATCATAGGGGGTCTCTCAAAAGAGTAGACCCCATTTGCTAAGTCCTGCAAAGGGATCATCTACAATCAAGCGCACTCTATTTTCGGAGGTGCCCCTGATGATTCCACCCTGTGTAACCCAAACTGCCGGTACAAATAAACCAAAGGATCTGCAATCCTTTCCCGGAGCCCACCTGAATGACTTTTATTCTGGTAGCTACTGTTCAGCATGGAGTTTGAAGGGAACCCCAGTGACAGAGGAAAAAGTGCTCCAGAAACGCTGACGTGGACTTAACCAGCATCAATCCAAAGCCAGGTCTTACATTAAAGGACAGCTTTTGAGGGTCCATGTGACTTTTGAGAATGTAAAACGGTGTTTCCAACCAAAATAGGCACTGAATGCGAGAGCACAAGGACGCCGCATCATTTCAGGTTCGGATTCCCATGTATGACACTCAATTGGGGAGACACCATCATGTCACTATAACCCATGTTGAGGGTGCTCCCTGTCAAAAATCCCCTGAGTTGTGCCTCCACTTAGTACCCATCTCCTCCGCCAGATCCTTGAACGCTTTCACATCGTCGCAGCCGGAGGTGTTGGTGGACCCATAGGTCAAAATCAAAGCTGTGGGCTGCAAGCCTTCCGAAGAATCCAACGCCCGGCAGGAGATGTGTGGGTGCATCTTACGAAGATTTCTCAGAATTGGAGCCCGCTCAAAACGGGAAGCCGAAAAGAAGCCAAAGATTTGCGGGAACACACTGATTTCAGCACGTGCTGCCACAAAACTGGAGACCATCCAAAACAGCCATGTCCTTTGCATTCCTCTGCCTTCAAGAATTTCACATGGCAAATGAACCAAAAAGGAATTCGACTCTTCGACTTTCTCCAACTTGCATGCAGGGCTGCAACATAGGACTGATCAATTAGCATCCAAATATCTGTCCCCACGAGGAACAGCGCTTTGGAATTTAGCTAAAGATTTGCCGTAAACCTCGGGTCCTACTGCCGACATTCTGCTGCAACTTCCCTGAACAGCCTGAACATCTCTTGCCCCCGTCGCACAAATTTGATGGAGTCGAGGAAAGGCGACCGGAAACACGAGCCTCAACTCAACAAGCCTTCAACGCACATGGCCGGGGGCTGATGCACAGCCAGCCTGCTGCACGATCCTTCTCCATGGCCGCCTTCACGTCGCCTCAATACGCTGGCTTCCAGAGTTGAGTATACTCTTCCACGGCCTCCAAACAGAAATCCCTCAAAATGGCTGACTTCCTTTTAGTTTTCCTTTGAAAGGATGTGAAAACGTGCCCCAAAAAAAGACCCATCCATATTAATATTACGACACACACACGTGAGCAAACCGGCCTTCTGGTCCGCCTTTTCCATTGGGACTATGACGGACACACTCACTGGCTGGCGTCATGTTAGCCTGCTGTTGGCTTGCCGTTACAAGTAGGGAGCAACTGGTAAAAACATGCCCACGCATCAATGCGCTTCGCTTTGCCGAGTTCGGCGCCTGCCTCAGGCTAGCTTTGTGTTGTTGTTCGGACAAGCCATTTTCTGTTTCAGGACCATTGCGTGCGCCGTGGCAACGGGAGAGCCCTTACAATATGATTCGGCCATGGTTGATTGGCATAGTGCACTGTGCACCCCCAAACAAGTGAACACTACAGTTCACAACAGCATGCTTCATATGTTGTGTGTTCAAGCCATGCCGTTGCGGAAGTGTCTGTCCACTGGGTGACACTGGGTGTACTGGCGCCAAGCATGTTACACGTGCAACTACAAGCACACGTGCTATGACTAAACTGGCGACAATCATCGCTATCAGACGTGTGTCCACAAGCAAGAACCAGGAACGCCAAAACAATTGACAACCTGCCACACACGCTCCCAGTCATCAACAACCTTCAGCAAAAACCTGCTCGAAACAGCAAACAAGCTCCGCAGCGAAACCTAGCACAGCAAACAATGATAACATTCAGTGAATGGCTAAAGTGACCGCCAGTGAGACAGGCACACAAACCGACAGACAGGCAGGCGGGCAGGCAAACAAACAAACACAAACACAGAGACAAACATACACACAGACACACACACAGAGACACACACACACAGAGACACACACACAGAGACCCACACACACAGACACACACAGAGACACACACACAAACACACTCAGACACACAGACACACAGACACAAAGAGGCACACACAGACACACACAGACACACACAGACACACAGACACACAGACACACAGACACACAGACACAGACACACAGACACACAGACACACAGACACACAGACACGCAGACACACAGACACACAGACACACAGACACACAGACGCACAGACACGCAGACACACAGACACAGAGACACACAGACACAGAGACACACAGACACACACACACACACACTGAAAAGAAGCCCAAACAGGGTTACACACGCGTATCAACATAGAGACCTCAGCTGTCCGCCAGAAGCTTGAGGTCAGGGCGGGATGTGTGTGCGTGTGTTCCAATTTGGTTGGCGCAGTGAAAGCCCCTCATTTCCAATGGGTGTACTTGTTACTGACGCCTAACTGGTGCATCAGCCTGGTCCAGTTGGTCACCTTCCACTGGGGCGCCAGGTGGTTTGCGTGGCCTTGGCATTGAAAACGGCCTGCTTCTGCGGCTTGCCCCAGAGCCAATTTGGCACCTTCAAGAACATCTTTAAAGGCTAGCTTTGACGGTCAGCCTTTTCGCAATTTCTTCAAAGTAATGGCTGATCCAAGCAACTCCACCCTGAGGCCTGCCACTTCATGATCGATCAAGCTTGTCCAGCTCAGCCACCAGGGCTTGCACCTGGGCCCAGTGGCCAGCAAACCAACTCTGCTGCGCGTTCCTTGGCAGCCCAGGGTCTTGAGCTGATGAGTGTATTTGCCTGGATAGGCAATACTTTCAGAGCGTCAGCTGCGTCAGCCCCCGCCATTTCCACACCGCCAGAGCCCTGGGCGCCAAACAAAAGCCAGGAACTTGGTCACCATCAGGCAAGCCTTTCCTGACAGAATGCCTGGTTGGTGTGCCAAAATCAAGCACTTTCGTCTCCCATTGGCCCGCATGTCTCCCGCATCCTACATAGTTTTGCAAAAAGGGGTTTGGCAGGAATCTTCGGGCCATACCTGCACGCAAAGAGCTGCCAATCTGTCGCTGGGCAGCAAAAGCTTATGGCTGCTGCCAGCTGCTCTCCAGTTGCGAACCTCTCCTTCTTACTCTGCTAGGAGTGAATACAGCCAGCAGAAATTTCCACGCAGATGAAATCCACGTCCCACTATTTTTGTCAGGGAAACACATGACTTAGGCTAACCGGTGATGCCTGAAATCGCAGAAAGGAACATCTTAGCTTTGCTGGAAACCTCACTTTCCGGAACCGGTCACCCCCAATACTTCTCAAGGACTGGCGCACTTACACCAATAAAGCGGCCCCGCGGTTTTGCCATTTGCAGAAACCCAAAACTGGCAACTGCATTAGTTCTACCATGCTTGTAAGGAAGCTCTGTGTCCGAGCTTGCCTTGCTCGGCAATCCGGCAGAACTCACCCCCAAACCCCGGCCTCTGCCCGCAGGCCACGGATCAAATTGGCCTAACTGGAAGGAAACCATCACCAGCCAAGGGAAACCTCAATAAGATATGCGTAAACAGGTACCTGGCTCAAGCCTGCCACACACGCCCGCCAAACTCCCGCATCTTCGAATGAGCCCGAGGGGTCCGGTGGCCCGGCGATCCCGAATTCTCAGTCAGGCGGCTGGGATTCAGAGTGTAGTTGCCTCACTTGCAACCAGCGCGGATGTGTCTGGAAAGGGTGCCTTTCAAAAGATTAACTTCCTTTCCCATCAAACACCATCCAAAGGGTCCCTTTGTTATCAACAGGGGTCAAAACTATGGCTCCCCTTGCCCTAACAAGAATCCTGCTAAACCAACAATTTGGGCACATTACTACCCCTCCGTGTGCCAGTTCCCACTATAATGGCCCGCTATATGGGCTACGACAGACATTTGCTACACGGGTGAATAGTCGGGCGTTCTCCAACCCTGCATCCGCTTCCAACGCCGCATGATCTCAACCACCTGTATTTATATGTCATGGTCCTAGGTCGTTTTGGGGGAGTTCCTGCCTCGTTTTGCACCTAACTTTCCGCTTGGCATTTACCGCAGTCTTCTGCAAATACAGGCAGCCACTCATATAACTATATGCCCTCCTGCTTCTAAAACAGTCCCAAACCAAAGATTTCTTTGGTTGCCCAGTTTAAGCCTCTCAAAGGCGAGGACACCTTAAGTCCCGAGCGTTAAAAAAACCCGCTCTGCGAATAAAACAAAAGCGGCAGCCCACTGGTTGCAACCTTTCTGGACTTCCCTTCCGAGCGGCCCTCCAGCCTTGCCGCCACTTTGCGGACCCGCAGCCCGGCCAAGCGGCAGGCCTTCCTGGGGTGAAGCGAAGCAATGAGGCCACACCCCTTGTCCCTGAGAAGCAGGGGTGCTGTGAATCCACCAATGCATCCCGGTAAAGGAAACAAAAAGGGGATGGCTCATATAGGTATGATTACCTCATTCCCTGCTGAAGCAAGCTCTGAGGGAGTGGAGCCAGACATCCTGCAAACGGAGCCAAACAGACTTAATCATTTAAAAACAAAAGATGCCATTGATCGAGAGCAGTGAAGATCTTACTGGAGCCTCAAGCATCAAGAATGAGAACCACTACCAACAATGGGTGATTTCTTATGTTTAGTGGTTGTTTGAAGGTCCAAGGTTGTGTTTTCGAGTTTGTGCTTGTCCAAGGGGGATGGAAACAAAGCGTTCAGCGCCTTCCATTGCTGTCGCGTCACTCAGCGCTGAAGTGGGCCTGGTCTGACCTCGGCTCGCAGGACGCCTTGGGGACACATGGGTTTCTGCTCTTTTAGGGCAGCTCAGCACATTAACAAACCTCACTTGAAGACAGTTCCCTGCTCTTTCACAAACTCCAAGGCGATTCCTTCTGAACATGCGCATTCAATGGATCGTTGCAAGCTTGGCTCCGTGGAATGCGCAGCAACGGCTGCGGTCGGTGTGGTGTGCGTTTGTGTGTGTGTGTGTGTGTGTGTCCATGCGTCATGTTTGGCAATCTGAAAGACTAAACAGAAACAACGCTGACAATTGCATGTCTGTAAACAATGAGGCCACGCAGCGTCAAAACGTGTCGAGCACATGCGACAACCCATCCGACTGCTCCCAGGCTACAGGGCCTGTTTGGGACAGATCCGTTTGCTGCTTCAGCTTTGTCTTTGTCCCCAACAACTAAAAGCGCTTGTCTGCCCAGGCAGGCTCTGGGGGTGGTTCACAGCTTTCAGCGGGTTCCAAAGGGTTTCGTGGACGTATTTTGCCGCGTCGCAGGTAGGCCACCATCTTGGAGGAGTCCTGGTAAAAGGCTTCCTCCCGGGACAGCTCGGGGTTGGCTCGCCGGTGCGCCCGCACGCGCGCGCAGATCATGATGTTCAGCATGGACTCCCCTGCGCGCCGAAAACGATGAATGGGTATGTGTCAAAACTGATGTTCGGCTCTCGGAAATGACGGATTTCGATGTTTGCCCTTCCAACTTCAAACCAAGGTGAAAAGGTACCCGGCACACAGCTAATTGAGTTTGTTGTTGTTTGAAGGTACCTCTTGTTTGCTTTGAAGGGACAGGTGCCCCCTCAAGCGTCTGCGGTCAGAACCAGCTTCCCAAGTGCGAAATTGAGGCCAGGCTTGAAGATAGTGATCAAAGGAACAGGTGGAGGCAACAAAGAAAGAGAGATGCACACCGTGTTTTGGCTGACCTTTCGCTTCGGAAAATGACTCAAAACCCAGGTCCCGGGTGCAACATCTTCTCCTTTGAGAAAACCTGCTCCTAGTGACTGCTTATGCCGCAAAAAATGCCCCTTGGCCACGTAGAAATTCAGCTGCAAAAGCAGCGGGCTAAAATCGCAACCGATGAACTGCCGAGAAGTTCTCGGGCAAAACGCGTCCTTGTCTCTTTCGGGAACAACAACCATCAAATTTGTGGAAACATGTGTTCTATCTGCTTTTAAAGCAGATTTGAATGATCAGTCGGCAGCGGCGGGCATTACATTCTGCATACAAAATACAGCACTTTAAAATAATGCTCCAGGCTCCAGGTCACAAGACCAGCAAAAACGTCGGCATGTGTCGGCTCGAGTCCTGCACGTGCATACCTGGGTGTGTGCTCGCCTGTGTGCCTGGCGTAGGCGTGCGCACGTGCGTGTCTCTGTGTGTGCTCAAAGCCTGATACTGCTCATTGACTCCAATAGTTTTTTGCCAGGGCTTAGACTCCTCTTTTCAAAGCTAGCGGTGCCAAAGGAAGCATAGTCAAGCCGAGACAAACCAAACAGGACTCAGGGTTTCACCGTCGGCACCCCACCATCCATCAAGGGTTCCTCGATACTGCATTCGGGCCATGCCTTTTCCGGGCGACACAGCCGCCAGCAAGTTCAAGGTGCTTCTTCTTCGTTGTTTGCTATTTGCACCAGTTTGACTATAGCCAATATTCCTGTTTGAAAACAGCTTGGCTATCACCTGACAGAACACTTCTTCCAACACATCCACACCCTCCAACTCAACCAGTCAAGAAGCCAACAAGGAAACAACAACTGAGAAAGTCGTCGTGCACTTCTGGGTTTAGCATCCGTTTTCCCCCTGGTCGTTTTTATTATTATTATTATTATTATTATTATTATTATTATTATTATTATGTTTGGCTTGTTGTCCTTCCCTTCTTAGCTGCTGTTTGACCCAAAGTAGGCAGGCCCATGCAGACATTCCCATCCTATGTCCAAGCGTGCCCATCCTCGAAAGAACCTGGTTGCTCCAGAAGGGGGGGCTCGAAACATTCATAAAACACAAACAACAAACCTTTGAAGGATTTGGCAACACCCAACACGCCTAGACTAAACATGGCTGCCCAAAAGGAAAGTCCGCAAGGTCAAACCTTCCGCTTTGCTGACACTGAGTACAGCTGGATGTGGCTAAAACTTGAAGCCACAGGGAACGGCATAGGTTGTTATTCTTTGCCATAAACTGATAGCCCTACAGCTAGACATGAATGCTTGCTTTTTGTTCGGCGCTCAAAACCCTCTAACAGTCAAACTCCCAAAGGGACACTTCCCAAGTTGATCAGCCAAGCAAGTCCAAACTTACTGCTTGCCGCTCAATGGTCTTCCCCAAAAGCATCATACACTCCAGGACTTCAGGGAGTGGGCCATGACGAGTTTCATCGCTCCAAAGAAAATTCATGAAAGTATCGTAAAGTGTGACCCCATGCATGTGAGGAAGCCTACAGAGGAAACGCCAGGTTCCATTGAGAGGAAGACAAAGGGAACCGGAGCTTGGAATTTCCGCCTGCGGTGTTCTGGATAATGCCGCCCCCCACTTGCGAGGAGTGGTGGAAGGCAGGGCCGATGCCCAGGAACTTGGCCACCCAGTCCTCGGAAACCCGCATGGCATGGTCGGAAGCCCAAATTCCCCCCCATGTGTTGGGTTCATCTTGAACGAAAACAACAAGGGGTTTCTTGGGGGGGAAAAAAAAACAAAACAGGGGTGTGCCGTGGCAACTATACCCTTTTGTCTTGCCGTCCATCCCCCAAAAGCCGCCCGGCATGGGATCCGCCAAGAACTGGTCAGATCAGCTGTGAGGCCTTCCGAACGGATAAAAAGATTAGAGTTTCGGCCTCAGGCGAGAAAACTTGGGAGGCGCCTGAGTTGAACCAACTCCGGAATCCATCTGGTTTCAGTTGCATCAGCCCATCTGCGGGTTGGTTGATCTGTCAATATCCAGAACTAAAGCTGAGACCCTATAGCCAAGGCTCATTACACAAATGTATCTGGCTCTGATAGACAGTCGATGCTCATGGACCTCCACAGTGACATTTTCGGCGGACGTGTTCCATGTTCTAAAGGTGCGTGTGGCTGCCTTGCGGACCTCCAATAGGTGATGCTGAATATTGACCGTTCCTTTGGCCGTGAGTTTCAATAGGGAACCCCCTGAAAAGTGCCTGGACCCCACTTAAGTGATGTCCACCAGAGGGACTCAATGAACAATTATCACCCATTTGGTCCGTTGGCTCATTGGGGAGGCCCGTTCAGCCGATTCAATCCCGCTGCAAGCGAGGTACCATGACAACCACCTCCAGTTCGGTACCTGAAACGTGCCGTGCCAAAGTGCCGAGAAAAGAGGACAAAACATATGTGTGTATATAATATAAGCATATATCATATATATATATATATACATACATAGTTAGATGTTTTCCCTTAACCAATTTGAAAAGGGCATGCCGGGCGGGATCAAAGAAACACACATCTGTCCAGGGTTCAGAGACGTTCTTTCAAATAAGTTGCTGGGTTGACAAGAGGTGTCTGTGTATGTACGTCCTCCCTTGATATGCCCCGTTTTGAACAAAGAAACCTCTCGTGCACACATTATGTTGGATTCCCCTGTACACACAAAGGGAACAGTCCGGAACGAACCATTCCATATGACGTGAGATTCAGGGGGATTGTTTCCTCAGAGCCAAGGATTGAATTCCAAACAAGGGAAATATGAACGATGGCAATAGAAAAGGACTCAGAACCCTTCTTCGGACGAAACAGTTCACCCACTATAAACAAAAACGAGATCTGTAAATCCAAACCCTGGAAAGGTGAGTTCCGTCCAAGAGTGTGTGTGTGTGTAGACAATACAAGGGACTCAATAATTAGAGGCATTATCATGAGTGTCCTATGATGAGACAATTTGGTTTAAAAGTACCACGACCCCGTGGTTATTCAGGCGACTATACGGCGGCTTCTCAAAATCGTAGTCGCTAAAATGGCAAAACAGTTTCGTGTTGGCTTCCCGTCGCCCAAATGGGGCTTGTCTGAATCCCAGTTTGAGAAAAAGCATTCTGGTTTACCGTTGGTTTCCCTTTACAACCACGAAACAATGGGCCACCCTGGGCCAAAATCAACATGGACGTCTGTTTTCCCTTAAAACCACAAACAAAAAAGTGGCCCCCCCCCCGAGCGGTTGCACTCGATCCCCGCGCCTATGGGGTTGGACTTCCACTGGAGCCCCACGGAGCCGATGGAGGCGATCACCGTCTCCGCCAAGATCGCGGGCACGGAGGTGCTGGAGGGGTAGTAGGCCATGAACTTCGGGTGCTGCCAGCCTCTCATTGCTCTGGGCGGCGAAGCTTATCTAGGTCCTCCAGATTTGAGAGGTTAGAATAAGGGTACCAACTTGTGTTTTTTTTGTCTATTTTAGTAGGGGACACTTCCCCCCAAAAAAAAGGGGTAAAAGGGCACTACTGAGGGACCTAGTTGTGGGCTCAAGATGCTCTGTTTCTCCAATTGCCAAGACCCTGTTGGCTCCCCAAAAATCTGGCAATTTGGAAGTGTGGGATACTTGGCACCCAGTTTGCCCTTAAAATATAGCAAACACGGCTGCCAGCCTGCAGTCTTATCACACCATCCTGCGGACCATTTTCCGCACAGCATCTTGTGGTGGATGTGTTCTCCGAACCGCTGATTTATTTTAAGGGTTTTGAGAAATGGAAATGCCCAAGACATGTCCCCAAGCAGCATCCACCAAACCTCATTCCCCGCCAATTTACATCATGACAAGGCACAAATGAGTTCCCTGAAATTGGCAGACATGGTTGAACATAGGCAAGGCCAATTCTGCATGCCAACAGTTGTCAAAAGCACGCCTAGGGGCAAAGGTTCAATTGGAATCACACCATCCGCTTTCCACGGGATTTCTGGCAGCGTGGATCTCTTGTGGGCATTGCGTGCCCAACATTGGAAGGATCCGACACTTCGCGCAAATTGTGGATGCTCGAGTGTGCCAAGCATAAACCTTGCCAACAACAAACTACAACTTTGGATGACATATTTATCAATACCCACAGCACTTGACCAAATGCACAAACAAAGGACCCGCCTGCTCACAACAAGGCTTGCCAATCTGCAGCCTGCTTGCCACTATTGACACTGCAAGAGGTCATTTTACGCATATGGTTCTGCTCTTCATGGCGGATGTGTACCCTACACGTGTTCCTCGCAGCGAGAAATTGCATTGCGTATAAACTGTCACAAAGTCATCCAGCAAATATGCTATGCCCAGCCCAGGCACTCCTCCCTCATGTGCGCGCCTTCAGGAAAGCAAAGGGGCAAAAGCAAGCTACATTACATGATATATCACGAACAAAGCCGGGTTTCAGCGTAATTTGCTGGGCATCGATGAAGGTTATACTAGAATTGCCGTGAATGTTGGACTGCGGGGGGCTGATGTGACTTTTTTTGATCCGGCTCAAACAGCTCAGATCCTGAGCCCGTGACACAAAGAGATCTCTGGACGCAACCGGAGTTTCAAGTTGTTGACTGACCTTGTTTGAAAAAGCCCCCTTTTTTTTCGATGACCCTTTCCACTTAGACCCCACCAAATCAAGACATGTAGAGCAAGTGATCCCCCCTTTTGCGCTGGTCAGCTGGGAATCTGAAGAGAAACCCATGCCCTGACTGGGAATCCACCGTCTCGTTTGTGGAATCCACACGGGGCAGCCGATGGATCCGAATCTGAGCTCCTCGCTGAGAGCCCCCGGGAAGACCTGAGCAAAGCTCGCGAAGCTCAGGGGTCATGGGTTGGTTTTGTCAAGGAGCCATCCTGGTTTGAGTGTCTCCGATTTTTTGCCTGTACTGTGTTGTTTTCTCTGTGTTTTACATCATCAGTCAGTTGATGATTGTCAGGTATGGCAGTGTGAACTTTGAAAACAAAATGTTTCAACGATCGCAACATGAGGGGATGTTCGTTCGGGACCCCTAATGCCCGCCTGGGATTAGTAAGGGCCGCCCCCCAGGTCAACTATGGGGGCACCACCAAGAACAGAATATTGAGGTCCAGTTCAATTGTTTAGCAGCCGGCTTTCTGTTTGAGATTGCATTTCAGTTTCCATTTGATTTAGTGTTGCTGGAGCTTCCACGGTTTCCATTTGATTTAGAATTGCTTCAGCTTACTTGTGAGACTTGGAGCTGAGTTTCCAATCTTTCGGATTGCTGGAGCTTCCTTGTGATTAAGATTCTGAGGGGCCAGGCAACAAGGCTTTGTCGTAGGGCCCCCTGAAATGCTGTCAATTTGATTCTGGGCAGTTCTTAAAGAAGAGATATGTATAAAAAACCATAAACTTGGGGAAGCTGGACACTTTGGATTTTGGGAAGCAGCCCAAATCTGACAACAAAGCCAGAGGTAGCTACACTGGCCGAGTTCTAAAGGTTCAGGAGGCCAGGCACCAAGACTTTATGGTAGGGGCTCTTGAAACAAAGTCTTGGGCTCAAGCTTTGGCGACAGAAGTGCTACCCCTTTGTGGGTTTGATGGCGGGCAGGTTTTGAACAAAAGACGTGTAAGAAAACATGACTTTGGGGAAGCTGGACGTTTTCGACGTTGGGGAGCTGAAGAACACGGCGGGGAGGGTGCTTGTCTTTCTTCCCGGTGCTTTCTGTTCTTGTTTGGGGGGGGGCCACCCTCTCTTGTCTTTATTCCACATCTATTTGCTAATACTAGGGTGGACATGATTGCTACTTCAGGCTGATTGTAGGGTCCCATTGGCTGAGAGAGAGCGGTTCCCTCCAAAACCTGGCCACTTTGGGGCTCGATGTGCGGCAAAAGAAAGCCACGGTGAGTTGAGCTGGCCAAAGGGGAGGTTGAGCCAACTTCGAACTCGTTTCGTCATGTTTCAACCATGCGGCTCACATGGAGAACTCGCCAGGGTGAGTTCTCCAGTCCCTTCGAAGCCCTTAGACCCCATGGAAATGCGGAGGCCAAGCAACAAATGGCAACGTTCCAAGGAACTCTGACCATAGGCATAAGACACAGCTGGCAGATCACAGAAGCTGATCCGCATTGCCCGGGCTTCACCTTCGAGCAGCCTTGAACAAACCTGAACTTCCTCAGCTTTTGCCCGAGCACTTCAACAAGTTGCAAAGGAGATCCCATATTCGTCTCCATCCCCCCAACCACCCTCTTGTAATGGGGTTCCTAAATCGAAAAAGCACGTCCGGGGTGTCTTGTTTTGAGGATCCCACTTTTTGACGTGGTTTAACATGGAAGCTAAACGGAAAAACCCCGCAATTTGTGGGTCCCATTTAAAGACCCTCCCCAGTTTGTAGGTCCTCTTGGCCTGGCCTGGGCCTCCAACTTTTGCAAGATCTGCCCGTAGTCCCGCGGCTCCTCCGGAGCAGAAGTCTCGAACTGCTGCGCCAGCTCACCCGGCTCCAGGTCCTTCCAGACCTGGCCAGCCAGCTTTACAAAATACTTCTTTCATATTTCCATCTAAAATAAATCCATTGTTTTTTGTGTGTCAATATGTGAAGCCCAAGACTTGATTACTTTGATTTGATTTACATTGATTCTTGTTTCAATTAAGAAGCGTAAACATGAACAGATGGAAAAACAATGATAGCATGTTGACAATAAGTATGATCAATGTAATTAGTGTCATTATTGTTATTGCCATCCTTGCGATAATATTTACTATTACTAGTATCCTGATTACTCTTATGCTTACATTGACCTCCTACCGCCAAACCAGCGTGAAGCTGTCAAACTCTTCGAAAAAAGGCAAACAACCAAAATTGCCTGCTTTCAACTCAGTGTGTTTTGAGACCCTTTCCAAAAAGCACCAAAAAAACACTTGTGGTGTGAGACCCTTTCCAAATAAAAACAAGGGCCACCTTCCCCGTCCGCGGCTTGCTCGGTCGGCCCCAGGATCCGAGGCGTCGGCGCCGCGCGTCGGCACAGAGGCGGTGAACCGCGCGATGGCCTTGCCCGACATGGGCCGTCCGAAACGCTGTTGCACGGTGGATCCCAGTTGTCGAGTCGAGGCATATAAATATGTGTATATATATATAAATATGTGAGGATATATAAATATGTGAGGATATATATATATTATGTATTATAGAGTAGGTATTGTCCTTGCAGCTTGTTCAAGGGGGTTTGCTTGGATACATACTAGATCCCCGGAAAGAAGAAACAAAAAAGAAAAACACCTGAGGACTAACATGGAAGAACTACTGAGGGCTAAACTAAAGACTGGCAAAACGAAGGGAGGGCCAACAATTGGAAACAACTAAAAACTACCATGGAACCTGACGGGATTGTCCCGTTAAAAGGAAAATGGTCCAAACCAGGACACCCCGAACGTCAGGTTCCCCGTTAAAAGGGTGGGAGGGTACCCTTTGTAGGTAACCAAGAGAACCAACTTGGAAAGCTAAAAGAACAATGGCTGGTTGCCTACTATAGGACCGCCGCGCCTGCCTTTTCGCTCCGCGAGAAGTTTGTGATTGATATGCTCCAACCTTCTTACCTTCCAAACCCTGATCAATCAAGCCGGTGGAACTGCCTGCCGAAAGCATGGTGGAAACCCAGTTGCCCTGTTTGATAAACAAAAAAAAAATCGGAACCCTAAGGTTGTCCCATTTTGAAATCCGGTTTTCCACCGGCTGATTCCCAGAGTCTCACAGTGGCCCCCTAAAATGGGGTGAGGGATTCCTTTCGGCCTTTTACCAAAGAGGTCCTTTTCCTTTCAAATCAAATTCCTTCCCCAAAACCGACCAACAATATTAACAGCTTGCTTACTTAACCAATTCCTTCCCAAACACCGACCTACAATATCCACAGCTTGCTTACTTAACCAATTCCTTCCCCAAACACCGACCTACAATATCCACAGCTTGCTTACTCAACCAATTCCTTCCCCAAACACCGACCTACAATATTAACAACTTGCTTACTTAACCAATTCGTTCCCACAAACCAACTACAATATTAACAACTTGGCTACTTAACCAACTCCTTCCCAAAAACCAACTACAATATCAAACAACTTGGCTACTTAACCAATTCCTTCCCAAAAACTAACCTGCAATGGTATTAACAACCTGGTTACTGAACCAATTCCTTCCAAACACCGACGTACAATATTAGCAACTTGGCTACTTAACCAAATGCTTCCCAAAAGCCGACCTGCAATACTATTAACAACTTGGTTACATAACCAATTCCTTGCACATCACCGACCTACAATATTAACAACTTGGTTACTTAACCAACTGCTTCCCAAAAGCCGACCTGAATATTATTAACAACTTGGTTACTTAACCAATTCCTTCCCAAACACCGACCTACAATATTAACAACTTGGTTACTTAACCAATTGCTTCCCAAAAGCCGACCTGCAATATTATTAACAACTTGCTTACTTAACCAATTCCTTCCCAAACACCGACCTACAATATTAACAATTTGCTTACTTAACCAAATCCTTCCCAAAAACTAGCTACAATATTAACAACTTGGCTACCTAACCAATTCCTTCCCAAAAACCAGCCAACAATATTAACAACTTGGTTACTTAACCAAATTCCGTCCCAAACACCAACCTACAATATTAACAACCTTTTTTACTTAACCGATTGCTTCCCAAACACCAACCTACAATATTAACAACTTGGCTACTTAACCGATTCCTTCCCAAACACCAACCTTGTTTACTTAACCGATTGCTTCCCAAACACCAACCTACAATATTAGCAACCTTTTTTTCTTAACCGATTCCTTCCCAAACACCAACCTACAATATTAAGAACCTTTCTTACTTAACCGATTCCTTCCCAAGCACCGACCTGCAATATTAACAACCTTTCTTACTTAACCGATTCCTTCCCAAGCACCGACCTGCAATATTAAGAACCTTTGTTACTTAACCGATTCCTTCCCAAGCACCGACCTACAATATTAACAAACTTTTTTACTTAACCGATTCCTTCCCAAGCACCAAGCTACAAAATTGACAACCTTTGTTACTTAACCGATTCCTTCCCAAGCACCGACCTACAATATTAACAACCTGTTTTACTTAACCAAGTCCTTCCCAAACACCAACCTACAATATTAACAACCTTTTTTACTTAACCGAGTCCTTCCCAAACACCTACCTACAATATTAACAACCTTTTTTACTTCACCGATTCCTTTTCAAACACCAACCTACAATATTAACAACATTTACAATATTTTTTCTTAGCTGATTCCTTCCCAAACACCGACCTTCAACATTAACAACCTTTCTTACTTAACCGATGCCTTCCCAAGCACCAACCTACAATAGTAACAACCTTTTCTACTTAACCGACTCCTTCCCAAACACCAACCTACAATATTAACAAAATGTCTTACTTAATTCCTTCCCAAACACCAACCTAAATATTAACAACCTTTTTCTGAACCAATTCCTTCCCAACCACCGACCTGCAATATTAACAACCTTAAGTACTTAACCGATTCGTTCCCGAGCACCGACCTGCAATATTTACAACCTTTCTTACTTAACCGATTCCTTCCCAAGCACCGACCTGCAATATTAACAACCTTTCTTAAATATCCGATTCCATCCCAAGAACCGACCTGCAATATTAAGAACCTTTCGTACTTAACCGATTCCTTCCCAAGCACCGACCTGCAATATTTACAACCTTTCTTACTTAACTGATTCCTTCCCACGCACCGACCTGCAATATTAAGAACCTTCCGTACTTAACCGATTCGTTCTCGAGCACCGACCTGCAATATTAAGAACCTTTCTTACTTAACCGATTCCTTCCCAAGCACCGACCTGCAATATTAATTTCTTACTTAACCGATTCCTTCCCAAGCACCGACCTGCAATATTAACAACCTTTCTTACTTAACCGATTCCTTCCCAAGCACCGACCTGCAATATTAACAACCTTTCTTACTTAACCGATTCCATCCCAAGCACCGACCTGCCATATTAAGAACCTTTCGTACTTAACCGATTCCTTCCCAAGCACCGACCTGCAATATTTACAACCTTTCTTACTTAACCGATTCCTTCCCACGCACCGACCAGCAATATTAAGAACCTTTCGTACTTAACCGATTCGTTCCCGAGCACCGACCTGCAATATTAAGAACCTTTCTTTCTTAACCGATTCCTTCCCAAGCACCGACCTGCAATATTAACAACCTCTTTTACTTAACCGATTCCTTCCCAAGCACCGACCTGCAATATTCACAACCTTTCTTACTTAACCGATTCCTTCCCGAGCACCAACCTGCAATATTAAGAACCTTTCTTGCTTAACCGATTCCTTCCCAAGCACCGACCTGCAATATTAAGAACCTTTCTTACTTAACCGATTCCTTCCCAAGCACCGACCTGCAATATTAACAACCTTTCTTACTTAACCGATTCCTTCCTAAGCACCGACCTGCAATATTAACAACCTTTCTTACTTAACCGATTGCTTCCCACTCACCGACCTGCAATATTAACAACCTTTCTTACTTAACCGATTCCTTCCCAAGCACCGACCTGCAATATTAACAACATTTCTTACTTAACCGATTCCTTCCCACGCACCGACCTGCAAAATTAACAACCTTTCTTACTTAACCGATTCCTTCCCACGCACCGACCTGCAATATTAAGAACCTTTCTTGCTTAACCGATTCCTTCCCAAGCACCGACCTGCAATATTAACAACATTTCTTACTTAACCGATTCCTTCCCACGCACCGACCTGCAATATTAACTCCTTAACACAGTCTGAACATCTACACCGATCGGCCAATCGCCTCCAAAGTCTCCTGGCCCAGCTGCCGCAACACCGCCGGCTCCACCTCAAAGCAAAAAGCCACGAGCCAAAGAGGAGCCGCTCTCGGCAACCGAGGCTTTGCTTTTTGAAATTCTGCAGGTTTTGGAAGACTGTTTCTTGTTGCCTGGGGGGGGCGTGGGGGGGTTAAAGGCCAGCTTCTGGAGGTGTTGGAAGGCTGATTTTGTTCTGGTTTGGGGTGGGGGCGTTGGGGCTGGGGGGGCATGGAGCATTTCTGCCAAGAACCAGGTCCTGTAGTTCTAGGGGGAAGCCCACCTCATCGGGAAGAGAACACAAGCAACAATCACTCAAATGAGTTTCCCATGTGCAAAGTTTTAGAAGGTTGAACACCTGAGCCAACCAATCCAGCACAAAACATTTGAACACCAAAAAACGCACACAGCAACGCATCGCGACAAAAACGATCGTAACGCAAACAGCGACAAACCCGTGCCACCAGACCGGGCCACCGGTTTCGCCGGGCCCGCCATCAGCCGATAGCGATAGCCTCGGGCGCCTGCGCAGCGCGGAGGCCAATTTCCGGAAACCGACACGCGATCCGCTGGGCGTGTTGAAGTCCCAGATCCCGCCATTTCGGGCTACGGCAAGGCAAGCACGTAGCCACAACCGCATCGAGTCCGAAATGGGCAGCATGAAAAGCACATGTCGATGTGTGCGCTGACAGCAAATGAACTAAGTTCGTGGTGACACCGACAAAGACTGGACGTGGACAGGAGATCCTCAGCAATGACACGTACTCCTGAAGCCTCATGCAGATGTTCGGAAGCCCTGATGGTAACAGGCACAACTGCAGCTGTAATCATCCGACCTGATGCACAACCTGAACCCGAACAGCCCAAAAACAGTCTGTATTATTCGGATTAAATTCGCCAAATCGATATGACTGGTTTGTGCGGCCCCGATGTTGTGGGATTTCCCTAATATGGGATGATCCTTCTGATCCCTACGTTCTCCGTAGGAATCTTGAAAGAACTCTGATAGCAGCTCTGATCAAGGGGCTCGGATCGATAGTTCTTTCGTGTGTGTGTGTGTGTGCGGGGGGGGGGGGGGGAGGGGGGGGAGGATGGAGGGGCGGGGGTTCTTGATGTCTCTCCTGATGTGAAATGATATGAATACCGACACTACTAACTGAAATACACGCTAAATGCCGAGTTTATCCACACGTCGAAGTTTCCACGGTTTCCGTTGGAGAAACGGCCCATCCAGGCCTTCGAGTTCGCATGAGACAGGACGGTGGTGATTTATTGCATACCAAAGAATTCAGACGCACTCCAGAAGGGCGGCCACAAAGCCCAACCCGGAACACGGCACCAAGGATTCCCCAATTTCGGGGGGGGGGGGTGGGGGGTGGGGGAACGTAAGGCGAAGTTGTGACCTGCTGAAATGCTCGCTGCTCTCCGCGGGGCCTTCAGGAAACTCCGAGACCAAAGAGAAAACACCTCTTTTCAATGGCACCCTTTTACCCAAACGGAAGCTCCTTGCCTGATGCACGGAGTAACAAACCCTGATCAATGAGAAGGATGTCCCTGTCAAGAGGGAATCCGTCGCTTTGAGGAAAACATCCCCAATAAAACGAACAATTCTATAAGTGTGTGTGTGTGTGTGTTTGTTAGAGGAAACCCCTTTTGGTGGTCCGAAGGGAAACCAAAGTAAAGCCACCTCGATTTGGTCTGGGAACGTTCATCTCCATAGTTTGTGCAACACAAATCGGATCCTGTCATACCAAAGTGGGCCATCCCTCTGACTAGCATGTCACTTTGAAGAGGTTTCCCTTGCAGAAAGTGGCACCACCCAATTTTTCGGCTATCCCTCGAGTCCCTCTTTCCTCCTCTGGCCAGCGCCAGCCCCAGCACTGCGCTGGGCACCAGAAGCGCCGGTCCGCAGCCAAGCGCTGCGGCACTGCGCCGACCGCCCGGTCTTACCGGCGGGGTGAAGGCAAGGTTGCCGATCGGCCGCAAGCCGATCGACAGGGCCATCCAAATCCAACACGCGATGGGCCCGAGTTGCTGCTTTTTTTAACAACCTCGAAGTGTTGGAGAAAGAAAACCGACCAGATTGGAATGTATGCATCCCGCGAAATGTGTGGGGCCCGGGCCCGGGTGATAGATCATTGAAGGTACTGGGTCCAAAACAATGCTGTTCAAAGATCGATGGGCCATTTGCTTTGTACCCAAATGGAGCTGCAAGCCGGCAGCTGCCGAGGGAGAAGCTGGCGTTGGCTCATTTCAAGACAAATCTTGCAGTTTGCCCACCTTGCTGAACAATCCGTCATAAGGAAGAAGCATTTGACAAGTGCTCTCAAGCTCACAAGAAGAACCCAGCAAGAACACTTGTGTTGCTTTCTCTTGATTACACCAGGGTTCTGCGCAGCTCCCCCTCAAACCTCACCCCTGCCAAGGGAGACTCACCTTAAATTCTGGTACGCTCCCATGTTGAGTCCTTGAGCTCAAACAAAACTCCGTTTTCAGACTATCAAGCCATCGGGCTTATGATGACTCACCAGCTCGAAACGAATGGGAGCCTAAGAAAATAAACACCTCTGCATGTCTGCGCTGAATCTGCTTCAATTCCCCCTGAGCTGCAGATGCAGAAAGCCCTCAATCATGAATCCCCAAAAAAGACTCCTCAGGGCTTTTCTTTTTGGTCCATGTTAAATTGAATGAGGGCAGCCAGTTCGAAACCTCGCCACACCCGTGTCCGCTGCTCTTTTCTCCACGCCATCGCTTGCCTTCACGCTCAGGGCTGCATTGCTCGCGCTGGGGCCTTGAGCGGAGCGGCGGTCTGGGTGCAGCGCGGGATGTCATTAATTTAAGGGGATGCCCTCTGATTGGTGTGCTACAATTTCACATCTGGGAACGCAAGCAACCGCGTGCCAAAGCCAATGTCCAAGCACATGTGCTCTTTTGACCCCGCAATTACCCCAGCCCGTCGCACCGCCAACAAGATGAAGTCAAGTTATCTGGCTGACGACACTCTGGAAAAAACACCAAGGATATCGCCCTTGCAAGTTGATCATCGTGTTTCCATCTCTCGTGAAAACAGGTAACCCTTGGGATTTGGGAGTGGGGATGCTTCCGCGCAAGCCTAAGTCCCAAAGGCCTCCCCTCCAAACATCTTCTCCCAAAATGGACCAACTGGGCTGCAACTCCTTCAGCACAGTCTAGCCAAATTGCTGCTATTTGCAAACTCGAGATAAGGTTTTCCCAAGGTCCTTTCATCATGAGCTCATTTGGTCATTCCAAATCGTACCCCCAGTGAACATCCCAATCCAACCACAAAAATAGGCTCTAAAATGGGTGGTGAATTCACCTTCCCCAAAATGGTATCCCATTGGTTTTGACCCACAGCCATTTGTCATCTCCCCGATCGAGCTCATCCCGTCCCGACGCTGCCTTCCGCCGCTGCGAAGGCGGAATCGAAGAAGTCCGCCAGAAGTTTCCTCGGCGAAAAGCGCCCAGGTCGGAGCCAGTTGCCCTGTGACTTGGTCAAAACCAGGGCCTTCCTTTCTTCATGAGCTTAGTTCAGGGCAGACATGTAGGATGGTACCAGAAGTTGATCCAGGTGATATTGGTAGAAAAAGGGAACCCTTTTCGGGGTTCCCATTTTGTTGAGGGGAAACCCAGTAGGACACCATCAAGAAACCATACCAGCAATACTGTCAGTTGCTCATAACATTGGTGTCTCACAGTGTGGGGCAACCGGATTGCTTAATTCAGGGATGTGTAGAGTGAGGGATGCTACACGGCGTTGGCACAAATGCACAATGGCCAGCCTTCCGAAGTCCGCCGACATTGCTCGGCGTGTCGGATACCAAAGAGAGGACTATTGGATACCTAAGAGAGGATAGAGGATAACCCCCCCCTTAGTCCCCCCCCGGGACACGTCAAATACGCATGGTTTTTCGGTCGCTACACGGCGTTGGCACAAATGCACAATGGCCAGCCTTCCGAAGTCCGCCGACATTGCTCGGCGTGTCGGATACCAAAGAGAGGACTATTGGATACCTAAGAGAGGATAGAGGATAACCCCCCCCTTAGTCCCCCCCCGGGACACGTCAAATACGCATGGTTTTTCGGTCGCCACCCCCCCCCCCCCCCCTCTACCGCGCGGCACGTTCCACTAAACGTAGTCTTCGGGGAGCCGGTGTCGCAAAACAGTCCCAGGCTCGATTCCCCCTGCCGGCTTTTTTGCTGGCTTGGGCTTCCTACATCCTTTTGCCGAAAATCTGGAAAACTCCATGTTTTTGGACGTCTTTCATACATTCATCCATTGCATACATACATTACATACATACATACATACATACATACATACATACATACATACATACATACATACATACATACATACATACATACATACATACATACATACATACATACATACATACATACATACATACATACATACATACATACATACATACATACATACATACATACATACATACATACATACATACATACATACATTACATACATACATACATACATACATACATACATACATACATACATACATACATACATACATACATTACATACATACATACATACATACATACATACATACATACATACATTACATACATACATACATACATACATACATACATACATACATACATACATACATACATACATACATACATACATACATACATACATACATACATACATACATACATACATACATACATACATACATACATACATACATACATACATACATACATACATACATACATACATACATACATACATACATACATACATACATACATACATACATACATACATACATACATACATACATACATACATACATACATACATACATACATACATTACATACATACATACATACATACATACATACATACATACATACATACATACATACATACATACATACATACATACATACATACATACATACATACATACATACATACATACATACATACATACATACATACATACATACATACATACATACATACATACATACATACATACATACATACATACATACATACATACATACATACATACATACATACATACATACATACATACATACATACATACATACATACATACATACATACATACATACATACATACATACATACATACATACATACATACATACATACATACATACA